TTGAAGTTAGAGTGGCACTGGAAAAAAAAAGACTTATGATTGTTTTTCACAGTTCCAACAGTTTCAGCATCCTGTGGTCACGGGATCAAAATTCGGGGACTTTGCAACTGACGAAAATAGGTCAAAATTCACTTAATAACTATCTGGCTTAGCAACAGAAATTTTGGGTTCAGCTGTAGTCATAAGCCGAGAACTATCTGTATTCCGTTTGTTTTCTACTCACAAAGTATTTCAACTCGCTGTGAAAAACAACCTCTCATCATAAAACGAGATTTTCAGTTTGTTGAACGATCCCAGATCATTCTTCCAAACAGGTACTTCCAAGCATGCTCAAAACACAGTTAAAAAGGCTTTAAACTGGGTTTAAACTGTCTCATGTTCAAGAAAGCAGAATCAGAGTTGGAAGGGACCTTGGAGATCTTCTAGTCCAACCTCCTGCTCAAGCAGGAGACTCTAGACCATTTCAGACAAATGGCTGTCCAGTCTCTTCTTAAAAACCTCCAGTGACGAAGCGCCCACAACTTCTGGTGGCAAGCTGTTCCACTGGTTGATTGTCCTCACTGTTAGGAAGTTTCTCCTTAGTTCTAGGTTGCTTCTCTCCTTGATGAGTTTCCATCCATTGCTTCTTGTCCTGCCTTCAGGTGCCTTGGAGAATAGCTTGACTCCCTCTTCTTTGGGGCAGCCCCTGAGATACTGGAACGCTGCTATCATATCCCCCCTCTTCCTTCTCTTCATTAAACTAGACATCCCCAATTCCAGCAGCCGTTCCTTATATATGTTTTAGCCTCCAGTCCCCTGATCATCTTGGTTGCTCTTCTCTGCACTCTTTAGAGTGTCAGCACCTTTTTTATATTGTGGTGACCAAAACTGGATTCAATATTCCAAGTGTGGCCTTGTAAAGCAGTAATATGACTTCTCCTATTCCTTGTGCGAAGATGGGGAAAGTGACTTTAAGAATGCTAGGATGGTGACCTTCATGTCTGGATAAGCTCATCTTAAGGATGAGTCCTTCGAGAACTGGGCCTTAAGCTGTTTAGGGCTTAAAAAGTCAAATCAGGCATTTCGATTGTGACTGGAAACAGTTCTGGGCCAGTAAAATAAGCCAATGGTGGGTCACCCCCATATGCCAGTCGGTCAATCAGCCCAAGTCTTGTTTAAGGGATTTCTCCATCATTGGATAGCTGATCCCTTCAAACTGGAAAAAAAGAAAGAAAGAAAGAAAGAAAGAAAGAAAGAAAGAAAGAAAGAAAGAAAGAAAGAAAGAAAGAAAGAAAAAAGAGGAAGGATGGAAAGAAAAAGAGGAGGAAGGAAGGAGAGAAAGAGGAGGGAGGAAGGAAAGAGAAAAGGAAAGAAAAAGAGGAAGGAAGGAAGGAAAGAGAAAGAGGAAGGAAGGAAGGAAAGAGAAAGAGGAAGGAAGGAAGAAAAGAAAGAAAAAGAAAAGGAAGGAGAAAGAGAAGGAAAGAAAGAGAAAAGGAAAGAGAAAGAAAAAGAATGAAGGAAAGAAAGAAAAAGAATAAATAAGAAAGAAAAAGGAAGGAAAGAGGAAGAAAGAAATAAAAGAAAAGAAGGAGAAAGAAAAGGAAAGAAAGAGAAAAAAGGAAGGAGAAAGAAAAAGGAGGAAAAAAGAAAAAAGAAAGGAAAAAGGAAGGAAAGAAGGAAGGAGAAAGAGGAAAGAAAGAAAAACAGGAAGGAAGGAGAGAAGGAAAGAGAGAAAAAAGGAAGGAGAAAGAGATAGAGAAGGAAGGAAAGAAAAAAAGAAAAAAGAAAGGAAGGAAAGGTGAAAGAGAAAGTGGAGGAAAGAGAAAAAAGGAAGGAGAAAGAGAAAGAGAAGGAAAGAAAGAGAAAGAAAGAAAGAAAGAAAGAAAGAAAGAAAGAAAGAAAGAAAGAAAGAAAGAAAGAAAAACAAAAAAAAAACTGGACTTTTTCCATGAACCAAGCCAGGTTCTACCTGGGGAACGCTGGTTGTGTGAAACCAAGCATACTTCCCTTGATTTAGGACCACAGTCGAGTCTAACATTTCTGTTGCTAAGCAAGACAGTTAAGTGAGTTTTTTCGCATTTTACGACCTTTCTTGCCAAAGCTGTTAAGTGAATCACTACCGTTATTAAGTCAGCAACACGGTTAAGTGAATCCGGCTTCCCCCATTTGACTTTGCGTGTCAAAAGGTCGCACAAGGGGATGACGTGACCCCCTTCGGGACACTGCAACCGTCGCAAGTACACGCCAGTTGCCAAGCCTCTGAATTTTGATCGCGTGACCGCCGGGAGGCCGCGATGGTCGTAAGGTTGAAAAAGGGTCCCAAGCTATTTTTTTCAATGCTGTTGTAACTTTGAACAGCCACGGCTGTAAATCAAGGACTGCCTGGATCTTTGTTTGGTTTTTAATAATAAAACTCCCCCTTAACATTTACTTCCAATAAAGGTGTGTGTGTGTGTGTGTGTGTTTGTGTGAAAGCCTCGGTTTTCTTCCACACCGCACAACCGTCATTCCTGATGGTTGAAAGCCGTGACTGTAGATCCGGCGACTCGGAGTTTTTCGTCACTAGTGCGGCTCAGAGGCCGGTCTGGTTTTTTCTTGGCCAAAAACCCGACCGTGGGTTCCTGCCCTGAGCACGGGGTGGATTGGATGACCCCCAAGGACTCCTCCCATACCTAGACTTCTATGGAATAAATGAATCAATCATGGATCAAGTCAGCTAGGAATTGCAAGTGGGAAGAATCTGACTAGCACGGATGAGGTTAGCTAGCTTGGTAATGAAACGTCTGAAAGAAAAATGTGCAAAGGAATCCAGCTGTTCTCGAAAGCCCCTGAAGGCAGGACAAGAAGCAACGGATGGAAATTAATCAAGGAAAGAAGCAACCTAGAACTAAGGAGAAACTTCTTGACAGTGAGGACAATTTAATTAATTAATTAATTAAACAAACCAGGGGTCTCCAAACCTGTCAACTTTAAGACTTCTGGACTTCAACTCCCAGAATTCCATAGGATAAACCAGGATGTTCCCCAAACATGGCCACTTTTAAGACTTCTGGACTTCAATGCCCAGAATTCTATAGGATAAACCAGGATGTTCCCCAAACATGGCCACTTTTAAGACTTGTGGACTTCAATGCCCAGAATTCCATAGAATAGACCAGGATGTTCCCCAAACATGGCCACTTTTGTGGACTTCAATGCCCAGAATTCCATAGGATAAGACATTGGTCTCAAACCTGTCAACTTTAAGACTGGTGGACTTCAACCCCCAGAATTCCATAGGATAAACCAGGATGTTCCCCAAACGTGGCCACTTTTAAGACTTGTGGACTTCAAATTGATAAGGTTGCATGGCTGGCTGGGGCATTCTGGGAGTTGGAAGTCCACAAGTCTTAAAAGTTATCAAGTTTGGAGACCCCCCTAGCATGGCTGGCTGGGGCATTCTGGGAGTTGAAGTCCACAGGACTTCAAATTGATAAGGTTGCATGGCTGGCTGGGGCATTCTGGGAGTTGGAAGTCCACAAGTCTTAAAAGTGTTCAATTGGAGACCCCCCTAGCATGGCTGGCTGGGGCATTCTGGGAGTTGAAGTCCACAAGTCTGAAAAGTGATCAAGTTTGGAGAGCCCTGGGATAAACCAACCGCCCTATCCCTTTTGTCCTGAAGACAAAGAAGCGCGAAAGAAGGGCAACCTCTGGACACACCTGTAACAATTTATTGAATGAGGAAGTAGACAGAATTGGGGGGGGGAAGAACAGGGAAACCCCATGCTTTTGACAGTAGTGGCAGAGGAAAAGGTTTTTTTTTTCCTTCTTTGGGTCTCGGGCAAATAATTTCTCAGTCTATCAGAACTTTATTCTGTCGCGGGGCGGAGGGGGGGGGGAAGAAACATAAAAAGGAACACCAACTTTAAAGTCACAGCTGACATCTCTTTACAACGACAATACAAAATAATATTTATAAATGAAAAACGACAACCCCCCCCAAAAATAAAAAATAAAAACCTGGGAAGGAAACTTTCTCCTCTAGTTACGTCCGGGGAAGAAAACGTGTATGCACGGGATCCTTGTGGTTTTCCTTTCTTTTGCCTCGTTTTTTTAAATCGGGGAAAAAAAAAGAAGCCAGGTTAAAAACACGGGAATTGGGAGGGGGAGGGACAGCCTTGAAATGCTTCTTTCTGCCTCAAAGGACAGGAGGGAGAAATTAAATACTGCGGAGGAAGGACGGAGCGGATGCTTTCCTGCGATTTTTTTAGGACAGGGGATGCGGCAGGGGGGTCTCTCTGGAAGCCCCCCCCCCAAATCGGAGACGGAACTGCTCAGTTCAACCTTAGGTGGGGAACGAGCTGCTTCCCATCCACCCGTTCAAGGACCGTTTCTCCCCTCCCCTCCCTGGCTATCTGGGGGGTCATCGGTGGGCAGGGAGGGAGGGAGGGAAGAAGGAAAGAGGGAGGAAGGGGGAACAGAGGGACGGAAGGAAGGGGAGAGGGGAGAGAAAGAGGAAGGAAGGAATAGAGGGAAGGAAGGAAGGGGAGAGGGAAAGAGGAAGGAAGGAAGGAAGGAAGGAAGGAAGGAAGGAAGGAAGGAAGGAAGGAAGGAAGGAATAGAGGGAAGGAAGGAAGGGGAGAGGGAAAGAGGAAGGAAGGAAGGAAGGAAGGAAGGAAGGAAGGAAGGAAGGAAGGAAGGAAGGAAGGAAGGAATAGAGGGAAGGAAGGAAGGGGAGAGGGAAAGAGGAAGGAAGGAAGGAAGGAAGGAAGGAAGGAAGGAAGGAAGGAATAGAGGGAAGGAAGGAAGGGGAGAGGGAAAGAGGAAGGAAGGAAGGAAGGAAGGAAGGAAGGAAGGAAGGAATAGAGGGAAGGAAGGAAGGGGAGAGGGAAAGAGGAAGGAAGGAAGGAAGGAAGGAAGGAAGGAAGGAAGGAAGGAAGGAAGGAAGGAAGGAAGGAATAGAGGGACGGAAGGAAGGGGAGAGGGGAGAGAAAGAGGAAGGAAGGAGGAATAGAGGGACAGAAGGAAGGGGAGAGGGAGGGGAGAAAAAGAGGAAGGAAGGCAGGCAGGAAGGAAGGCAGGAAGAAAGGAGGAATAGGGAGGGACGGAAGGGAGGAGAAAGAAAGAGAGGGAGAAGAGAGAAAAAGGAAGGAAGGAAGAGAGAACAGAGACATCACACCTTTTCATGAAACATAAATGGACTCGGATGCTGGTGGCCAAGAGCTACTGGCAAGGATGATGGGCTATGGGGTTGGATCAGCCAGGAGAGGGGAGAGGCCCAGGACTGCCCCCTATGGATCTTGACCGAGAAAGGGGATTTTTTTTCGCAAGCTTTCCACACGAGGGGACACCCACTGACGGGAAAGGGACCAAAAACCAGAACGGTCGCCTGGCCCTTGAGACACGGGAAGAACGATTTTGAGGGTTCGTGGATCAAAAACGGGGCCGATGATGGAATCGAGAGGAAGGGGGGTTACCCTCTTGGCAGCGTCCCCCCTGCCTCTTGTTTAGACCTTTTTCAACTCGCGAGGGCAGAGAAGGAAGAAAGCCGAAAGAGATCAGCGCGGGAAGGGACAAGGATCCTCGGACGAGTCGTCTCGCGTGGACTTTCCGACGGGAGGGGGGTCGGTCCGATCCCCCCTGGCTATGAAAGAGTCCCGGCAAGGCCGGAAACCGATCCGGAATCGGCGGATCGACCGCCATCCCCGTCTCCTCCAGGAGACGCGATTTCCCCCCCCCTCCGGCGTCATTTCGGAGAAGAAAAACTGTCTTTCTCCCAACGGCGTCTCAACTTTTCTCGTTCTCGTACGAAAATTCTTGTCCGTATGAAAAGAAAGCCCTAAATTCCCGAGGCGAGGACGGCGGGAGCTCGACGGGAAGAGTGGGACGGTGTGAGAGTCCGCCAAGGGCGCGGCATCCGGGGCCCCCGACTTCACAAACCAAGGACAGGGAAGCTTTCCGATCCTCGCCCTTCTTCGGAACGGGCGATCCATGCAAGGAAAGCCGGGCCTCTCCTATCCGGACGAGCCGCCTCACTCCCGATGGGAACAGGTGGGTCCGCTCGAGGCCCACAGGCCTTTTTCCCGCTCTGGGTTGTGTAGTCCAAAGTGGTGAGACTCCGACGCCTCCTGATTTGCCTTTCCGGAGAGGTGTAGAAAAATCGTTTCGGAGAAGAGAGGAAGAAGCTGCGGCGTCACCGTCCGGCCCGCGTCGGCCGTCATTGTTCCAGGGTGACCACTTCCACCGCCTGGCCGTCCATGGTGACGGTGCTGTCGGTGATCCTGGCGGTCACGGGGGCCATGGCGACCTGGACGGGACCGTTGCCCTGCGCGAGGCTGGTGACCACCGTCTGGTACATGCTCACCGGGATCTGGACCAGGCCTGGGGAAAGATTGGGGGGGGAAGAGGAAGAAAAGTAAGTTATTTCGACCAGCCGACGAAAAGAGGAAGACAAAAATCGACACAGGGAGTCCTCCATTTACGACCACCGTTGAACCCAAAGTGTACGTTGCTAAGCGAGACGGTTGAGTTTTGTCCCCCTTTATGACCTTTCCTGCCGCGGACGTTAAAGGAATCGCTGCAGCTCTTCAATGAATCTTGGTTGTTAAGTGATTCTTCCTTTCTCCCAATGGCTTTGCTGGTCGTAAGGCAGCTGGGAAGCGTACAAACACCGATCGCGTGACCACGGGACACGGCAACCGTCGGTAAGTACACGCCAGTTGCCAAGCCCCCAATTTTGATCACGTGACCCCGGGGATGCGGCGACGGTCGTTAAGGGTGAAAACTGGTCGTAGGTCACCTTCCCAGCTGGCCTCTGACAAGCAAAGTCGATGGGGGAAGGCGGATTCGCTTAATGACCTCATAATTCACTTAACAACTGTGCCAGGAAGAGTATATAGGTAGTCCTTGACTTACAACAGTTCATTTAGTGACCATTCCAAAGTTACAACAGCACTGAAAAAAAAGGGACTTAGGACCGTTTTTCACATTTATAAGCCCTTGATCACATGATCGAAATTCAGAGGCTCGGCAACTGGCGTGTACTTGTGACAGTTTGTAGTGTCCCAGGTCAACTGATTGACCTTCTGACAAGCAAAGTTAATGGGGGGAAGCCCGATTCACTTTACAACTGTGTTACTAACTTAACAACTGCAGTGATTCATTTAGGAACCGTGGCGAGAAAGGTCGTAGAACGAGGCAAAGCTCACTTAACAAATGTTTCGCTTACCGGACATAAACTTTGAGCTCAGTTGTGGTCGTTAACGCGAGGACTACCTGTGGGTAACTTTGTGTAGCCTAGATAACAATTGTGGCAGGAAAGGTCATAAAACGGGGGCAAAACTCAACGACTGCCTTGCTTAGGAATGGAAATTTGGGGGCTCAATTGTGACCGTAAAAACTGTGATCGCTTAAAAGATGAAAACAGACCCCACACTTATGGCATTCACGCTGCTGTGTGTGAAAAGTTTTTTGATGCCTGCTTGGTTAGAAAAGATGTGGAGAGAACACATAGATTTTAATTAGGTATAATGCCAGAAAAGACTAACAAACAAAGCATATATTTGATTTTGCACAGCACAACAGCGGACAGAATAATATTTGCGCAATATTGGGGGAAATGAAGGAATACCACCCGATGAAGAAATAATCAAAAAAATACTGGAATGTGCAGAGATGGACAGATTTGACTATGAGACTGAAAGAAAAAGAAGAAACGGAATATTATCAAATTTGGGACTTACTTTACCAGCGGTTAGAGGAAAGAATAAAAAAGGATCAGGAATTAAATAGGTATTAGCATATTTAAACTCAAGGCAGCAGGTGGGTTGAAAAATTATTATGGTGTGTATGGAAAAAACTAATAAAATCTTATTAAAAAAAGTTTTTTTGATGCACAGCTTGCTACACAAAGCCCACCACACCGCAAGAAAGGAATAGAGGCAGAACGCGCTGAATCGCTCACGGACACCGGCCGGGACAGCAGGGTAAAGAGAAGCGAGGCGAGAAGCAAAACCAGCCGTACGCCGTTTGCCTGAGACGGTATAGGGCTTCCTGCCTGAGCAGGGGGCTGGACTAGAAGACCTCTGAGGTCCCGTCCGACTCTTGTTATTCTCTTAGATGGCTTTGCATTCTCCCTGCTGGTCCTCTGGCCAGCTGCAGCCTGTTCTCTGTGCTCCATCCGTGGGCCTTGAGTAAACACGCACACAGAACCTCCTCCGTTTCTTTTGTGTTGTGCACCTGCACACCAAAACTGGGTGTGGTTTTTTTGGGGGGGGACACCTGTCACCTGCCCCGGTTCAAAAGCACCGAAGGAGGAAATAGACCGAACGGGGGGAACGCGGCCGGTAAATCCCAAGCTTTTGGCAGTGATAAGAGGAAGAAAAGAGATGTTATTTTTTTATCCTTCTCAGGGAAATAATTTCTGAGCCGACCGATCGGAACGGAGCTGGAAGAGGACCCTGGAGGTCATCTAATCCAACCCCCTGCTCGAGCAGGAGACTTTATATACTGTTTCAGACAAGTAGCTGTCCACTTGAAGGCCTCCCGGGATGGGACACCCGCAACAGAATAGCAGAGTTGGGAAGGGACCCTGGAGGTCATCTAGTCCAACCCCCTGCTCCAGCAGGAGATCCTCTATCAGTTCTGGATAAACGGCCGCCCGATCTCTTCTTTAAAAACCTCGAGGGATGGAGTACGCACAACAGAATAGCAGAGTTGGGAAGAGACCCTGGGGGGTCATCTAGTCCAACCCCCTGCTCCAGCAGGAGATCCTCCATCAATTCTGGATAAACGGCCGTCCGATCTCTTCTTTAAAAACCTCCAGGGATGGAGTACGCACAACAGAATAGCAAGTTGGGAAGGGACCCTGGGGGGTCATCTAGTCCAACCCCCTGCTCCAGCAGGAGATCCTCTATCAATTCTGGATAAACGGTTGTCCGATCCCTTCTTTAAAAACCTCCAGGGATGGGAGTAGCTACAACCTCCGGAGGGAAATTTCCTCCAGGTTCCAGGGTGGAATTCTTGCCTCTCTACCTGGTGGATTAAAAAAAGGGCAAGGAGGCTGAGTTGGGGGCACCCCTCCCAATCTTCAAAGGGATATAATTAAGATTATTTGAAGGACACGTGGAAGGGGGGGGGGGAGAAACGAGAGAGATCAAAAGCTGAGGATTTCCAGCCCTGAAGCAGCTTTGGATTTATGCCCTTTTTTTTTTCCTTTCTGAAGCTGAAAATGTGGAAATACTCCCCCCCCAAACCGGCTCTTCCTCATTCCTCATTCCCCATCGCTTCACCCCCATTGAGCAGAGAGTCCTCCCCCCCCCCAACTACACTTGTCCATCAGGATGCTCCGATGGAGCCCAGAATGGAGGATTGCTAAATGAGAAATTTGTTGAGTTTTGCCCCATTTTTACGACCTCCCTTGCCACGGTCGTTAAGCGAATCGCCGCCGTTGGTAAGTAGGTTAACCCGGTTGTTAAGTGAGCTGGGCTCCTCCATGGACTTTGCTTGCCGGAATGACGCATAAAGGGGATCGCAGGATCCCGGGGGACAGGGCAACCGACATAAGTGTGAGTCAGCTTGCTGAGCGTCTGGATTTTGATCGCCTGATCCTGGGGGATGCTGCGACGGTTGTTCAGTGTGAAAAACGGTTGCGAATCGCTTTTTTCAGCGCCGCTGCGACTCCGAACGGCCGCTAGACTGTTGTAATTTGAGGACTGCCCGTACTCAATTTACAACCGTCACAGAGCCGGCCATGACGGTTGTAAAAGTGGATTAGTCATGTGACTTTACTAGCTTTCTTGTTAAGGGAGTGCAAGGTCACTAAGCGAAGCAATACAGGCCGTCCTCGACTTACGACCGTGATGGAGCTGGCCGCGACAGTCATAAAACGGATCAGTCGTGGGACCTGACCACCTTTTCTTCGGGCAGCAGTCATTCAGTGAATGCAGAGGCCGCTAAGCGAACCAACACAGGCAGCCCTCGATTTACGACCTTAAGGGAGCCTGCTCCGAATTTGGATCACGTGACCAAGGGGAGGCTGCGACGGGCGTAAGTGTAGAGAAACGGTCCGAGATCACTTTTTTTTAGCGACGTCCTAACTCTTAAGTGGTCGCTAAATGAACCATCGTAAGTACCCTGTATTTGAACGCCTTGGCCAAAGAACAGGAAAAATAAACGGAAGGAGCAAAGCGACAAAAAATATAGGTGGAACGGGCCATGAATGAATGTGGGACGGTGTGTGTGTGTGTGTGTGTGTGTGTGTGTGTGTGTGTGTGTGTGTGAGTGATAAAATAAATCCAGAGCTTAAAAGGGGTGGCCTTCTAAAACAACCCCATCCCGAACCCCTCCCAAATCTGGAATCACCGAAACCATCTCCAGCGACCTTCGTTGCGGAAGGATTAAGCCAGTGGTTCTCAACCTTTTTAATGCCGTGACCCCCCAACCGGTCGTAAGTCGAGGACTACTCCACCGGTCGTAAGTCGAGGACAACTCAACGGGTGCAGCACCGTTTGCAGAAGGGGACTTTTGGCGGGCTCAGCAGGGCAGAGACAGCCTGGACAATTCCTATTGGCTTTGGAAAGCCAATAGGATTAGACTCTATTCACGAGAGTCTCTTCTATTGGCTTTCAAAAGCCAATAGAATAAAAGGGAGTAGCCCAGCTAAGGAAAAGGGGGGAAAAATGGCAGACTGTGTTGTTTGGCGACCCCCGTGAAATGGCCGTTCGACCCCAAATGGGGTCCCGACCCACAGGTGGAGAACCGCTGGATTAAGCCAAACCACCTGGGCGTCTGATGCGACAGCCTTTGGGGGTCGGCTGGGCTGGGAGGAGAGGGGTGGGCCACAGGGTGGAGGAAGGCCGATTGAATCTGCCCCCCCCTCCCCAGGGCTGAGCTGGCTGACCTCAAGAGGGACCGGACAAGAGCTCCACAGACCCGGGGATCGGGCCTCGGATTGTCTCCGCGCCTGATCTGACCTCCTGATTAGCCTTAATCTACTGGCAGACGTCAGTGTCAGTCTTGGGATTGCAGATCTTTTTGTGGGATTAAAGGCACAATCCCCTCGCTCTCCCCTTGTGCAAAGGCACCGGGGTTCGGGAGGACGACACGCAAGGCTGAATGGTGGGAAGTGTGAGAGGGATCTCGGAGTCCTGGGGGACAATCGCTTAAATAGGAGCCAGCCGTGTGCTGCAGCTGCCAAAAAAGCCAACACAGTGCTGGGCTGCATTAACAGAGGGATAGAATTAAGATCACATAAAGTATTAATACCACTTTACAAGGCCTTGGTAAGGCCACACTTGGAATACGGCATCCAGTTTGGGTCACCACGGTGTAAAAAAGATGTTGAGACTCTGGAAAGAGTACGGAGAAGAGCAACAAAGATGATCAGGGGACTGGAGGCTAAAACATACAAGGAACGGCTGCTGGAATTGGGAATGTCTAGTTTAATGAAGAGAAGGACGAGGGAGGACATGACAGCAGCGTTCCAGTATCTCAGGGGCTGCCCCAAAGAAGAGGCAGTCAAGCTGTTCTCCAAAGCACCCAAAGGCCGGAGAAGCAGCAACGGATGGAGATTCGTGAAGGAGAGAAGCAACTTGTAACTAAGGAAAAACTTCCTGACAGTGAGAAAAATTAAACCGGGGAATAACTTGCCTCCAGAAGTTGTGGGTGTTCCATCACTGGAGGTTTTCATGAACAGACTGGACAGCCACTTGTCTGAAATGGTACAGGGTTAGGGTTAGGGTTAGATGGGTAGATAGACAGATAGCAGAGTTGGACTAGAAGACTGCCAAGGTCTCGTCCAACTCTGTTTATCTATCTATCTATCTATCTATCTATCTATCTATCTATCTATCTATCTATCTATCTATCTATCTACCTACCTATATCTATCTGTCTATCTACCTACCTACCTTTCTACCTATCTAGCTACCTACCTGTATCTATCTGTCTACCTATTTGTCTACCTATTTGTCTATCTATCTTTCTATCTATCTATATCCCACATCTATCTATCGTATCTATCGTATCTATCGTATCTATCGTATCTATCTATCTATCTATCTATCTATCTATCTATCTATCTATCTATCTACCTACCTACCTACCTACCTACCTACCTACCTTTCTACCTACCTACCTGTATCTCTCTGTGTACTTATTTGGCTATCTCTTTATCTTTCTATCTTTCTATTTTTATCTATCTATCTATCTATCTATCTATCTATCCATCCATCCGTCATCTACCTACCTTTCTATCTACTTACCTACCTACCTATTTATCTACCTGTATCTATGTCTACCTATTTGTCTATCTATCTCTTTCTCTTTCTCTTTCTCTTTCTCTATCTATCTATCTATCTATCTATCTATCTATCTATCTATCTATCCATCCATCCATCCATCCACCTACCTAGCTATCTATCCACCTACCTGTATCTATCTACCTATTTGTCTATCTATCTCTTTCTATCTTTCTATCTATCTACCTACCTACCTATGTACCTACTACCTACTATCTATCTGTATCTATCTGTCTACCTATCTATCTCTTTCTATTTACCTATCTATCTATATCAGAATAGAGCTGGAAGGGATCCCCACATAACCTCACAACTTTGTGGAACACCACAATCTTAAGCCCAGCCAGCCAGGGCTATCTTACGGTCTCTTGACCTTCCAGCAAGATCAGTGGCTGCGACGGTGTGTGCTTGCATATGTGTGTCTGTGTGTGCCTTTGTGTCACGCAAAGCTTCCTCCTGCAAGCCTTCTGCGCAGCTGTTTCCTGGGCGTGGATTACCACGGTCGTATTATCTGCTTCCAGCAGCAAAGCCTGGCTGCCCCTGTTTGAGAAGGTCACTGGGACACGGGGGGCTTGCGAGGGAAGATGGGGACCAGCTTTTGGGCACCCCCCACTAGGAAGGGGGAAAGAGGCATGGTTAGCTACCCCCCCCCCCCAAGAAAACAATCAAAAGCCAGAAGGAGGGCTGGCAAACTCCATCAGCCTGCCTCCACTGCATTCTCTAGCTGAGTTGGGCCAAATGGGAATTATGGGCAATGGGAAGCTTTGGATTCTGTGGGAAAACAAAATAACACCAGCAGTGTTAGAAGGGAGGGGGGTTTGCAGGGAGGAGGAGGAGGAGGAGGAGGAGGAGGAGGAGGAGGAAGGACTGTGGGGTCCCTGTTGCTCTCTGAGCTTGGTGGTTTTTCTTGCAGACATTTCAAGACCCAACTAGCTAACATCATCAGTACTAGAAGGGAGGGAAGTTTGTGGAGAGGAGGAGGAGGAGGGGAGGAGGGAGGAAGAGGAGGACGAGGACTATGGAGTCTTTGGTACTCTCTGAGCTGGGTGGTTTCCTTGCAGACATTTCATGACCCAACTAGGTAACATCATCAGTGCTAGAAGGGAGTGGGTTTGTAGGGAGGAGGAGGAGAAGGGGGGGGGGACTTGGGGTTTGTAGTGCTCTCTGAGCTTGGTTGTTTTCTTGCAGACATTTTACCCAACTAGGTAACATAATCAGTGTATAGGGGAGTGAGGAAGAAGGAGGAGGAGAAAAGGACTGAGGGGTCCTTGGTGCTCTCTGAACTTGGTGGTTTTCTTGCAGATGTTTCATTACCCAACTAGGTAACATCATCAGTGTATAAGGCAGTGAGGGAGGAGGAGGAGAAGGAGGAAGAGGAGGAGGAGGAGGAGGAGGAGGAGGAAGGACGGACGGTGGGGTCCTTGGTGCTCTCCGAGCTTGGTGGTTTCCTTGCAGACGTTTCATGACCCAACTAGGGAACATCATCAGTGTTAGAAGGGAGGGAGGTTTACTTTCTGTTTACATACAAGTATACAGGGAAAGCCTCTCCCAATAAAAGAGAATATTTGTGGCTCAGGGTGAAACTGTGGGGTCCTTGGGAATGGTGTTTGTGGAGTGGAGGAAGAGGAGGAGGGGGGGGAGGACGAAGACCGTGGGGTCCTTGGTGCTCTCTGAGCTTGGTGGTTTCCTTGCAGACGTTTCATGACCCAACTCGATAACACCATCAGTGTCAAAAAGGAGTGGGTTTTGTTCTCTGTTTCTACACAAGTGGCCTGCCCTGTCTGTGTGAATGACAGGCTTCTTGGTGGTTCCTCGACTAGGCTGTTGTTTACTGTGTGATTGTTTACCTCGGCAGTTCCTTGCTCAGGGTATGGTTTACAGCTTAGTTTTTGGTCTAGTGCAGGGGTAGGCAACCTCGGCTGTTTTATGACTCATGGAATTCAACTCCCAGAATTCCTGAGTCAGCCACGCTGAGGGGAAAGGGATAGGTTTCCATGCAGAGCCATGCTGACTCAGGAATTCTGGGAGTTGAAGTCCACCAGTCATGAGGGGGCCAAAGTTTCCCCCATGCTGGCTCAGGAATTCTGGGAGTTAAGTCCACCAGTCATGAGGGGGCCAAAGTTTCCCTCATGCTGGCTCAGGAATTCTGGGAGTTAAGTCCACCAGTCATGAGGGGGCCAAAGTTTCCCTCATGCTGGCTCAGGAATTCTGGGAGTTAAGTCCACCAGTCATGAGGGGGCCAAAGTTTCCCTCATGCTGGCTCAGGAATTCTGGGAGTTAAGTTCACCAGTCATGAGGGGGCCAAAGTTTCCCTCATGCTGGCTCAGGAATTCTGGGAGTTAAGTCCACCAGTCATGAGGGGGCCAAAGTTTCCCTCATGCTGGCTCAGGAATTCTGGGAGTTAAGTCCACCAGTCATAAAAGAGCCGAGGTTGCCTACCCCTGGTCTAGTGTTACTATTGATGGTAACTTCTGCTTATCTGGGCCTTGATGGCTGGCGAGAAGGTGGTCTGGTCTTTCGGTGTCCTTTCTGGTCGTCCCACTAGAGCAGTGTTTCTCAACCTTGACAATTTTAAGACATATGGACTTCAACTCCCAGAATTCCACAGCTAGCAATGCTGGCTGTGGAATTCTGGGAGTTGAAGTCCACATGCCTTAAAATTGTCAAGGTTGAGAAACACTGCACTAGAGGGATATGTATGTGTTTTTATTGACTGACGGATTTGTATCCTGCCTTTATTACTTTTAAAAATAACTCAAGGCAGTGAACATTCCTAATACACGGCTCCCTCCTCCTGTTTTCCCCCACAACGACAACCCTGTGAAGTGGGCTGGGTTGAGAGGGACTGACTGGCCAAAGTTCACCCAGCCGGCTTTCATGCCTAAGGCAGAACTAGAACTCACCGTCTCCTGGTGATTGGCCCAAAGCCACCTAGCCGGTTTTCTGGGCTAAGGCGGGACTAGAACTCCCAGTCTCCTGGTGATTGGTCCAAAGTCACCCAGGGGGCTTTCGTGCCTAAGGCGGGACTAGAACTCCCAGTCTCCTGGTGATTGGTCCAAAGTCACCCAGGGGGCTTTCATGCCTAAGGCGGGACTAGAACTCCCAGTCTCCTGGTGATTGGTCCAAAGTCACTAGGTGGCTTTCATGCCTAAGGCGGGACTAGAACTCCCAGTCTCCTGGCGATTGGTCCAAAGTCACCCAGCCAGCTTTTGTGCCTAAGGCAAAACTAGAACTCCCAGTCTCCTGGTGATTAGTCAAAAGTCACCCAGTGGGCTTTCATGCCTAAGGCAGGACTAGAACTCACCATCTCCTGGTGATTAGTCAAAAGTCACTCAATCAGGTTTCATGGCTAAGGCGGGACTAGAACCCACTGTCTCCTAGGGATTAGCCCAAAGTCACCCAGTGGGCTTTCATGGCTAAGGTAGGACTAGAACTCACTAGAACTCTCCCGCTTTCTAGCTTGATACCTTCCCCACTAGACCCAACTGCCCTTCTGATGTTGTTCATCCCGATCGGCTTGTTGAAGGCTGATCTCTCCGAGTGCCAGGATTTAGCATTTATTGGATCCGGCACAAATCCAGGCGATGCCAGGGCCAGGGTCCTGTGCCTGAGCTTACAGGACAAGGACGATCCCCTACAATGCCAACATTTGCCCCAAGGTCCCCCTGGACAGCCTGTCCTTGGTGCCCAGCACCAGCCATTGGGCCTGCCTGCCTCCTCCATCCCAGAGGGAGAATCGGTGCGGTGCCCCGGGGCTGCCATCCTGCAGAGAATAAGTGGGCTGCCTTCCTAGCAGGAATTAATCTTCAAGAGTAATTTAGGACAACGAGCAAGTCACACTTAACCACAGAAATTTGGGGCTCAATTGTAGTGGTCAGGTGAGGACTGCCTGTACATTTGCTTAATAAACAAATCCTAATCCAATAAATAAATGTGGGCACCAGCTGTGGAAGGGCTGATCTCCCCCCCTCCTCCCCAGGGCAGAAAAAAAATCTTTCGGGGTAGCCGTTGCAGATGTGCTTAGAGCTTGAATTTCACCAGAGCGTTCAGGAAATCTACTTTCCCCACTCTTTCTGCCACTAATGGCTGGATTGGCACCTGTGCTGCAATTGTGTGTTTGTGTGTGTGTGTGTGGGGGGGGGGGGGTTAGGCCGAAGAGTGAAGGCAGCAGACTGCTGAGCATCACAGCTGCCACTGAAAAGTGACCACGTCTTTCTGACCCTTGCAGAATATTTCATCTGGGCTGTGCTGATAATGAAGCTTTTTCTGGGAGAAAATTAGAATTATGTGGAGCGACAGTTAAAAAAAAAACTAGAAATAGAAAAAGAGGGAAGGGAGGAAGCGAGGGAAGGGAGGAGGGAAAGGAGGGGGGGAGGGAGGAAGGAAAGAAGGAGGGACAGAGGGAAGGGAGAGGGGTGGAAGGAAGGAAGGAGAGGGAGGGAGGAAAGGGAAGAAGGAAGGAAGGGAAGGAGGGAGGAAGGAAGGAGAGAAGGAAGGAAAGAGGGAGAGAAGGGGAGGGAGGGAAGGAAAAAGAGGAGGGAGGGAAGGAAGGACAGAAGAAGGGAGAGAGGGAAGGAAGGAAGGAAGGAAGGAGAGGGAGGGAAAGAGGGAGGGAAGGACAAGAGGGAGAGAGGGAAGGGGGGAAGGAAGGAGAGGGAGGGAAAGAGGGAGGGAAGGACAAGAGGGAGAGAGGGAAGGGGGGAAGGACAGAAGGAGGGAGAGAGGGAAGGGGGGAAGGAAAGGGAGGGAGGAAGGGAAGGAAAGAGGGAGAGAAGGGGAGGTAGAGAAGGAAGCAGAGAAGGAGGGAGAGAGGGAAGGACAAGAGGAAGAGAGGGAAGGAAGGAAGGAAGGAAGGAGAGGGAGGGAAAGAGGGAGGGAAGAAGGACAAGAGGGACAGAGGGAAGGGGGGAAGGACAAAAGGAGGGAGGGAAGGGGGAAGGAGAGGGAGGGAGGGAGGGAAGGAAAGAGGGAGAGAAGGGGAGGGAGAGAAAGAAGCACAGGAGGGAGAGAGGGAAGGAAGGACAGGAGGGAGGGAGGGAGGGAAGGAAGGAAGGAGGGAGAGAAAGAGGGAGGGAAGGAAGGACAGAAGGAGGGAGAGAGGGAAGAAAGGTAGGATGGAAGGAAAGGAGGGAGGGAGGGAAGGGAGGGGCACATCTCGGTATGCCCATGTGTTGTCCCTGTCCCATAAGTCACCACAAGGCACTCTTCCTGGAGCTGGCCTTGAAGACCCCTCAGAAGCTTCCACCGGTCCAGAAGGCAGCGGTGCAAGCAGAGCTGGGCCTGCCACGAGATGTCCCTGCCAGCTACCACAATGACTACCACAATGCACTCTCCATGGGGCTGGCCTTGAAGACCTTTCAGGCGCTTCACCTGGTCCAGAGCCATTCCTTGCGTCTTCGCAATCGGTTAGGACCCCTTGGGGCGTTTCACGCAAGCTCAGAGGAGTGGAGAGTTTGGAGAGGTTGACACAAGGCTGCGCCCTGATTTGGCTAGCCCTAAAGGCCGCAGGGAAAAATGGGGGGGGGGAGACAGGAGGGGGGGAGGTTCTCCCAGAGGGCAAGGATACTCACTGAGAACGTGGCACTATTCCTCTTTTACCGTGCTCCCTGGGACCGACATGTGCGCGGAATGACCTGCTGCTCGGAAAAATATCCCCACCCTCAATGTACCCTGGGATTGGCCTAGGTCACAGTGTTTCTCAACCTTGACCATTTTAAGGCATGTGGACTTCAACTCCCAGAATTCCACAGCCAGCAATGCTGGCTGTGGAATTCTGGGAGTTGAAGTCCACATGCCTTAAAATGGTCAAGGTTGAGAAACACTGGGCTAGGAGATGTTTGCCTTGAAGCTTTTAATCTTTTCAACTTTAAATTAACCATTTTGCCCTTTCTAGTTCCTGCGTTTCCGACCCCAGCTCCATAAGCTGCGCTGATTCCCAGTGGGCTTCCAGGTGTGAGGAGGGGGGGCTGGCTGTTACCTGTAACAAGGCCACGGAGGACCTGGAGACTTGAGAGACCCCTGTTCTCCCCAGTATCTCCTGGCCCACTCAGTCCAACAGGGCTGGGGAGGGGGGGGGGGCTAGTTGGTCCTAGAAGACCCTCACCCGCAGTCAGCCGGGGCCAGAAACGTTCATCCCGAAGACGAGACGCGCGAGGTTATTGGGATCGGCTTACCGTTCGCATCTGGTACCCCGGTGAGCGCACCCACGGCTGCCGCCGTTTCTCCGGACAACACGATCTGCCCTCCGCCCTGGAGGGTGGCTTCTGCAAGCGTGGCCACGGCGTGAGCGGCTGCCTCACTGCAGGACAGAGAGAGAGAGAGAGAGAGACAGAGAGAGAGAGGGAGGAAGAGAGAGAGAGGACGCCATGAGCAGCAAGAAAGGAAAGGGCGCAGGAAGACCCCTCTCTTTCTCCTGCCTCGGAATTAACCTTTAACCTTGCCTCTTCTCCGTTTGAATTTTATATACTGCTTTTACGAGCTTTAGATGTTTTACTTGCACACCAAACCAGAGTCCCTCCGTGGGGAAGATCAGCACTTTCCAAATATGATAAGAGATAGATAGAGATCAATAGACAGATATAGAGATTGATAGATAGATGATAGATAGATAGACAGACAGATAGATACATACATAGAGGAGGGGATAGAGAGAAAGAAAAAAAGAAAAATAGAAGACAGCTAGAGAAATGGAGGGATAGACAGATGGAGGGATGGATAGGCATAGATTGGGGAATAGATTGATAAATATAAGATAATGACAGAGAATGGATGGATGGGTGGACGGATGGATGGATGGATGGATGGACAAGGGACGGATGGCTAGATGATGACAGACAGATAGATAGATATTGATAGATAGATAGATAGATAGATAGATAGATAGATAGAGACAGACAGACAGACAAGATAGATAGATCGATCGATCGATAGATGTGGGATATAGATACATAGATAGGTAGGTAGGTAGGTAGGTAGGTAGATAGATGGATAGATAGAAAGATAGAGAAAGAGAGAGAGAATAGACGGACAGATACATAGATGGATGAGTGGATAGAGAGAAATAGAAAAAAATAAATAGAAGACAGCTAAAGAGATGGACAGAGACAGATGGAGGGATGGATAGGCATAGATTGGAGAACAGAGTGATAGATAAATATAGACAGATAATGAGAGAGGATGGCTAGATTGATGATGGGTGGGTGGACGAGGAACGGATGGCTAGATGGATGGCTACATGATAGATAGATAGATAGATAGATAGATAGATAGATAGATAGATAGATAGATAGATAGATAGATAGATAGACAGACAGAGAGATAGACGGACAGACAGACAGATGGATGGATGGACGACAGACAGACAGATAGAAATGGCTGGCTGGCTGGCAGGCTGGCTAAGATGATAGCTAGATAGCTATGGATGGATGGTTGGATGGATAGATAAACAGAAAGGAAGGAAGGAAGAAAGAAAGAGATAGGTAATGTGTTTATGATAGTGCTCCACTTGTGACGATTCATTGATGACAGCTTAAAAAATAATGGCTCCCGATCTGTCCTTGAAACTACGGCCAATGGGCCATGGTCATAGAATCATAATTTAGACCCTCGTCAACTGGTCCACATTTGGGATGGTTGCAGCACCTGGCAGTCCCGTTTTGCAACCTTCTCAGCCGGCTTCCGTCAAGCAAAGGCAATTAGGGAAGCTGGATTCACTTAATGACGGTGTTTCATTTAACACAACTTATTTAACGACCACAGGAAAAATGGTCACAAAATTGGGTCTGGCCACGTGACACCTTGCTGAACAACGGCATCACTTAGTGACTGAAAGCCCAGTCCCAATTACCTGTATATATAAAATCACGTAACACAAAACTGGAAAAACGATGATCTTTTAAAAAGTTTAATAATATTTCTAAGCCGCCCCACAGCCAGAGCAGTCTGGGTGGCTTGCAATAAAACCTTTTTTAAAAAAAAAAAACAAAAAACACCGTTTGAATAAAAAGGCTTGCCACAAATTCAAATGAAATGCAAAATTGAATGCAAACTAGCCAGCATCGTTCAAGATGTAAAACGGGCTGAACGAAAACAGAACAAAAAGCCAAGTCAAAATGATTTAAGTGTGAAAAAACAGACGCAGGCAGTCCTCGGCTTACGACTCATTTAGTGACCGTTCCAAAGATACAACGGCACTGGAAAGAGTGCCGTTTTAGGACCGTTTTTCACACTTACGACCGTACGACATCCCCATAGTCACAGGATCAAAATCCAGGCGCTCAGCAACAGACTCATATTTACGACGGTTGCAGAGTCCCGGTGTCTGTGTGTGTGTGTGTGTGTCACGTGATCCCCTGTTGTGACCTTCTGACAAGAAAAGTCAATGGGGGGGGGAACCAGATTCATTTAACAACCGTGTTGCAGCGATTCACTTTATCAACTATGGCAAGGTCGTAAAATAGGGCAAAAGTCACTTAGCAACAGAAATTTTGGGTGGCAAGCTAACCTGTAAGCAGTTTAAACTCTTCTTCCCCTCTCCTCCTCTTCCTCCTCCCCAAACCCCCTTCCCTTCTAGCACTGATGCTGTTCCCTAGTTGGGTCTTGAAATGTCTGCAAGAAAACCACCCAGCTCTGAGAGCACCAGGGACCCCACAATCCTCCTTCTCCTTCCTTCCTTCCTTGCTTCCTTCCTTCCTTGCTTCCTTCCTTCCTTGCTTCCTTCCTTCTTCTCCTTTCCATTCCCTTCTAGCACTGATGCTGTTCCCTAGTTGGGTCTTGAAACGTCTGCAAGAAAACCACCCAGCTCTGAGAGCACCAGGGACCCCACAATCCTCCTTCTCCTTCCTTCCTTCCTTTCTTCCTTCCTTCCTTCCTTCTTCTCCTTTCCACTCCCTTTTAGCACTGATGCTGTTCCCTAGTTGGGTCTTGAAACGTCTGCAAGAAAACCACCCAGCTTTGAGAGCACCAGGGACCCCACAATCCTCCTTCTCCTTCCTTCCTTCCTTCCTTCCTTCCTTCCTTCCTTCCTTCCTTCCTTCCTTCCTTCCTTCCTTCCTTCCTTCCTTCTTCTCCTTTCCACTCCCTTTTAGCACTGATGCTGTTCCCTAGTTGGGTCTTGAAACGTCTGCAAGAAAACCACCCAGCTCTGAGAGCACCAGGGACCCCACAGTTCTTCTCTCATTCCTTCCTTTCTTCTCTCCTTCCTTCCCTTCTCCTTCCCATTCCCTTCTAGCACTGATGATGTCCCCTCGTTGGGTCATGAAATATCTGCAAGAAAATCACCCAGCTCAGAGAGCATCAAGGACCCCTCCTTCCTTCCTTCCTTCCTTCCTTCCTTCCTTCCTTCCTTCCTTCCTTCCTTCCTTCCTTCCTTCCTTCTTCTCCTTTCCATTCCCTTCTAGCACTGATGCTGTTCCCTAGTTGGGTCTTGAAACGTCTGCAAGAAAGCCACCCAGCTCAGAGAGCACCAGGGACCCTCCATTTCAACCCTGAGCTACAAAGATTCTCCTTTGTTAGATGAAAAAGGGCACATCTGAATGAACCGACTGAGGCTGGAAGGAACGCAATTGCCTTACAAGGCTTTCTCTTCTCCAGCGACAAGACAAACCCGCTCGGTTTTTCCTCCCCCCCCATCTGATCCTTCTGGGCTTGTGCAGTGCCCTCCCCCCTTTTGCAGGTAGCGGCATTCTCTCTGCACCCCACCCCCAACAGGCACTCAAGCCAGCTCAGGTGCTCATAGGCTTGTTAACAGAACCCTCCAGGGATGCCATTATTCTCCCGCTTCCAAAGAAGCCGGCCTGGAAAGTGATCTCTCTGCTTCCCGCACCGAGACGGAAGGGAAGGGTGGCCGAGGCCAGCTCTTTGGAGCTAACAAGAGTGGAAGCCAGCAAGCTTGCAAAGGCTGTGCACAAGAGGGGGGGGGCACCCCACAGCCATCCAGCACGTTGGCACTTGTGCAGCACCCCCCCCCCCACACACACACATAAATCCCAGCCACCGCATAGAACAGCTGCCGGAAAAGCCAAAGCTGTGGATAGTGAGATGGATGGAGAAAAAAGCAGGGAGGGAGGGAGGGAAGGAAGGAAGGGAAAGGAGAGAGAGAGGAAGGGAGGAACAGAAAAGAGAGAGAGGGAGGGAGGGATGAAAGAGAGAGAGCAAGAAAGAAAAAAGAAAGTGTTAGGAAGGAAGAAGAGAGAAGAGGGAAGGGAAGGGAAGAAAGAGAGGAAGAGAAAAAAGGAAGGAAGGGAGCAAAGAGAGAGTGAGAGAGTGAGAGAGAGAAAGAAAGAAAAAAAGAAAGAAAGAAAAAAAGAAAGAAAGAAATGTACGGAAGGAGGGAGGAAGGAAAGGAGAGAGAGAAAGAGGTAAGGAAAGAGAGAGGGAGGAAGAAAAGGAGGAAAAGAGAGAGAGAAAGGAAGGAAGGAAGGGATAAGGAGGGAGGAAGGAAAGGAGAGAAAGAAAGAAAGAAAGGGATAAGGAAGGAAAGGAAGAAAGGAGACTGATAGACAGAAAGAAAGAAAGAGGGAAGGAAAGAGGAAGGAAGGAAAGGAGGAAAAGAGAAAGAAAGAAAGAAAAAGAAAGAAAAAAGAGATAAGGAAGGAGGGAGTAAGGAAAGGAAGAAAGGAGAGAGACAGACAGACAGACAGAAAGACAGAAAGAAAGAAAGAGAAAGAGATAAGGAAGGAGAGAGAGAGAGAGAAAGGGAGGAAAGAAAGAGAAACCACCCACCCACCCAGAGGGGTTTGAGAGATCTGGTAAAGGGTTCAAATTGGTACCCAGGACCCCTCAGTCCGGCCCCCTTGCCCCCCTGCTCCCCCTCCCCTCCCCTCCCTACCTGTTGAGCGCCATCGTGACCGTCGCGCCTTGCGGAATCTCCTGCGACGCGGCGACGGCGGCTTCGGCCAGGGAGGCCACTGCCTGCGTGGCTTCGGAGGCCTGGGTGGTCTGGATGGTCATCTCGCCCCCCTGCAGCGTGGCCCAGTTCTGCTCCACCTGGCGGGAGGGAGAAGGACAGATAGACCCGTTGCAGGACCGGCGGCCTCACATCTACGTCCGGCCGCTTAGCAAAGGCCCAAAAGGGACGGCGGATCCCCCCAAAGGGTAACAGTCCTCGGACGTACGACAGTTTGTTTAGTGCCCGTTCAAAGTCACAACGGCACCGGAGAGAGTGACTTAGGACCGATTTTCCCACTTAACGACCGCTGGCAGCACCCCCAGGGTGTCCCGGGATCAAAATTCAGCATCTTGGCAACCGACTCGCACTTACGACGGTCGCAATGTCCCGGGATCACGTGATCCCCTTTGGCGAGCTTCTGGCAAGCAAAGTCCACGGGGAAGCCCGATTCGCTTAACGACCGGGTGACTAACTTAACAGATGCAGCGACTCGCTTAACAACCGTGGCAGGGAAGGTCGTAAAATTGGGGGCAAGGCTCCCTTTAACAACTGCCTCGCTTCGCCACGGAAATTTTGGGCTCTACTGCGGTCGTAAGTGGAGGACTACCCGTACTTCCCCTGTTTGACAAAGGCAGCCCACAGCAAACGACCGGTCTGTTCAACGACTGTGGTGTTCATTTAATGACCAAGACAGCTGCTTTACTATCGCTGCGTTCACTTAACCGACCGCTGCCTAAAAACTCCTGAAAGTGGATGGTCACGTGGGTGACCACGATAGGCAGGCTCCTTGATGGTCGTAAAGTCGAGGACTAAATGCACTTGCAAAAAAACACCCCCTAATCAAGACGGAAAATGCCCAGCTTTGTTCAGACAATGGAGGCTTGTCTTCCAGAGCGAATTTACACAAAAATACCCTCCATTTTTAGCTATTTTTTTTCAGATGGAAATTCGGTTTCTAGGGCAAACAAAGCTGTTTCTATTGCGCTGAGAATCCTACACCGTTGTGGGGGGGGGAAGTGAGGTTGACACAAAGGCCTGGAGTCCAATTAGCTCCGTTGAAAGGGGGAGTAAGGAGGGGTGATGTCTCTCCCCTTCCCCAGTTTACAGACTGATCTAACAAAATGAAATTCAACGGTGGAAAAAGCAAGGTTCTACATTTAGGCAAGAAAAACCAAATGCACAAGTACAGCATAGGTGGCACCATGCTCAATAGTAGTAACTGTGAGAGGGACCTCGGAGTCCTAGTAGACAATCACCTAAATATGAGCCAGCAGTGTGCTGCAGCTGCCAAAAAGGCCAACACAGTGCTAGGCTGCATTAACAGAGGGATAGAATCAAGATCACGTGAAGTATTAATACCACTCTTCAATGCCTTGGTAAGGCCACACTTGGAATACTGCATCCAGTTTTGGTCACCACGATGTAAAAAAGATGTTGAGACTCTAGAAAGAGTACAGAGAAGAGCAACAAAGAGGATTAGGGGACTGGAGGCTAAAACATATAAGGAACGGTTGCTAGAATTGGGTATGTCTAGTTTAACGAAGAGAAGGACAAGGGGGGACAGGATAGCAGTATTCCAATATCTCAGGGGCAGCCCCAAAGAAGAGGCAGTCAAGCTACTCTCCAAAGCGCCTGAAGGCAGGACAAGAAGCAACGGGTGGGAACTAATCAAGGAGAGAAGCAACCTGGAACTGAGGAGAAATTTCCTGACAGGGAGGACAATTAACCAGTAGAACAGCTTGCCACCAGAACTTGAGACTCTAGAAGGAGTACACAGAAGAGCAACAAAGATGATCAGGGGACTGGAGGCTAAAACATATACTGGAATTGGGTATGTCTAGTTTAATGAAGAGAAGGACGAGGGGGGACATGATAGCAGTCCTCCAATATCTCAGGGGCTGCCCCAAAGAAGAGGGAGTCAAGCTGTTCTCCAAAGCGCCTAAAGGCAGGACAAGAAGCAACGGATGGAAACTCATCCAGGAGAGAAGCAACCTAGAACTAAGGAGAAATTTCCTGGCTGTGAGAACAATGAACCAAGTGGAACAACCTGCCTCCAGAAGCGGTGAATGCTCCAACACTGGAAGTTTTTAAGAAGAGACTGGACAGCCTCTTGTCTGAAATGGTGTAGGGTTGCCTGCCTGAGCTGGGGGTTGGACTAGATGACCTCCAAGGTCCCTTCCAACTTTATTGTTGGCACGTCTAAAGAGAAATTGGGGCAAAAACCTGCCAGCTCTTCAACCGAACCTCATTTTAAGAGCCTCGTTAGAAAGAATGGAAAATTGCCAAGGAAAGTCGTGTGTGTGTGTGTGTGTGTGTGTGTGTGTGTGTGTGTGTGTGTGTGTGTGTTTCCACCCCTTTTAAAGGGCCAGAGAGCAGAAATCAGGGGTGCTTCTGGGGGAACTCCTTACCTCTCCATCAGTGACTGCAGAGTAGTTCACCTGGGCGACTGTGACAGTGGTGGGCAATTCGGAGGCGTCTGCCAAGGTGGCCACTGTGGCCCCGGTGCCAACCTGCAATGACATGCCCAAAAGTCACCATGGTCCCCTCCCAAGGTCCCAGCAGGCCCTGTGGCCCTTCGTGTCTCCCCTTTCAGCCTAGGATCCCGTCGTCACAAAGCCAGGGGCGAGGTCCACTTCCCCATATCGGTGGGCAAGTGTGACGACACTGCGCCAAGGAGCTCATGTGCCCCCCTGGCACCCTCCGACAACAGACACCCCACACCCCGGGATGAACCCGGGCACAGGATGCCGTGCGCCTCTGGGCATCTGGCAGCCATCAGCGATCCAAATTACGAACCATCCTTGTAATATGGAGGGGTAGAGAACCTTTATTGTCGTTTTTTTTTTTTTTTTTTTACTGTGGGCACAACGGCCCCCACCAGAAATTAAAATTTAGTTGCCTGCTCTCAAAGTGAACACTCAGCTGGGCCTTTGGCCTGCTCTGCTCTGCTCTAGAGCGGGAGATGGTTTGAAGTCAATATAATTTATATATAATTTAAAGAAACATTGGGAGGAGAGAGAGAGGAATGGACTCTGATTCATGTCACATGCTGTTGAGCAAAAAGACAGATAAAGCCAACGCTTAAGTTGCTGTTTAGTTGCTGCTGAGGGCAAGGAGGAATGGGTGGGATGGAAGGAAGGAAGGAAGGAAGGAAGGAAGGAAGGAAGGAAGGAAGGAAGGAAGGAAGGAAGGAAAAATGATGAGAGGAGGAAGAGAGGAAGGGAAAAGGGATAAGGGAAGGAAAGAAAGAAGGGTGGGAGGGAAAAGAGAGAAGGAAGAATGGAGGGAGGGAGGAGGGAAGAAGCAAGGAAGGAAAAATGAGAGGACAAAGAAAAGGAGATGAGGGTAGAAAGGAAGGGAGGAAGGGAAGGAAAAAAGAGAAAGAATGGAAGGAAGCGGAAGAAAGAAAAGGAAGGAAGGAAGGATCAAAAATGATGAGAGGAGGAAGAGAGGATGGGAAAAGGGATGAGGGAAGGAAGGAAAGAAGGGTGGGAGGGAAAAGAGAGACGGAAGAATGGAAGGAAGGAAGGAAGAAAGGAAAGAAGGAAGGAACAAAAATGATGAGAGGAGTAAGAGAGGATGGGAAAAATGATGAGGGAAGGAAGGAAAAAAGGGTGGAAGGGAAAAGAGAGAAGGAAGAATGGAGGGAGGAAGGAAGAAGGAAGGAAGGAAAAAAGAGAGAAGGGACAAAGGAAAAGGAGATGAGGGTAGAAAGGAAGGGAGGAAGGGAAGGAAAAAAGAGAAAGAATGGAAGGAAGGAGGAGGAAGAAAGAAAGGGAGGGAGGGAAGGAAAGAGCAAAGAAGGGAGGGGAAGGACGGAGGGAGGGACAGGAAAGAGACGAGGGAGGGAAGGAAGGAAATTGCAGGACGCCCAACCTCTCCTCCTTCCGCGAAGAAGGCATCACCTACTTTTTTACTCCATCATGATAGAACCCTATAAAAATGCTTTTTTTAAAAAAATCCCCAGTATGCCTACGCAGCTTTGAAGGGGAAAGACCCTTCTGGTCCTTCAAGAGATTATTCCCCCCAGATCTAACTGCTGAAGCCTCAGGGGTAACAACGCGTGGGACCCCCAAACCTACTTTCGCTCAGCACGGAGGACCTAACCCCCCCCCCCAGGACGATCCCAACGCCAGGCCAAGGATGGGGCCACGAGAGGAATCGCGGCCAGCCCCACCTGGATGAGCGACACGGTGCCGTCCGGATTGCTGAAGGTCTGGACCATGGTTTGGGAGGGGACCAGGTGGGCTATGCTGTGGGTGGCGGTCACCGACTGGGTCTGCTGATCCTCGAAAGCGTAAAGCAGGTCCTCGCGCCCGTGCTGCTTGTAGCAGTTTTTCACGATTGTCCGCAGCGCCTGGGTCCACGACACCTGAGGCCAGACGAGAAGGAGAAAAGATCAGGGGGAGACTAAAGAGGCAGGTCACCGCTCGGTCCAGCCCACCAGCGGCACCGCCCGCTTGGGGTCACGTCACCCAGAGAACATTTAGACCCGTGGTTCTTAATCTTTTTGAACGAATCGCCTCCTTGAGCCAATGAGGAGGTTGTCATTGCCCCCCTCCTCCAACCTAACCCCTCAATCACAGCATAGGAAATAATTCTTCCATTTATGCAAACACTTTTTTTGTTTCCTTTAAAACTGTCATCAGGACCTATCGATGCAAATTATTTATTTCCAGTCTTTCCCCCATATCTCCCATATTCTGGCCAAGGACGCGCCTCTGTATGGTAGAGGCTGCTGCGCAACGCGCATGAAGATAAGCGATGCGTCTTCACATGTGTACGGCGTTCTGTCCTGAAGCTAGCTGGAGGAACATTGGAAAACACAATTCAATTCGATTTGATGTTTTTGTACGACAGATATAACAGCGACTCACTGGACGAAAAAGTCTCAAAAGTGTTCCCAAAACTTCTCGCTCCATCGCCCCCATATCGCCCTGTTTTCGTTCCATCGCCCCCCTGAAAAATGAAATCGCCCCCAGGGGGGCAATATCGCCCGGGTTAAGAACCACTGATTTAGACCACCCAATTTTACCCAGGGTGGATGGGTAGGTATTTCTTGACGGTGAGAATAATCAATCAATGGAACATGTGTGATGCTCCATCACTGGAGGGTTTCGAGAAAAAATTCGACAACCTCTTGTCCTGGATGGTGTTAAGATCTCATGCCTTGGGGAAGGGGCTCAACCAGAAGACCCCCCCCAGGTCCCTTCCAGCCCTAAGATTCCAGATTTACTGGAGCAAAAATAGGATATTATTCTCATTTCTCGCACCTTCCAGTATCTAAGAAGCTGTCAAAAAGAAGTACCAGAGGGCAAGACAAGAAGCAATGGGTGGAAACTCATCAAGGCGAGAAGCAACCTGGGATTAAGGAGAAGCTTCTTGACAGTGAGGACAATGAACCAGTGGAACAGCTTGCCACCAGAAGCTGTGGGTGCTCCAACACTGGAGGTTTTCAAGAAAAGGTTGAACAATCGTTTGTCTGGAATGGTAAAAGGGTTTCCCGTCTGGTTGGACTAGAAGACCTCAAGGTCCCTTCCAACTCTAATTAGTCTGTTAGTATCCGTGGTTTGAAAGAGCCCATCTGGAGTTGTGCTTAAGGGACAAGGTGGTGGGAATCTGGTGATTCTTCAGGATGCGATGCAAGTTCTAGCAGACCAGAACTTTTTTTGAGTTTGGTTATTGGCTTGTAGACGTTTCATGACCCAACTCGGTAACGTCATCGGTGCCAGAAGGGAATGGGGGGTTTGCACCCTGTTTATATACAAATAGCCTACCCTGTCAGTGTTGGTTGGGGTGTTCTTGCTGATTCCGTGATTAGGCTGATGTTTCCTGTTTGATGGTTTGTCAGAGTTGGTAATGCCTTGATTGGGGCATTGTTTATTGACCGATTGTTGGTCTAGCATTAATCTTAGTGTTGAGAACTGTTTATCTGGGTGTTCATTGCTAGCAAGGAAACCTTTTGGCCTTTTAGCTTTTCGATGGTCACTTTTGAAAGTAGGAACTTTTCGGGTTGTTAAATCTAAGAAACATGTAAGTCCAATTATATTTTTCAGGGCTTTATTTCCCCTATATAGGCAAACGCCGCTATCTTAGAGGGTGGGGGAAAAAACGTTCCCTTCCCTCTCTCCTCACGGGAGGAAGCAATTTCAAAAAGCTTTTGCAGGAAAAAATACTTGGGATAGAAAGAAGGTAGGATCTCACCCAGTTTCTCCGCGGTGCTTTCAAGTGCTTAGTTGTAAGCTTGGCCTCAGCTGGAAACGGCATTAATGATGGGCCACGTTAGTAGCCGATCTTTTCCCCGTCAGCCAGAAGAGCTACTCCGGATCAAACGGAAGGGCTGCCACCCCTCCGCGATCAGTCGGAGGTCCCCTTCACACTCATCACCCCTCCAGGACGACTTTCAACCCTTTTCAGGGTCACATGGTGGGAGAAAACTGGACGGCAGAGGGAGCAACTGCTCCGCACGTCTGTCAGTGCCGTGATCACAAATCGGAAGACTCGATGGTCACTTTTTAATGGTGTGTAAACGTTGCTTATCTCTATGTGCCTGTTGATGGCTGATTTAAGTGCCAGGCTTGCAGACATCCTGGAGTATTTTGGGGACTTTGATTGGGTCTAGGATGCTCACTGTTACCCAGTTGAAACAACGGTGTATGTGTGTGTGTGGGGGGTGTCTCTCCACACGTGGGGTAAAACGGAGTTTTCATCATGTCTTCTGAGTGATTTTTGTTCTTACCTGGACTGCGCCATTCAACCGAGCCCCCGAATTGGTACACCTCCCCGTGTGCCAAGCCTAAGAAAAGCCCGTTGCTAATAGAAAGAAGAAGCCGTTCAAGACGTACCCTCTGCTTCTGTTCCTCGGTCCTGACATCACTGCGGACATTAGCCCACGGAATGTCTTCGGGCCACCAAATGGGTTTGCAGCTCTCCTTACCCCAGCCCGGCTTCCCGCGACCCGTTGAGTATTTCAGCATTTCAGGAATGAACGCCCTCAGCTGGGCCTGTGGCATTAAGGGGGGGGGGGGGAGGAAGAAAATTAAATAATTAAAGATCTGGGAAGCAAAGGTCTGCGCCGGCAGCTTGGCCTGTTACAGATCATAGCGAGGCAGGAATATCAAGATTGTATTCGTGAAATGTATACGCTACTCATCTCACGCTCCAAAGATCGCATTTATTTGCATTTATTTATCAAATTTATTTGCTGCCCATCGCAACTACAAGGTGACTCTGGGAGGCTACCCATGTTAAAATAAATAAATAAATTCTCATCGTCTCTCATTTACCTCCTCCTGTTGGTATCTATGATTTATCACTTGATGTATATTGTGATTAATGATTGTAACTATAATCCATGATATATGACCCACCACTTTATTGTTTGTATGTACACTGAGAGCTTATGCATCTGGGACAAATTCACACTTGGCCAATAAAAAATTCTATTCTATTCTGTTCTGTTCTAGTTTTATTCTATTCTATTCTATTCCATTCCATTCCATATTTTCTATTCTATTCTATTCCATATTTTCTATTCTATTCTATTCTATCCTATCCTATTCCATATTTTCTATTCTATTCTATTCTATTCTATTCTATTCTATTCTATTCTATTCTATTCTATTCCATTCCATTCCATATTTTCTATTCTATTCTATTCCATTCCATATTTTCTATTCCTATTCCTATTCTATTCCATTCCATTCCATCCCATCCCATATTTTCTATTCTATTCTATTCTGTTCTGTTCTAGTTTTATTCTATTCTATTTACATTTTAAGATGGTATTATATCCTATTTATATTGTATATTCATATACAATTTAAATAGGATATAATATTGTATATAAATAAGATATAATACTGTATATTAAAATGTAAATATGAATATACAATAAATGTACATTTAATGTACAGACGATATCAAGATGCAAGGATATTGCATCTTGGCCCATTACAGTGTATATCAATGCAAGGTTTTCAGATATACTGGAAAAATATTAACGCGGAACTAAGTGTACACTTCCTACTGCATTTGAGGATGGGGCGGGGGGGGGGCAATATCCCAGCACCCTTTGGGACAAGGTAGGAAGAGTATTGATGCTTTTGAAGTTTAGGGTTGGAGAAGACTCTGGAGAATAGCAAACCCAAAACAAACAAGTGATCATCCACCAGATCAATCCACAGTCCTCACTCAAGGTATGTTCCTCCAGCTGTTTACGCAGCTCTCCGATCCATCCCTATTTCCCATTGCATAGCTATTGACATTTTTTTGTGAATTGCACTGGAAATTCTTGAAGGAAGAATGGAGCCTACAGGTGTCCTGTGTCAACTAAGAGATGGCGTATAAAATGCAGATGGTTCTTCTTCTTTTTTTTTTTAAACCCATGGCGAAATGCTGCAGTGCTTAGGGTGTATTTGTCTGCAGATCGCTAATTCTGGCCTTTGCGAGTTGCATCACCTTCCTCTTCCTCCTCCTTTTTCTCTTGGTAGGAAGGAAAGGGAGGCCTTTACTTCCCCAAGGCTTTCTGAAAAAATATGTGGAATATGTGAATCGGCTCCATTTCCTCTTCCCCCTATCTCTCTGTCTCTCGCTGTCTCTTTGTCTCTCTTTTTCTCTCTGTCTCTTTCTCTGTCTGTCTCTCTTTGTTTGTCTCTCTCTCTTTTTCTGTCTTTTTTTTCTCTCTCTTTGTCTTTCTTTCTGTCTCTGTCTTTTTTCTCTCTCTCTCTATCTCTCTTTTTCTATCTGTCTCTTTCTTTGTATCTCTTTTTCTCTGTCTCTCTTTTTCTGTCTCTGTCTCTCTTTTTCTGTCTCTCTCTCTCTCTGTCTGTCTCTCTTTTCTCTCTCTCTCTCTCTCTCTCTTTTCTCTCTGTCTCTCATTTTCCCTGTCTGTCTGTCTCTCTCTCCCATAGATACGAAATCAAAGAGAGCTTGTTTTTTTCAGGTTTTCCCAATTGTTCCATAAAGAGATATAAAATAGCTATGAAAACACACTATCACACTACAGCAGCTCCTAGTGTCTCGCAACTAATATTGCAATAATTACATTGCGGCATATCAACTTCAGAAAGCATCTGGCAGAAGCTTCTGTAAGCCAGCGGTCCCCAATCTTTGCGACTTGGCGGCCCAGAGGGGGGTGGAACTTGCTCTTGCAAGTTGCAAATAAGCCATGGCTTGGTAGCTGGCTGTGTTGTCCCGGGAATCCCTGATGTGAGCTGCTTCTTTTTTTTTTTTTGACATTGTTAAGCCTCAAAAGGTGATGCCCAACTGTTTATGAGTTTGATATATTGTAGATTTGGACAATATTGTATATTGGACATCAACTTCTAGAATTTCCCAGCCAGCCTGCTGAATCTACACATCTCAAAACAGGATAGAATATTGGTGGCTCAGGGTTGAACTGTGCAGTCCTTGGTGCTCTCTGAGCTGGGTGGTTTTTTTGCAGACGTCTCATGACCCAACTAGGGAACATCATCAGTGCTAGAAGGGAGTGGAAAGGAGAAGGGAAAGAAGGAAGGAAGGAAGGAAGGAAGGAAGGAAGGAAGGAAGGAAGGAAGGAAGGAAGGAAGGAAGGAAGGAAGGAAGGAAGGAAGGAAGGAAGGGAGGGAACTGTGGGGCTTTTGGTGCTCTCTGAGCTTCGTGGTTTTCTTGCAGACGTTTCATGACCCAACTAGGGAACAGCATCAGTGCTAGAAGGGAGTGGGAAGGAGAAAGGAAGGAAGGAAGGAAGGAAAAAAGAAAGAAAGAAAGAGAAGGAAGGAAGAAAAAAAGAAAGAAAGAAGGAAGGAAGGAAGGAAGGAAGGAAGGAAGGAAGGAAGGAAGGAAGGAAGGAAGGAAGGACTGTGCAGCCCTTGGTGCTCTCTGAGGAATTGTGGGAGTTGAAGTCCACAAGTCAGAAAAGGGCCAAGTTGAAAGACCCCTGCCTTACACCACTGCTTTTCAAACATGGCCACTTTAAGACTTGTGGACTTCAACTCCCAGAATTCCCTAGCCAGCATGTTGAAGGGAATGATGGAATTATCCTGGCTGAGGAATTTTGGGAGTTGGAGTCCACAAGTCACCAAAGGGCCCAGTTGGAAGACCCCTGCTCTTCCACTCACCCCAAAGGCCTGTGGGGTGTGATTTTTGCCTGTTTCCGCTCAGGTGAGGCTTCTGGGGTCCAGAAGCTCCAACTGGCTGCTTTGAAAGCTGTATTTTTTATTTTTTATTTTTGCTTTTGCTCCCCAGACGGATTAATTAGAAACTCAAGAGTTTTGCGCTACCGCCAGCACTTCTCAAGGGCCTCGGGGAGGCAATCAAGCAGGGCCGGGCCCAGCAAGCCCGCTCAGGCACGAGACCTTTAATTAGGAACAGAAGATGATCAGAGACGTTGCTTCCCAAAGACTAATCGGGGTTCTCAAAAACCAATTGCCCAACTGGATCGGAAGACAGCCCGGCTTTGACAAGCCTTCATTTCCCTGTCGCTCCAGAGGTTCAGCTTTCACAGCTTGTGAGGCGTCCCCGACACCCCCAAATTTTCTGTCGCTAAGTAAGGCAGCTGACTCCCATTTACGACGGTTGTGACTTTCTGAACAGGCAACGTCAAGGGAGGGGGGGAGCCAGGTGCGCTTAACAACGGGATGACTGGCTTAAAAACCGCAGCCATTGACTTAACCGCTGCAAGGGGGGGGGGGAAACTCAGTTGACGCGTGTTTCGCTTAGCGACGCACGTTTTGGGGCCGAGTTGTGCGGCCGTACCCCGAGGACCGCCTGCATTTCGGAAGATGGCTGTGCCTCTAGGGCAGTGGTTCTCAACCTGTGGGTCGGGACCCCATTTGGGGTCGAACGACCATTTCACGGGAGTCGCCAAACAACGCAGTCCGCCATTTTTCCCCCCTTTTCCTTAGCTGGGCTACTCCCTTTTATTCTATTGGCTTTTGAAAGCCAATAGAAGAGACTCTCTTGAATAGAGTCTCATTCTATTGGCTTTCCAAAGCCAATAGGAATTGTCCAGGCTGTCTCTGCCCTGCTGAGCCCGCCAAAAGTCCCAGTCTGCAAACGGGGCTGCACCAGTTGAGTAGTCCTCGACTTACGACCGGTTGAGTAGTCCTCGACTTACGACCGCGGCATTAAAAAGGTTGAGAACCACTGCTCTAGGGAGAAGAATTAAGGGCCTCTCCGAGGAGTTGTGGTTAAGAGGCCGAGAGATGCTTTGCTGGGAAAAAAAAAAAACCCAATCAGCTAGAGAGATTTTTGGACGCTCCTTCCCTCTCTTGGCAACCTTGGCCCCAGGTTTCCAGCTCGGCGGCTTTGGTTACCTGGGTCATCTTATCCACCGAGACCGGGATGCCGTCGATGGTGAGCGGGGGCAGCTCGGAGTTCACCTCCTGCGGCGCAGGTGCGTGCTCCAGCAGCGCCGACTCCAAATCTTCCAGGATCATGCTTTTGTACTTGCGCACCTGTGGGGAAAACGCAGAGGGCCAGGTAAACAAGGCAGGAGGGAAGGAAATGCTAAGTAACCGAAACGGAGGGGGGGGGAGGAGGCCGCAAACAACGGCCCCGCAGCTGCCCAAGGAGGAAAAACAGCCCGTGGCCCCAGAGGAGGGGAGGCGCAGGCGTGTGAGATGATGAAAGGGAGAGCAACACCAGCGCGTAAAGCAAGCGGTGGCAGGGGGGGGGGGTGGCCGGAGACTGTTGGGAAGGGAGGGGAGGGACTCCGGGGAAGGGGCTTGGGGAGGTCCTCAGCCAGAGTCTCTGGAGGCTTTGGAGTCACTCTTGGGGAGGTGGACTTGAGGGGCGGCCTTTCTGTAGATATGGACCAACGGAAGAGGGTCTTCGTAGCTCGGGGTTGAACGGAGGGGTCCCCCGGTGGTCTCCGAGCTGGGTGGTTTTCCTGCAGACGTTTCGTGACCCAACTAAGGAACGTCATCAGTGCTAGTAAGGAGTGGGAAGGAGAAGGAGGAAGGAAGGAAGGAAGGAAGGAAGGAAGGAAGGAAGGAAGGAAGGAAGGAAGGAAGGAAGGAAGGAAGGAAGGAAGGAAGGAAGGAAGAAGAGGAGGAGGAGAGGAGGACTGTGGGGTCCTTGGTGCTCTCTGAGCTGGGTGGTTTTCCTGAAGACGTTTCATGACCCAACTAGGGAATGTCATCAGTGCTAGAAGGGAGTGGAAAGGAGAAGGAGGGAGGGAGGGAGGAAGGAAGGAAGGAAGGAAGGAAGGGAGGGAGGGAGGGAGGAAGGGAGAGAGGGAGGGAGGGAGGGAGGGAGGGAGGGAGGGAGAGGTGAAGAACTGTGGGGTCTTTGGTGTTCTCCTTCCTTCCTTCCTCTTCTCCTTCCTTCCTTCCTTTCTTCCTTCCTTCCTTCCTTCCTTCCTTCTATCCTTCCTTCCTTCCTTCCTTCCTTCCTTCCTTCCTTCCTTCCTTCTTCTCCTTTCCACCTAGCACTGATGCTGTTCCCTAGTTGGGTCTTGAAACGTCTGGAAGAAAACCACCCAGCTCAGAGAGCCCCAAGGAACCCCCACAGTTGTAGATACGCAGACGTCAATTGGGACCTTTTTGTATCTCACCGTTTACCTTTGAGTAAAAGTAAAATAACCGACTAGTTTCCCGAGGTTAGTATTTCAAGGAGGCAAAGAGACAGAGGCTTCTCTCGCGAAGATGCCATGGGCTTTACATCCCCCCTAGTCGTCGCCATCTTCTCCTGGCAATTCCCAAAACTTTTCCATTCCCTGCACCCCCACCCCCACGCAATCCCGCTTCCAGCTTTCTGACTGGGAGGGGTGGGGAGCCTTACCACGTTCTCCAGGGGGGCCGCCCCAAAGACCTTGAAAACCGGGTTGGGCTTGGAGGGCGAGATGCACAGGACGATCGCTTGCTGCCCGACCCGGGTGGTATATTCATCCAAGGTGGCTCGCAGCTTCCTGGGTCACGAAAAGGAAAAATAAATTGGCTTCAAAAGATATTCCCCCCTCCAGGAAAGACACGTCGGTCCTTTGCTTCTGCCCCCCCACCCCAGACTTTCTGGTTTTAAACTTTTCCGCCCCGTCAGATTTGCAAATGGGAGGAAGGCCTCCCGTTCCGGCAAATGGGGGTAGAGAAACTTCACGTATTTAATTCATAAATGGATACGCTGCCCGTCTCGCTGTCAAGTGGCTTACAAGAGGTTAAAAAAAAAAATTAAAAAAGTATGGGAAGAACTAAGGAGAAACTTCCTGACAGTGAGAACAATTAACCAGTGGAACCGCCTGCCTCCAGAAGTTGTGGGTGCTCCAACACTGGAAGTTTTTAAGAAGAGACTGGACAGCCCTTTGTCCGAAATGGTGTAGGGTTTCCTGCCTGAGCAGAGGGTTGGACTAGATGACCTCCAAGGTCCCTTCCACCTTTACTACTATTACTATTACAATTAAAAGAATTAAATAGAAAAGCTGAAAAAGCCAGGTGACGTAAAAGCAAGTAGAAAACATTAAAATGTGACATGTAAAAATAACTTGAGATTAAGTAAGTTAAATAGCAAAATACGACAGGGTGAGGGTGGGATCTTCCGGTTAAGGTGCTGGCGTAGAAAGCAGGAGACGGTGAGTTCTAGTCCCGCCTTAGGTACGAAAGCCAGCTGGGTGACTTTGGACCAATCACCAGGAGACGGGGAGTTCTAGTCCCGCCTTAGGCATGGAAGCCGGCTGGGTGACTTTGGGCCAATCACCAGGCGATGGGGAGTTCTAGTCCCGCCTTAGGCATGGAAGCCAATTGGGTGACTTTGGGCCAATCACCAGGAGACGGGGAGTTCTAGTCCCGCCTTGGGCATGAAAACCAGCTGGGTGACTTTGAGCCAATCACCAGGAGACGGTGAGTTCTAGTCCCGCCTTGGGCATGAAAGCCGGCTGGGTGACTTTGGGCCAATCACCAGGAGACGGGGAGTTCTAGTCCCGCCTTAGGCATGAAAGCCGGCTGGGTGACTTTGGGCCAATCACAGGAGATGGTGAGTTCTACTCCCGCCTTAGGCATGGAAGCCAATTGGGTGACTTTGAGCCAATCACTAGGAGATGTGGAGTTCTAGTCCCGCCTTAGGCCCGAAAGCCAGCTGGGTGATTTTGGGAATCCCTAGGAAAAAGCCAGCTGGGAGACTTTTAGCTATTTACTCTCTATCACAGAACTGTTGTCGTCGGGGAAAATAAGAGAAGGAAGGAATATTAGTATATTCATTGCCTTAAGTTGTGTATGAAGGGAATAAAAATATGATAAATAAAACAAATTAAAAAGTACATATTTGATTGCACAGATGGACTTGAGTGGCAGAAAATTTCCTGACAGTGAGAACAATTCACCAGTGGAACAACCTGCCTCCAGAAGCGGTGAATGCTCCAAAACTAGAAGTTTTGAGGAAGAAACTGGACAGCCATTTGTCTGAAATGATATAGGGTTTCCTGCCTGAGCAGGGGGCTGGACTAGATGACCTCCAAGGTCCCTTCCAACTCTGATCCTATTCTATTCTATTCTATTTTCTATTCTATTCTATATCTCATTCCATATCTCCTATTCTATTCTATTCTATTCTATTTTCTATTCCATTGTATTCCATTCTATTCTATTCTATTCTAATTTTCTATCTATTCCATTCTATTCCATTCCAATCTATTCTATTCTATTCCATATTTTCTATTCTATTCTATTCTATTCTACTCTACTCTATTTTCTATTCTATTCTATTCTATTCTATTTTCTATCTATTCTATTCTATTCTATTTTCTATTCTATTCTATTCTATTCTATTCTATTCTATTCTATTCTATTCTATTCTATTCTATTCTATTCTATTCTATTCTATATTCCTTCTATTCTATTCCATTCCATTCCATTCTCCAAAGCCCCTGAAGGCAGGACAAGAAGCAACAGATGGAAACTCACCAAGGAGAGAAGCAACCTGGAATTAAGGAGAAACTTCCTGACAGTTGGAACAATTAGCCAGTGGAACCACCTGCCTCCAGAAGTGGTGAAAGCTCCAACACTGGAAGTCTTTAAGAAGAGACTGGACAGCCATTTGTCTGAAATGGTATAGGGTTTCCTGCCTCAGAAGGCAATTGGACTAGACCAGGGCTCTCCAACCTTGCCCACTGTAACACTTGTGGACTTCAACTCCCAGAATTCCTCAGCCAGCCAAGCTTCTGGGAGTTGAAGTCCCCAAGTCTTAAAGCTGCCAAGGTTGGGGACTAGATGACCTCCGAGGTCTCTTCCAACTTTATGATTATTATAATAATTAAAGGTTGAGGAGCAGGAAGGAGAAAGAAACAGGGCTGTGAAGTTTGTGCGGTCACAACAGCCCCCTCTTAGGCCGGTTTCGAGGAGAAAAATCAGGGCCATCTGTCCGAATGCTGTGGAGGAGGATTGCATCACAAATCTAATTAAAGAAGACTGCGCCCGGTTCTGGGGAGCACCATACAAAAAAGATTGTCTCTGGCAGCTAGTCCATCAGAGGAGGTGTGACTGCCACAGGACCCGTCACTAAGACGACCAGCTCCGCCAAAGCACCAAGGGGTTTCCCCGTGGATACCGAGCAAGACCGAGCCGCGGGTTGCAACACCCGGCCGGGGAAAATGAGGCTGAACGTTGCATCAGAGAAGCCCTTGAGGAAAGAGAAAGGGGAAATGTCCTCCCAACTAGCATTTAACCTGGTTCTTCTTGGGAAGGGTCCAAACCACATTCCGAGAGGTGCGTTGTCAACGCTGCTAACATCGGATGTTTTTGCTTCGACAACACTTGGAGAGGCAACCACTTTCTTCTTATGTTTTTACTCTTTACTCTTGTTAGAGCAGGGGTAGGCAACCTTGGCTCTTTTATGACTCGTGGACTTCAATTCCCAGAATTCCTGAACCAGCTTGCTGGCTCAGGAATTCTGGGAATTGAAGTCCACGAGTCATAAAAGAGCCAAGGTTGCCTACCCCTGAGTTAGAGGAACGTGCGTGAGAGTTTAGCTAGACATAACAATACTGGACCTAGTGTGAGAACCAAGGTGATTGAAATAAGAGGTGATAAGAAATGGCCCGGGCTGGAGGACTGGAGAGAAAGCCTGCATTTCAAACTAATTGGAGAATGTGATTTAGGACAGTTCATTGGAGGAAGGAATTGTGTTTTGATATTATGTGCTGCGTTTTCCCAGTTGGAAAACTGGCTGCGAAAGTTGGACCATAAGAAAGGCGGAGCGCCAAAGAATTGAGGCCTTTGAACTAGGGTGCCGGAGAAGACTCCTGCGAGTCCCCTGGACTGCAAGGCGATCCAACCGGTCAGTCCTAGAGGAGATCAACCCCGACTGCTCTTTAGAAGGCCAGATCCTGAAATTGAAACTCAACTACTTTGGCCACCTGATGAGAAGGAAGGACTCACTGGAGAAGAGCCTGATGCTGGGAAAGATGGAGGGCAAGAGAAGAAGGGGACGACAGAGAAGGAGGTGGCTGGATGGAGTCCCTGAAGCAGTAGGCGTGAGCTTCAATGGACTCCAGAAGATGGTCGAGGACAGGAAGGCCTGGAGGAACGTTGTCCATGGGGCCGCGATGGGCCGGACACGACTTCGCAACTAACAACAATAACATTATGTGCTGAGGGGAGGGGAATTCAGTTTTTTTGGGCTTCGACTGTGTTAGTGCCGATGCTATGCTTCTCTAATAAAGATTCTTTAAGGTAAACAATGCCTTTGAGGAGTTTCATCTGTCGGAACCGTGACATGCGTGTCCGGTCTCCTAGACTTGTGCATAGCACCAGACTTTGCCATGCCCAAGAAGAAGGAAGCCTGTGCTGGTAAATAGCAGAAGGTACCTCTACTATCAGGGTAAATAAGGGATAAAAGTACGTAGCTGCCCCATCACTCCTGCTTTGGCCAACTGTCATAGGGACTACTGCCATGGGTCTTACATGGAACCACCCTTGAAGAGCACTTGGAAGCTTCACGGGGTTCCAAGATGAAGTTGCTGGGGTGCTGATAGGACTTCTAGGTTTCTCCTTGTCACAATTGCAAAAGTAGTCTTAGTGATCTATTTCTCTCTGCTATCAAGATGTTGGTTGGTTACCACCCCCAAAACCCTACGTGGCTTAGGATCTGGATGGATGGATGGACGGACGGACAGACGGCTGGATAGATGTTGGAAAGACAGATATAGAACGTACATATGAAAGATAGATAAGATAGATAGATAAACAAACAGATAATAGATGAAAGATAGACAATAGATGGTAGATAGGCAAACAAACAGATAATAGATAGATGAAAGATAGATAGATACATAGACAATAGATAGATATAGACAAATAATAGATAATGCAGATGAAAGATAGAGATGATAGATGGTAGATATAGACAGATAATAGATAGACAATAGATGAACGATAGACAAGATAAATAGACAGAAAGACAAACAGATAATAGATTAGAGAGATGATAGAGACAGAAAGATAGACAGATAATATAGACAATAGATGAATGATAGACAAGATAGATGATAGACAGAAAGATAAAAATAATAGATGACAGATGATAGAGAAAAAGAAAGAAAGAAAGATTTACAGACAAACAATAGGCAGGCACAATATATGCATACATACAGACATAGAGAGAGTGGGTGGGTGGGTGGATGGATGGATGGATGGATGGATAGATAAGATGATAGAGTGAAAGGGGGGAGGAATCACCTCCAGACCTGCCAGATTCTGCTACTAGAGCTTCACAATGAAGAAGCTATTGACCTCCATGGTATCGTTTTCTTAGCCTGGCCTACCTGGCAGGGCTGACCTCTCAACCGCTTCGCAAGTCAGCTGCACGGCCCCACGTAGCCCAACTCCCGTGTTCCCTGGACAAAGCTAGGTGGGAGGAAGCTCCGTCCGAATAGAGCAGGATCGGGGCTCCCACCCCATACTCCCACCCTTGTTTGCAGCTGAGCACTCGGCAGCCAACCGGAAGGCCCCGTGCCATGCCCCCCGCCCTCCCCAGCTGGAAGAGGGAATCCTGGGATACGCCGCCCAGACAAGCGCTCTTACCGTAACAACCGGGTCTGCTGCCTCTTGCGGATGGAGGGGTTGGATTCGAAGACGTGGGGCCGCTTCCTTTTCTTCCCGGTGGCCACGGCAGCTGCTGCAGCCATTCCCACCGGCCCTGGGGACAAAAGAGAGACTTGAAACACCCACGGGAGGAAAGCCAGGCCGGATGGAGAGGTCTTCCCTATCCAGATGTGGTGGGCGACAGCTCCCATCGTCCCCCATCGCAAAGCGGGGCGGAGGGTTCATCAAAACAAGGGGGGGGGGAGGCAACCGGCCGGGAATCACGGCAGCTGCGTTCCAAACCAAGTACTGCGGGTCCTCAACTACAAAAGTTCCTTTAGTGACGGGGAAAAAAGCGGCCAATGACCGTTTTTCACACTTACGACCGTGTCACGTGTGATGAAAATTCAGACACTGGGCAACCGACTCACATGTATGACGGTTGCAGCGTTCCGGGGTTACGGGATCCCCTTTTGCGACCTTCTGATGGATGACGTCAATGGGGGGGGGAGCTGGATTCGCTTAACGACTCTGTTCCTAACGTAACAACTGCAGTGATCCACTTAACAACGGTGGTAAAATGGGGCAAAAGTCCCCGAACCACTGTCTCGTTTAGCAACAAAAATTTTGGACTCAGTTGGGGTCCTGAGATGGCCCTTGACTTACGACCATTTGTTTAGTGACCATTTTAAGTTGCCATGACACTGGGAAAAGTGACTTATGACGGGTCCTCATACTTACGACCATCGCAGCCTCCCCACGGTTGCTTAGCAACTGGCACCTATTTAGGACCGGTGCGGCATCCAGGGGCCACGCGATCGCCGTTTATGACCTTCCCAGAGGGTTCCCAGCAAGCAAAGACAATGGGGGAAGCCTTATTCGCTTAATGACCATGTGATTCACTTAGCAACAGATTCGCTTAGCAACAGATTTCCTCAGCAACGGTGGCAAAAGAGATTGTAAAGTCAGCTAGGACTCACTCCCTTGCTTAGCCATGGAAGGTCCGGTCCCAACTGTGCTCTGTAAATCGAAGACTAAATTCCCGTTGCTAAAGGAGACATTTGTTAAATGAGCATTCCCCCATTTTACCCTCTTGCCACCGTTGTTCAGCAAATCACTGCAATTCTTAAGTTACTAACGCCATTGTTAAGTGGGTCCGGCTTCCCCCCCAATGACTTCGGGGGATCCCGTGACGCCCTCCCCAGGGACACGGCAACCGTCGTAAGTAGGAGTCAGTGGCCAAGCATCTGAATTTTGATCCCGTAACCGTGGGGATGCTGTAACGGTCGTAAGTGTGAATACTGGCTGTAAGTCACTTTTTTCAGTGCTGTCGTAATTTCAAACGGTCACTAAACAAACGGTTGTAAGTTGAGGACTGCTTGTAATACTGGTTCACTTCCCAAGAATCATTGCAAGGCACAGGATAAGCCTGTCATTTTGATACAGGTTTTGGGTGCTTCAATGAAGAGAAGGACCAGGGGGGACAGGATAGCAGCGTTCCAGTATCTCAGGGGCTGCCCCAAAGAAGAGGGAGTCAAGCTATTCTCCAAAGCGCCTGAAGGCAGGACAAGAAGCACCGGATGGAAATCGATCAAGGAGAGAAGCAACCTAGAAGGAAGGAGAAATTTCCTGACAGGGAGAACAATTAACCAGTGGAACAGCTTGCCACCAGAACTTGAGACTCCAGAAAGAGTGCAGAGAAGAGCAACAAAGATGATTAGGGGATTTGGAGGCTAAAACATATAAGGAAAGGTTGCTGGAATTGGGTATGTCCAGTTAACGAAGAGAAGGACGAGGGGGGACATGATAGCAGCCTTCCAGTATCTCAGGGGCTGCCCCCAAAAAGAGGGAGTCAAACTGTTCCCCAAAGCGCCTGAAGGCAGGACAAGAAGCAACGGATGGAAACTAACCAAAGAGAGAAGCAACCTAGAACTAAGGAGAAATTTCCTGACAGTCAGAACAATTAACCAGTGGAACGACCTGCCTCCAGAAGTGGTGAATGCTCCAACACTGGAAGTTTTTAAGAAGAGACTGGACAGCCATCTGTCCGAAATGGTATAGGTCAGTGGTTCTCAACCTTTTTAATGCCGCGACCCCCAACCGGTCGTAAGTCGAGGACTACTCAACTGGTGCAGCACCGTTTGCAGACTGGGGCTTTTGGCGGGCTCAGCAGGGCAGAGACAGCCTGGACAATTCCTATTGGCTTTTTGAAAGCCAATAGAATTAGACTCTATTCAAGAGAGTTTATCCTATTGGCTTTCAAAAGCCAATAGAATAAAAGGGACTAGCACAGCTAAGGAAAAGGGGGCAAAAAATGGCGGACTGCATTGTTTGGTGACCCCCGTGAAACGGTCGTTCGATCCCCAAATGGGGTCCCGACCCACAGGTTGAGAACCACTGGTATAGGCTTTCCTGCCTGAGCAGGGGGTTGGACCAGATGACCTCCAAGGTCCCTTCCAACATTATTATTATTATCCTTCCCACAACCAGCTTGGAATGTGAAAATAAAACCCAAAGGAACACAAGGGAGGTGGGAGATTAAGAAATAAATAAATAATAAATGAATGAATTAAACAAACACAGGCTAGGACTAGGTTAAGCTACTAGAGAATAAGGCTAATAGGTTACCTAACTGAAAAATTAAACTACAACAAGGTTGGTTATTACTGTTCTGCTGCCCTCTGCAGGCTACGATTTTTTAAATGGCTTGTTTTGGCTTCAGGGAAATCCTGAAAAAACCCAGATCGAAAGTAAAAATAGAAATAAAAACAGCCCTTTCCTTGCTCCTAAAATGAAGACACGTTGTCCTCGACTTACAACAGATCATTTAGCGAACGTTCAAAATTGCAACAAGACTGAAAAAAGCATCCTAGGACCTTTGGAGCTGGAAGCTTTTTTAAAAAAAAAAAATTCTTGCAGGAAATGGGTAACTTATTTTTGGTATTAACTATCAATCAATCAGTCAATCAAACAATCAGAATAGAGCTGCAAGGGATCTTGGAGGTCATCTAGTCCAACCCTCTGCTCAGGCAGGAGACCCTAGACCATTTCAGACAAAGGGCTGTCCAGTCTCTTCTTAAAAACCTCCAGTGTTGGAGCAGCCACAACTTCTGGTGGCAAGCTGTTCCACTGGTTAATTGTCCTCACTGTCAGGAAGTTTATCCTTAATTCCAGGTTGCTTCTCTCCTTAATTAGTTTGTGTCCATTGTTCCTTGTCTTGCCTTCTGGTGCTTTGGAGAATAAGTTGACCCCCCCCCCTCTTCTTTGGGGCAGCCCCTCAAATTCTGAAACCATGTCCCCCCCCCCCTAGTCCTTCTTTTCTCCAGACTAACCAAACCCAAATCCTGCCACTGTTCTTCTTACGTTCTTGTCTCCAGGCCTTTAATCTTCCTAACCTTGGTAAAGCCACACTTGGAATCCTGCATCCAGTTTTGGTCACCACGATGTAAAAAAGATGCTGAGACTCTAGAAAGAGTGCAGGGAAGAGCAACAGAGATGATCAGGGGACTGGAGGCTGAAACATACAAGGAACGGTTGCTGGAGTTGGGTATATCCAGTTTAATGAAGAGAAGGACGAGGGTGGATATGATAGCAGTGTTCCAACATCTCAGGGCCTGCCCCAAAGAGGAGGGAGTCAAGCTATTCTCCAAAGCCCCTGAAGGCAGGACAAGAAGCAACGGGTGGAAACTGATCAAGGAGAGAAGCAACTTGGAACTAAGGAGAAACAATTAACCAGTGGAACGACCTGCCTCCAGAAGCGGTGAATGCTCCAACACTGGAAATGTTTAAGAAGAGACTGGACAGCCATTTGTCCGAAATGGTATAGGGTCTCCTGCCTGAGCAGGGGGTTGGACTAGATGACCTCCAAGGTCCCTTCCAACTTTATTATTATTATAATTGCAGTTCTCTGCACTTTCCCCAAAGTCTCGACCTCTTTTTCGTAACCTGGTGACCAAAACTGGTTGCAGCATTCCAGGTGTGGTTTTATTGCAGGCCAAGCCAATGACGGGGATGAGAAAGGGACCTATGTGCCTCCACCTGCCCTCCAGGTGTGGCTCAAGAAGGGAGCAAGAAGCCGGCAGAGCCAACCTACCTGCGGCGGCCAGGTGGGCCGTCACCTCGTCGGCGGCGGTGGAGTTGAGGATGTCCGAGTCGTCATAGGACGTGTCCTCGGGAGAAGAGGGGGAGTCTTCGTCCGCACTCAGCATGCTGTGCTCCGTGTAGGTGGCCACGTGGACCTGCTGGACCTGCTGGGCCACGGCGTGGGCCTCTATGGTTGCCATGTGCTCGGTCTGGGTCACCGTATGTTCCTCCATGAAGGACCACTGCTGCGGGGAAGGAAGCAGAGGAGAAGAGGAAGCCGTCAGCACCAACGACACCCAACCTTCGGAGCGATAGGCTAGTACTTGATAGGTAGACAAAAACGCCAAATCCAGTCTGAACATCTGGCTGACTGTGCGATTAATAATAATAATAATAATAATAATAATAATAATAATAATAATAATAGTGGTAGTAGTAATACTTGATAGGTAGACAAAAATGCTAAATTCAGTCTGAACATCTGGCTGACTGTGCAATGATGATGATTAATAATAGTAGTAGTAGTAGTAATACTTGATAGGTAGACAAAAATGCCAAATCCAGTCTGAACATCTGGCTGACTGTGCAAGGATTAATAATAGTAGTAGTAGTAGTAGTAGTAGTAGTAGTAATAATACTTGTTGATAGGTAGATAAAAATGCCAAATCCAGTCTGAACATCTGGCTGACTGTGCGATTAATAATAATAATAATAATAGTACTTGATAGGCAGACAAAAAGGCCAAATCCAGTCTGAACATCTAGCTGACTGCAAGGATGAATAATAGTAGTAGTAGTAGTAGTAGTAGTAGTAGTAATACTTGATAGGTAGATAAAAATGCCAAATCCAGTCTGAACATCTGACTGACTGTGCGATTAATAATAATAATAATAATAATAATAATAATAATAATACTTGAAAGGTAGACAAAAACACCAAATCCAGTCTGAACTTCTGGCTGACTGTGCAATGATCAATAATAACAACAACAACAACAACAACAACAATACAGGTAGTCCTTGACTTATGACAACGGAGGCCAAAATTTCCGTTGCTAAGCGAGACAGATGTTAAGTGAGTTTTGCCCCATTTTTACGACCTTTCTTGCCGCAGTCGCTAAGCGAATCACTGCAGTTGTTAAGTCAGCAACACGGTTGTTAAGTGAATCTGGATTCCCCCCGTGACTTTGCTTGTCAGGTCGCAAAAGGGGATCACGTGACTTTGGGACGCCACATCTGGATGCCAAGACTCCGAGTTCTGATCGTGTGACCACAGGGAGAGGCTGCAACAACAGTCGCACGGGGGGAAAACTTTGGTTAGTGTTGTTGTAATTTCGGTCACTAAGCGAATAGTTCCAAGTTAAGAATTACCTATGAATGAAACATTGGCTATCCTAGCCACTATACTGCTAGTCCTCTACTTACAACTACAACTGAGCTCCAAATTTCTCCTGTCAGAGTGAGATATTTGTTAAGCAAATTGTTCCGTTTTACAACCTTTCTCGCAACAGTTGTTAAGTTAGCAACTTAACTGCAGTCACCGTTGTTAAGTGAATCCAGCTTCCCCCCATTGACTTTGCTTCTTGGAAGGTCGTCATAAATAGGAGTCCGTCGCCAAGCATCTGAACTTTGATCACGGTGACCCCAGGGAGGGTGCAACGGTCATTAAGGGCGAAAAATGGTCACGTTACTTTGTTCTGTGCCCTTGTAACTTCAAACGGTCGCTAAGTAAACTGTTGGTAAGCCAAGGACTACCGGTAAGTGGAAACGAGGGCGGAGATTTGCTCAAACGCCGAGCCTTTGTTTATGGCCCGGCTCGGGTGCAAAACCTGCTCCTCGGACTTTGCACCAGCTTCTCCCAACTTGGAGCAGCAAAGATTATCTTGCAAGGCTTTAATCGGCCCCAAGCAGGACGGGCTGTGCCCCAGGTGGTTGAGGCTGATGGAAGGCGGGACGAGAGATTTGCTAAGGAGATACAACTCCAAGTAGAACTGCTTCAGCAAGGCATTTTTCACTGTGTCGCAGGGCACACAATTTGCGTTGCCTTCAAAACGAAAAGAAATGTAAGAACCCTGAACACTATGTTCTGGATTTTTAAATTCGATTACCACTAGTCCTCGCCTTACGGACACAGCTGAGCCCAAAGTTTGTGTTGCTAAGCAGGACGGTGGCTCGGTGAGTTTTGCCCCATTTTTACGACCTGGCTTGTCACCCTTGTTAAATGAATTGTGGTTCTTAAATGAACCCCGTTGACTTTGTTTGTCAGAAGGCTGTGAAAGGGGATCGCGTGGCCCCGGGACGCTGCAACCGACAAAAGTACATGCCAGTTGCCAAACGTACGGATTTCGGTTACGTGGCCGAAATGGTGCAAGGGTTATTAAGTGTGAGCTGTGAGTCGAAAAACTAGCTGCGTGATTCTCAAATTGAGGGCTTGGGTGACGAACGCTCATTTCGAAAGCAAAAACTCTGCAGAGGCTCCTCGGAAACGGCCCAATCATCAATGTGTGTTAGGAGAAAAATCACCTGGTGGCATCAACTCTTCAAGAAACCTTGCAAAGAAAGCTGTGAAGAGCCGCGTTGAAGGCCCTGCTCTTGTCTTTAATCATTTCCTGTCTCTTTTTTTTCCCCTAAACAAAGCCAACTCATTTTCTATATATAACTATAGTTCGTCAACAGCGAACCAAGGGTAGCCTCTGCCTCCGTTATAATTCATTTCTGCAAAAAAAAAAAAAAAAAAGGTTTGACACCAACTTAAGCATCAAATCTTCTGTTCTTTGCCCTGGAAGCTGTTTAGATCAGTGGTTCTCAACCTTTTTAATGCGGCGACCCCCCAACTGGTCGTAAGTCGATGACTACTCAACTGGTGCAGCACCGTTTGCAGAATGGGACTTTTGGCGGGCTCAGCAGGGCAGAGACAGCCTGGACAATTCCTATTGGCTTTGGAAAGCCAATAGAATTAGACTCTATTTATTTATTTATTTATTTATTTATTTATTTATTTATTTATGAGACTTATATACCGCTTTAAGTGCAAGCACTCTCTAAGCGGTGTACACCAGTAAGCAATGTATATATATTTACATTGCCCCCAACAATCTGGGTCCTCATTTTACCTACCTCGGAAGGGTGGAAGGCTGAGTCAACCTTGAGCCGGTGAGATTTGAACCGCTGACCTGCTGAACACAGTCAGATAAAGTGGCCTGCAGTACTGCACCCTAACTGCTGCGCCACCTCTCTTTCAAGAGAGTCTCTTCTATTGGCTTTCAAAAGCCAATAGAATAAAAGGAAGTAGCACAGCTAAGGAAAAGGGGGGGAAAAATGGCGGACTGCGTTGTTTAGCGACCCCCGTGAAATGGTCGTTCAAACCCAAATGGGGTCCCGACCCACAGGTGGAGAACCACTGGTTTAGATGCTCTGTTCACCCCTGCCAAGTCCTGGACAATCCTAAACTCTGTTTTAGCAAGAGAGAATTCAAAATAATTGAGCGCAGGTGGTCCCCGACTTAACGACAGTTCACTTAAGGACCAATCCAAGTTGCATCATCAATCAAACAAATTCACACACCTCAAATGCAACTCAAAAGAGAGTTTGCAAAAATAACGCCGGCGGGGCTTAACAACTCGTGACCGTTCAAAGATACAACGGCCCTTAAAAGAGGGACTTATTTTTCACACTTACGACCGTCGCAGCAATCCCCAGGGTCGCGTGATCAAAATTCAGGCCGCTTGGCAACCGACTCACATTTAGGACGGTTGCAGCGTCCCGGGGTCACGTGGTCCTCTTTTGTATCACCTTCTAACAAGCCAAGTCACTGGGGAAGCTGGATTCGCTTAACGACCGCGTTGCTAACTTAACCTCTGCAGCGACTCAGTTAACAACTATGGCAAGAAAGCTCATAAAATGGGGGCAAAATTCACTTCAACAATTGTCCGGTCTACTCTTCCATGCAAAACCATGCCTCTTCTTTTTATAAATAAACTTTAAGATTGCATTAGAAGGGGAGGGTACAGGAAAAAGAATTTAATAATAATAATAAAGCTGGAAGGGACCTTGGAGGTCATCTAGTCCAAACCCCTGATCAGGCAGGAAACCCTACACCATTTCAGACAAATGGCTGTCCAGTCTCTTCTTAAAAACCTCCAGCGTCAGAGCATTCACCGCTTCTGGAGGCTGGTAGTTCCACTGCTTAATTGTTCCAACTGTCAGGAAAGTTCCAGGTTGCTTCTCTCCTTGATTAGTTTCCATCTGTTGCTTCTTGTCCTGCCTTCCGGTGCTTTGGAGAATATTATTTTCTTTTAGGAATATTTAGAATATTATTTCATTTTAGATAATGGCCTAAAGCGAAGACTCTGCTAGGTAACAGAAAAAAGAATGGATCGTCATCCTAAATCACCTCTTTAAGATCTGGTTTGGCAGGAAAAAAGATTTAACCTGGCCACCTTCAAAGGATTACTATACACAAGTAGTCCACTAAGCTGGCAGGAGTAGCCAACGCCCCAGAAGACAAGCTTAGGATCCAAAAAGGTCTTGACAGACTTGAACAACGGGCCCTATGCAACAACATGACATTTAATGTGGAGAAAAAGCAAGGTTTGACACCAAGGCAGGAAAAACCAAAGGGACAAGTACAGATCAGGTGAAACCTGGCTCAAAAACAGCAACTGTGGGGGGGTCACCTTGGAGTCCTGGTGGACAGTCCCTTAAACGTGAGCCAGGAGTGTGCGGCGGCAGCCAAAAGAGCAAATACAATCCTGGGTTGTATAAACAGAGGCATAGAATCCAAATCACGTGAAGTTATTAGTACTGCTTTAAAAATCCTTAGTAAGGCCACGCCTGGAATCCTGCATCGTTTTGGTCCCCACATTACACAAAAGATGTTGAGGCTTTGGAAAAAGTGCAGAGAAGAGCAAGTAAGATGATCAAAGGCCTGGAGACTAGAACAAATGAAGAACGGTTGCAGGATTTGGGTATGGCTAGTCTAAAGAAAAGAAGGATCGGGGGTGACATGAAAGCAGTCTTACAACATCTGAGGGGCTGCCCCAAAGAAGAGGCAGTCAAGCTCTTCTCCAAAGCGCCTGAAGGCAGGACAAGAAGCGAAGGATGGAAACTAATCCAGGAGAGAAGCAACCTGGAACTAAGGAGAAACTTCCTGGCAGTGAGAACAATTAACCAGTGGAACCACCTGCCTCCAGAAGCGGTGGGTGCTCCATCACTGGAAGTGTTTAAGAAGAGACTGGACAGCCATTTGTCTGAAATGGTATAGGGTTTCCTGCCTGAGCAGAGGGTTGGACTAGATGACCTAACCCTTCCAACATTATTATTATTATTATTGAACATCGGGCACTAACTAACAAAATGAAATTCAATGGTGAAAAAAGCAAGGTTCTACATTTAGGCAAGAAAAACCAAATGCACAAGTACAGCATAGGTGGCACCATGCTCAATAGTAGTAACTGTGAGAGGGACCTCGGAGTCCTAGTAGACAATCACCTAAATATGAGCCAGCCGTGTGCTGCAGCTGCCAAAAAGGCCAACACAGTGCTAGGCTGCATTAACAGAGGGATAGAATCAAGATCACGTGAAGTATTAATACCACTCTTCAATGCCTTCATAAGGCCACACTTGGAATCCTGCATCCAGTTTTGGTCACCACGATGTAAAAAAGATGTTGAGACTCTAGAAAGAGTACAGAGAAGAGCCACAAAGATGATCAGGGGACTGGAGGCTAAAACATATAAGGAACGGTTGCTAGAATTGGGTATGTCTAGTTTAACGATGAGAAGGACAAGGGGGGACATGAGAGCAGTCTTCCAGTATCTCAGGGGCTGCCATAAAGAAGAAGGAGTCAAGCTATTTTCCAAAGCACCTGAAGGCAGGACAAGAAGCAACGGGTGGAAACTAATCAAGGAGAGAAGCAACCTAGAACTAAGGAGAAACTTCCTGACAGTGAGAACAATTAATCAGTGGAACAGCTTGCCTCCAGAAGCAGTAAATGCTCCAACACTGGAAGTTTTTAAGAAGAGACTGGACAGCCATTTGTCCGAAATGGTGTAGGGTTTCCTGCCTGAGCAGGGGGTTGGACTAGATGACCTCCAAGGTCCCTTCCACCTTTACTACTATTACTATTATTATTATTATTAATAATAATAATAATCATTGCACAGTCAGCCAGATGTTCAGACTGGATTTGGCATTTGTTGTTGTTGTTGTTGTTATTATTATTATTAAGTTTGCATCACGGGGGAGAGCGACTTTTAGCCTCCGAGCAGCATGCAGAGGCCAGGATTCAAATTTAGTAGAGATCTTGTTTTTTTATTTTTTATTTTTCCTTAACAAGGAGCCACCCGTCTCTCTCCTGGGTGAGGTGAGCAGATGGCCGGTGTTTATCCCGCCCTATCTCCTGCCAGATAAAATAGACTTTTTTTTTTTTTTTTAATCAAAGCCTTCTACATGTGCTGCCCCCTGTCCCATATAACCCAGAGGCCGGCCGCAATCCTCCCATTTCGACAACAGCTGAAGCCTCGTCCTAAGCCTATTACGCTAAATGAGCTTTTTTTTTTCCCTTCTCAGATCCACTGAACGCTTCCCCCCCGCCCCCCAAAATTATTTCTCACGGATCGCTTCTATTCTCAAATATTCACGGAGACCAGCCGTGGTGCCCGGTGGGTCCGAAGCCTGGCTGGGATGGATTATTGCAAAGCATAGGATCACACCCCATCGGGTTTCTAGTCCACAAGGAATTGGGGGCTTGAAGTGCACTCAAAGCGTGATAGGAAAAAGACTGTGCCCCTTTTCTACCCAATTTACGGTTGGGATCCTCTGCGACCCATTGGCTGGAGGCAGACCTATCTGAGGAGGATTCGATTTTTGCACGCTTCCTGGCCTGGTCATGAGACTGGAGAGTCAAGAGCAGAGGAGGAATAATAATAAAAAAAGATTCATAGGAAAAGGGATTCTTTTCCAAATCCCTCTGGACGAGACGAGGAGACGAATACGGCGCGGCCAGTTCTGCAGGCCCAGCGTCGCAAGGGGATATCGGGGACGGTCGGACCCTTCCCCGTTAACTGGCGGGTGCAATCCAGGGGGGGTGTTGGAGGCTAAGGAGAATTGGCTTCCCAATGATGTGCTTGCGCACCGATTTGCAGAAAATAGAATATTTGCAAGCAGAGGGATGCTTGGGAGCCTCTGAGTTTAGTTGCTTGAATGCAGACGTTTCATGACCCAGCTAAGGAACATCATCAGTGCTAGAAGGGAGGGAGGTTTGTGGAGAGGAGGAGGAAGGACTATGGGGTCCTGGGTGCTCTCTGAGCTGGGTGGTTTCCTTGCAGACGTTTCATGACCCAACTAGGTAACATCATCAGGGCTAGAAGGGATGAGGAGGGGGGGAGGAGAATTGTGGGGTCCTTGATGCTCCCTGAGTTTGGTGGTTTCCTTGCAGACATTTCATGACCCAGCTAGGGAACATCATCAGTGTTAGAAGGGAGGGGGGTTTGTGGAGAGGAGGAGGAGGAAGAGGAGGAGGAGGAGGAGGACGACGACTGTGGGGTCCTTGGTGCTCTCTGTGCTTGATTATTTTCTTGCAGACGTTTCATGACCCAACTAAATAACGTCATCAGTTCTACAAGGGAATGGGGTTATTTTACATACAAACTCCTTCTAGCACTGATGACTTCCCTAGTTGGGTGATGAAACGTCTGCAAGCAAACAACCCAATTCAGAAAGCTCCAAGAACCCCACAATTTGGGAACAGCATCCCATAACCACACTTGCTCCCACCTATCCATCCACCCACGAGGGCCTAAAACAGCGGTTCTCAACCTATGGGTCGGGACCCCATTTGGGGTCGAACGACCATTTCACGGGGGTCGCCAAACAACACAGTCCGCCATTTTTTCCCCCCTTTTCCTTAGCTGTGCTACTCCCTTTTATTCTATTGGCTTTTGAAAGCCAATAGAATAGACTCTCTTGAATAGAGTCTAATTCTATTGGCTTTCAAAAGCCAATAGGAATTGTCCAGGCTGTCTCTGCCCTGCTGAGCCCGCCAAAAGTCCCATTCTGCAAATGGGGCTGCACCAGTTGAGTAGTCCTCGACTTGCGACCGGTTGAGTAGTCCTCGACTTACGACCGGTTGGGGGTCGCGGCATTAAAAAGGTTGAGAACCACTGGCCTAAAAGGAACAGATGCAAACAAGAGTGTCAGCCCGATTAATTTTGCCACTAGCTAGCAAGAGAGCAGAACAGCAACCTGGAATCTCTCCAGCGTGAAGAAATAAACTGATACCCCCTCGACTGGGATACATTGCACACTTAATCTACCCTCCCACTGTTCCTTTCGCAGGGACAGAGTCTTCCAGCTCCTCTTCACAACTCACGAAATGTCAAGGGAAGCTGGAGAAGGAACCGAGTCCCAGGAATGAAATGGGATTAAAAAAAAAAAAAAACCCCATCTCCTGCTTTTTAAAAGAACGATACACGCCCGTATATATATTTTTTCCCCAATAATAAAGTCTCCCTAACAGCCATCTTCAACCGGACCAAGAGGCCTCCAAAGTGGAGCCCTGAACTTTTGACCGAAGGGTCTCTTCCGAAAGACAAATACAATCAAAATAAATGGGGAACCGCCCTTTCCGTGAAATTTAACCTCCTTTTTTTCCATCGAGAAAGACCCTCTGGTACACCCGAAACTCTACTTACATTGCTTTGATCAAAGCAATGTTAAGTAGACTTTGGGGTGTAGCAGGGTCTTCTTTGACCTCACTTTCTCGATGGGAAAAAAGGAGATTAAATTTCATGGAAAGGTCTTTTCTGCATCACAGGCCTCCCAAAAAGACAAAATAAAAATAAACACAGATCCACCCTGGAGTGGAATTTAACCTCCTTTTTTTCCACTTAGAAAGCGGGGTAACCTCCAAAGATTTGCACAATCGGTCCACGCCGAGACCCAATTTGGGAAGCAAAGTTCTCCAAAAACCAGTCCAGTGGCATCATTTCCCATTCATGCATTGTGCAAGGGAGTCCTCGACTTATGAAAGTTCCTTTAGCGACCGTTTGAAGTTACAGCACTGAAGAAAAAGGGATTGAAGACCGTTTCTCACACTTACGACCGTTGCAGCATCCCCGTGATTTAAAATTCAGACGCTTGACAACTGACTCACACTTATGACGGTTGCAGTGTCCCGGGGTCACACGGCCGATCCCCTTTTTGTGACCTTCTCACAAGCAAATGGGGAAGCCAGATTCACTTAACAACCGTGTTACCTAGTATGTATGCATGCATGCCTGTATTTCTTTAAGAAAAGTTATACTGCCATCTTTTGCGACCATATAGCAAAGTCAATGGGGAAAGCACTTAACCATGTTGTGTGTGTGTGTGTGTGTGTGTATTTAAGAAAATTTATATTGCCACGTAACTCACACATGGAAGCTCAAGGCAGCTTACATGGCTATAAAAACACCCTATTATAAAAAAAGTAAAAATAATAAGAAAATAATAACAATAAATAACCCGCACCCCCGCGACAACTACACATTCACTTAACAACTGTGGCAAGAAAGCTCGTAAAGCGGGGGGGGGGGCAAATTCGCTTAACAAATGCTTCACTTAGCAACAGACATTTTGGCCTCGACGACGATCGGAGGTCGGGAGGGATCCAATCAAGATTAAACCAGGGGTCTTCCAACCTGGCCCTTTGATGACTGGTGGACTTCAACTCCCAGAAGTCCTCAGGCAGCATGGACCATATAAGCCAGGGGTCTTCAGACTTGGCCTTTTGAAGACTGGTGGACTTCAACTCCCAGAATTCCTCAGCTAGCATTGACCATATAAGCCAGGGGTCTTCCAACTTGGCCCTTTAATGACTGGTGGACTTCAACTCCCAGAAGTCCTCAGCCAGCACGGCCCATATAAGCCAGGGGTCTTCCAACTTGGCCCTTTAATGACTGGTGGACTTCAACTCCCAGAATTCCTCAGCCAGCATGGCCCATATAAGCCAGGGGTCTTCCAACTTGGCCTTTTGATGACTGGTGGACTTCAACTCCCAGAATTCCTCAGCTAGCATTGACCATATAAGCCAGTGTTTTAAGGCATGTGGACTTCAACTCCCAGAATTCCACAGCCAGCAACGCTGGCTGTGGAATTCTGGGAGTTGAAGTCCACATGCCTTAAAATTGTCAAGTTTGGGAAACACTGATATAAGCCAGGGGTCTTCCAACTTGGCCCTTTGATGACTGGTGGACTTCAACTCCCAGAATTCCCAGCTGGCTGAGGAATTCTGGGAGTTGAAGTCCACCAGTCATCAAAGGGCCAAGTTGGAAGACCCCTAAACCAGGGTCTAACACAGGGCACTCATGACTTGCAGAAAATGGTGGGGGGGGGGTCGCCCAGGAAGCTCTTTTCTGAGCCCCCCCCCCCAATTTCCACCGAAAAGCACCAGCCCAGCCGCCTCCTTGCGACTCTCATTCCCTCCCACGGCGCCAGCTTTCGGCAGCCACGGCTCTCCTCGTCTCCTCAGGGGAGACCTGTGGCTCCCAGAAGCTGGCGCCATTGGGGGGGGCGCCCTAAAAAGGCTTCTAACGCAAGATTCTTTGCAAGTCATGTGAGGAGAAGAGGTGGTTCGACTCGGCCTCCCCGGGCCGGAAACGGCGCTGCCGGGCGGTTCCCTTGACGGGCAACTCGGCCGAGGCTGCCCGCGCGGAAGACAGGGCCGCGGGCCTCGGATGATGGGCGATGGAGTGCGGGCCTGAGGCCTAGCGCGCGGCCTGGCCGGGCGAGGCGGGGCGGCCGGGCGGGTGAGGGGGGGGGGCTGCGCGCGCGGCAGCGGCGGCGGCGGAGCGGGCGAGGCGGGGGCGGGCGAGGCGGCGCGGGGCCCCCGCCTTGCTGCGGCTGCGCCGGGTCTGGCGCGCGGCGAGTGAGGAGCTGCTGGGAGATTGCGCGGTAGGACACTCACCTCAGAGCGGCTGCGCTGCAGCGGGCCTGCGCCGTGGAGCCGCCGCCAGCCAGCTAGCTAGGCAGGCAGGCAGGAAGACGAGGCAGCGGGGGCGGAGGAGGAGGAGGAGGAAAAGAGGAACGGGCGGCGGCGGCGGCGGCGACGGCCGCGAAGCAGTGAGCGGGCAGCACGGCGGGCGGGAGGACTGAGGAGGAGGAGAAGGAGGAGGCAGCGCGGGCGCGCGCCCGCTCAGTCAGTCCGTCGGGCGCGCGCGCCAGGCCGGGCCTTGCCTCGCGTCGCTGAGGCGAACGCAACCCTCCGCCGCCGCCGCCACCACCACTCGAGGCGAGGCTTCGGGCCTACCGCGGGCGGGAAGGAGTCCTGTGGTGGCGGGAGCGGCAGCAGGCCGGAGGGGAGGGGTTGGGGAGAGCGGAGGAGGAGGAGGGGGAAGGACGCACGGCGTGTGCGGAGCCCCCGCGCCGCCATGATGGGAAGGTCGAAGGAAGGTGGGCAAAAAAAAAAGCAAGGCGCCTGCGGTTGTCCGGCGGAGAGGCGAGCGAGGAGAGCGCGGGGTTGGGGAGGGAGAAGCGGAGGAGTTATTTTTTTGGGGGGGGGGGAGGCCCGTGGAGCGGCCTGGCCGGGCCGAGATGCACCTGGCGGCCATGTTGGGGAGGGCGGTGGCGAGCTTCCTGTGGTGGCGGCCATGTTGGGAGGGTCGACATCTTTTCCTGGCGGCGGCCATGTTGGGAAGGTCGGCTGATGGAAGCGGCGCCATGTTGAGGAGGGCTCGCCTCGGCCTTGACGTTGGGAGGGAGGGGGGCGGGGGGAGGCACCTAGGATAACAAAGCCCATCATCCTGCGCCGCCCTGGAGCCCCGATTGCCTGTGTGTCTCGAGCGCCTCCTTTCCGCTAGGACAGTGTTTCTCAATCTTGACCATTTTAAGGCATGTGGACTTCAACTCCCAGAATTCCACAGCCAGCAGTGCTGGCTGTGGAATTCTGGGAGTTGAAGTCCACATGCCTTAAAATGGTCAAGGTTGAGAAACACTGCACTAGGAACTCAAAGATGGGCAGGGATTCACATTTATATGTCAGGGTATGTAGGTATGTACATACCTATGTATATAGCATGTCTGTATGGGTTATGTACACGTAGACTTTTTGAGAGCAGGCAACAAAACTGCGATTTTTAATGTGTGCCAAGTGTGGCCACAATTCAAATTGACAATAAAGGTTATCTTCTTAGGCAGAGATCTTCAAACGTGGCCCTTTGATGACTCGTGGACTTCAACTCCCAGAATTCCTCAGCTAGGTACGCCTGGCTGAGGAATTCTGGGAGTTGAAGTCCACGAGTCATCAAAGGGCCACGCTTAAAGACCCCTGTTCTTAGGGAAGGGAGATTTGGTGCTGCCCCCTGCAGGCTCTTTCGCAATACAGCTAGTCCCCGACTTAACGACAGTTCATTTAGTGACCGTTGAAATTTGCAACGGCACTGAAAAAAGTGACTTAGGACCATTTTTCACACTTCAGACCCGTTGCAGCATCCCCACGGTCACGTGAGTTACACTCACAACCGACTCACATTTATGACCATTGCAGTATTCTGGGATCATGTGATCCCCTTTTGCGACCTTCTGACAAGCAAAGCCAATGGGGGAAGCCAGATTCGCTTAACCACCGTGTGACTAACTTAACAACCGCAGCAATTCACTTGACAAACGTGGCAAGGAAAGCCGTAAAATGGGGCAAATCCCACTGAACCAGATTTCTCACTTAGCTACATAAATTCTGTCCTCTGTTGTTGTTAAGTCAAGGACTACTTGTATGTGATAGCTGCAGGGTTCACACAACGCGCTAATCCACCAAAGCCAAACCAGGTTAGCGTCTTGTGTGAATGCAGCCCTCCAACTAACCCAGAGTTAACTCTGTACCCAGAATCAGCCAGAGCAGCAACCCAAAAGTCCCCTCCGTTCCTGAGACTTTGCAGAGTACCATTTGATGTATTAATAAATACCTATTGATGCATTTATTGTCGTCATGTTCCTTTGTTATTGGTTTACCTCATTGTTCTATTCTTTGACTTCTCTTTGCACGCCTTTTCATTTTTCTTCCTTTTCATTATTGTAAGCCACCAAGAGTAATCCCACCGTGCGACAGGCAGCAAATACCTTTAACGAACACATAAAAAATAAACCTGCCCAAAGCTCTTGACCATTTTCTGCACAGACTCTCCTTAAACAGTTTAATGGTCTTCCCTTGTTCAAAATACAGGTAATCCTTGACTTACAACAGTTTGTTTAGGGATTGAAGTGGCAAGAGCATTGAAAAAAGCGACTTATCACCATTTTTCACACTTAATGACTGTTGCAGCATCCCCATGATTATGTGATCAAAATTCAGATGCTTGGCCACCGATTCATATTTATGACGGCTGCAGTGTTCCAGGATCCTGTGATCCCCTTTTGTGACAAGCAAAATCAACGGGGGAAGCCAGATTTGCTGAATAACTGCGTTACTAACTTCACTGCAGCGCTTCAGTTAACAACTGTGGCAAGACAGGTCATAAAATGGGGCAAAACTTCACTGTCTTGCTTAGTAACAAAAACTTTGGGCTGAATTGTGGTTATAAGTCAAAGACTACCTGTCTGCAATTTTTTTTCTTGTTTATTCAAATAAGTAGATATTGCTTTTACAGAAAGATCACTTTCTAACAGGCGGTGCTTACAAATAGGTCTTGGCAAAGAGATTCCTTTTTTTCTTTAAAAATAAAGCCAATACAATTGTTAGAAATGCAGCTGCTAATTTGGTTTCTATTTTGAAGCATCAAATGATCTAATAAAGCAGTGTTTCCCAAACTTGACAATTTTAAGGCATGTGGACTTCAACTCCCAGAATTCCACAGCCAGCGTTGCTGGCTGTGGAATTCTGGGAGTTGAAGTCCACATGCCTTAAAATTGTCAAGTTTGGGAAACACTGTAATAAAGCGTTTAGTATACTTCCACTTTGTGTTACGTGTGCTTCTCTGCGTATTAAACAGTGCCCAGGTTTATGGTTACTAAGATACACTAGTGCTAGGGCAGACCTTGACCAAAAAGGTACCAGTCCTCCCCCATCTCCATTCACTGGGCACACGAGATGCTGCAGCCACGCAGGGTCCGCCCCCAAAGCCTTGAAAAAACATTCAAAAACTCCAGTATTAACAAATCAACACTGGCTGAAGTTTTATTACCTCCAAACGTTGTTTTATGTGTAAAAAAAAAATACAATTGGGAAATTAAGTTAACAATGAATAACACCTTAAATATGTTGCTATCAACTTCTGCATTTTATATTTCTTAAAACTGGCCTGTTCCCAGTTTGGGAATAGCACCGCACGCTTAGGAGAAATCTCAAAAAGCACTGGGGCCACTGCAGAGCAAACAGCCTGCAACTTGCAGCCCTTAACAATAAGCCAACTATTTTTTTGTTTTTTTGTCCACCCAGAGAAACCCCAGGAAAATCTGGGTCTGGGTTTGGAGCAGGCGGGGAGCGCCTGGAAGCGACAAAAAGGCAACCAACACATCAGCACCGGAAGCGCCTCATGAGGTCTCTTAATCCCACATTCAAAGAGCAGATTTGGGGAAGGGCTTGTGTGTGTTACTTGTGGCTACCCTGATAATGTTTGCCAAGAAGGCCTTGCCAAACAACCTTGGAATAAAAAAAGAAACCGGGATGCTTGGAATGGGATCGCTCAGTGCTAAGTTCAGTCTCCCTAGGGAAGCCTGCAGACACGCCCAACACGTTAGGATATTACTAAATTAGGTACCTAACTTAAAGGCCATCTGCTTCTTGGACCACTGGGGTAATCTGTCTATCCATCTCCAATCCTTTTTTGGGGGGGGGGTCCCAATCTGCTAGCTTCCACTTTTTTCTCTCTCCAGGGTCTTTTGTGGGCCATCTTAAACATTTTCCCCTCTCCAGCCTCACTAGCTCCAAAATGCTAGCAAAACGTGACACTGATCAAAGAGAGAAGAAATGTCTATTTTTCACACTAATGTTTGGGGAATCTGTGCCGTAACTGCTTTTTCCTATCCCCGAACATTAATACGAAAAATGAGACATTTTCTTCAAAAACTTTTTTTTTTAAAAAAAACCCAAAACTTGTGAATAACCCATAACACAACAACAAAACGGGCCGTTCAGCTTTTGAACGAAGGCAGAAAAATTCGAAATAGGCAGGGGAGGGGGCAAAACAGCGGTAACGTGGACGCAAAGCGGCAGAGGTCGGCTTGCGCCGTCACACTGCGTTGTGCGTGGAAGGAACGCTATACCAATAACATGACATCGTGGTCCAAAAAAAAACAAACAGATGCACGGAGGACGTCCAGGCCTCTCAATACAGCGTTCTCGCTAGGAAGGTGCCAATCGAATTGCAAAATTAGCAGGGGATGCATCATACCCAAAAAAAATGGAGGACCGTGAGCGAGGCAGGGGCCATAAAAAGTGTTAAGTTGGATGCCACAACCATCGTCCTGATTGACAATGTGACACCCTCGCCCTTCTCTGAATCAGCCAAGGCTCTCGTGTCTTTTGCCAACCAATCTTATCACCAATGGATGGGAAAGAGGGATACTCTTATGCATCCACAGCCATCAGCTGGACGTCGGGACAATTTTCGGCAAGAGCAGCGAGCACCCACTTTGGCCAGCCTTGAGGAGCCTTTGCAAGGACTGAGAAGGATGCTTAAAGAACATCTGGACTGGATAATTCCCCACTTCAGCCCCGGTCCCTGAAGCGCAAAACGCATCTAGCCAGACTTTAACCTCCCATGGACCAAAAGTTCTCCTGCTGCAGGTGAGATTTCTAATTTGACATTTTAGGTCTCCAAATCACAGCATCTCTGCTGGGATATCAAGGCAGGCTCCTTTCCCCGTCAACCTCCCATCCTAGGGCAAGTTTTGCAGCCACGGGCAAACGAGGTTTCCTCCCGTGTCTGAAAACCATCTTCAAACATCTTTGGGCAACGTGGATCTCTAGAGGTGGGGTGTAGTGGTTGCTTCCCTCCGCTGATGGAGTTGCGCCACGGGACGTCATTGCCGTATCTGTCCCAGAGATAAACGAAGGCCAGGCCTTTATCCGCAGCCAGGCAAGTGGGGGAATGTGACTTCCGTTCAAGCCACGATCTAGCCAGGACCGGCGCTAAAGGACAGAGGATCCCGGTTGCAAGAATTTTGCAGAGGATTTGGGAACGCTCTCTAGACGTTGGTCCGGTTCCAGGCCGCATCAGGGCATCCCTTTTCCCCCCTCCTGGCTACCTGAGAAGAGAGGGTGGCTAGGGACTCGTCCGCGGCCCGGAGGCTCAAGGACACGAAATCCTGGCCACCCATGAAACCTCGGTTGAAAGAACGGTGCCCGTCAGCCCTGCAGCTGGCGGAGGGAAAAATGACCTGCCCTCGTAGACTCAGGCAACTGGCGCACAAACCCCACCGGGCCCATCACTGCACGCAAAGGCGGTCGGGGTGGGTGCATCGTGTCACATGTGCCAAGTTAGGACATCACGCAAGTGAGACGTCTCGAGTGCATGAGGCCTCCTAAAATGCAAACTGAGATCGGCCGGACAATGTCGCGACGCCCGTTGGATGCCGGCCTTCGGCAGGGAGGCTGCTGGCTCGCGCACCGGATCCAGGGCGGGTGGCAGTGGGGGCCGTGTGGAAGGTTTTTACGTGGCAAACACCACGCCGAGTGCCACGGCGAGAGCGCAAAGAAAGGTTTACTTTGTGAGAACCACAAGCATCACGGCAAACCTGAGATGGTTCGCTTGGGCCCTGAGGAGACCTTCGTGGAATGAGACTCCCCCCCCCAGTGGGGGTCTTCCACCTCACCCCAGTCCTACTTCTTCTTCTTCCCTTTCTTCTTCAGAGAGCCCGGCCACGGGAAGCCACGGAACTCCAGGCAGGCGGCGGCATTGTGGGCGATGTAGTAGAGGTTGAGCATGGCGGCTGGGCTCAGAATATCCACCTCCACAGCGGCCTTCTTGGATTTCTTCGCAGTCTTGCCTTTCCCTTTGCCAGACCCCTTCCCTTTGCTCTTGCCTCCCTGTGGGGTGGGGTGGGGTGGGAGCCAGAAGGAAACAAACACACAAAGAAAATCCGTCTTGTAGCACACTAGCGGGGTGCCTCTTCCTCAGGAACCTACACAATCGAGAGCCAGCTTGGTGTAGTGCAGTGTTTCCCAAACTTGACAATTTTAAGGCATGTGGACTTCAACTCCCAGAATTCCACAGCCAGCATTGCTGGCTGTGGAATTCTGGGAGTTGAAGTCCACATGCCTTAAAATTGTCAAGTTTGGGAAACACTGGTGTAGTGGTCCAGGAACCAGGAGACGGTGGGTTCTAGACCCGCCTTAGGCATGAAAGCCAATTGGATGACTTTGGGCCCATCGCCAGGAGACGGTGAGTTCTAGACCCGCCTTAGGCATGGAAGCCAATTGGGTGACTTTGGGCCAATCGCCAGGAGACGGTGAGTTCTAGTCTTGCCTTAGGCATGGAAGCCAATTGGGTGACTTTGGGCCAATCGCCAGGAGACGGTGAGTTCTAGACCCGCCTTAGGCATGGAAGCCAATTGGGTGACTTTGGGCCAATCGCCAGGAGACGGTGAGTTCTAGTCCCGCCTTAGGCATGAAAGCCGGCTGGGTGACTTTGGGCCAATCACCAGGAGATGGTGAGTTCTAGTCCCGCCTTAGGCATGAAAACCGGCTGGGTGACTTTGGGCCAATCACCAGGAGACGGTGAGTTCTAGTCCCACCTTAGGCCCAATAGCTAGTTGGGTGACTTTGGGCCAGCCCCTTTCAACCCAGCCCACCTCGCCAGGTTGTTGTGGGTTAAACAGGAGGAAGAAGTCGTATGGTGTCTGCTTGCTGCCTCAAGTCACTTCCAAAGTAATAAAGGCTGGATATAAATCGAATCACTAAAAAGACATAAATTGCCACTTGTGCATCCGGGGATTGTTTCGTGGCCTGTGATGGCCTCGCCCATCCTTGTGCCTGGAAACCAGACCAGCTTGGAGCGATGTGACCCAGCATGTCTGGGGGAGGCAAAGGGTGGCAACAGGCTGGGCAAAGCTGCCAGTTCAACCCATTAAAAGCGAGGCCCATTGCATTGAAGAGACACCCCTTTAGCTAAGTCCTCCCAGGGGCGCTACAACCAGCGAGATGGGGGCGAAGGAAATGACTACTACACGACACGATCGGGGTCCCTGGGGCCAAACCCGGTCCCTTTCTACCCTCCCTCTCTGCACGGCCGGGGGACATGGGTATGGCTTCACCCGCCACAATCCGAGGAACAGAGCGGGGGAATCTTAAGCACCCCTCAGAATTAATGCTCACCGAGGACTTACAATCGTTCCTTTTAGTGACCGTTCAAAGGAAAAGTAGCACTGACTAAAAACTCGACTTAACAACCGTTTTTCACACTTAACGACCGCGGTCACGTGATCCAAATTGGCAAACTGGTTCCTATTTACGACGGTCGCCGTGTCCCAGTGTCACGGGATCCCCTTTGGCGACCAGACAGGCAAACTCGACGGGAAAGCCCGCTTCGCTTTGACAATCACGTTAGCAACTTAACAGCTGCAGGAAGGTCACCTAAGGAAGGTCGTAAAGCGGGGCCAAGCCCACTCGGCAACCGTCTCACTTAGCAACGTAAATTTTGGGCTCCGTGGTGGTCGCCAGGGTGAGGACTGCCGGCCTGCTTGGCTCTCTCCCTCACCCTGCAGCCAGAAAGAGCAATCTAATCTACCTGTCCCACAGGTCAGGACCGGGGAGGCACACCTTACCATAGTGTCATCCTTTTATTCAGGTGAGTGGATGAGCATCGTGCCCACTTTCAAAGAAACACCACCGAATCGGATTCCAGACGCAGCAACTGCAGGGTTAAGGGGAAAAAAAAGAACAAAAGAGGTGAGCCCTGCATACATGGCAGACAAAACAGTCCTATTTCTGATCAGACATGACCGCAGAAAACCGTAGGGCGCACCCAGCACAAAATCAAATTCTTTTTTACGCAACACGGGCTGCCCGTTAAATCTTTTATTATAATAAAGGCCAACCTAAGGAGGATAAAATGCAGGCCATCATTTCAAAAGCTAAATAACGTAAAACACAAAAATTAAAAAAAAAAAACCGTGCGAAGTCCTCAACGTATGACCGCAACCGAGGCCAACGTTTCCGTTGCTAAGTGGAACAGCGAAGCGTGTTTTGTCTCGTTTTTTACAACCTCGCGGCCCACAACGGTTAAGCGAAGCCGCTGCAGTTCTTAAGCTAGCAAGCCGGTCGTTAAGAGAATCCGGCTTCCCCCATTGAGTTGGCTTGTCGGTGGTCGCCAAAGGGGATCCCGTATGATCCCAGGACACAGTGGCGTCATAAATATGAGTCAATTGCCAAGCACTCAAATATAAATCACGTAACCACAGGGATGCTACAAGGGTCAAATGTGTGAAAATCAGTCCTAAGTCACTTTTTTCACTGATGTAACAAGGAGGAAGGAGTAATTAAAGCCAAAGGGAGGGAAGGAAGGAAACAAAAGATGGAAGGAAGAAAAAAAAAGGAAGGAATAGAATAGAGCTGGAAGGGACCTTGGAGGTCTTCTAGTCCAGCTCCCCCTCACACAGACCACCTCCCTGCTCAAGGAGAACTGATACCATCTCAGACAAGGAAGGAAGGAAGGAAGGAAGGAAGGAGGGAAATGGAATAGAATAGAATAGAATAGAATAGAATAGAATAGAATAGAATAGAATAGAATAGAATAGAATAGAATAGAATAGAATAGAAGCTGGAAGGGACCTTGGAGGTCTTCTAGTCCAGCCCCCCCCACACACACACACTCAAGCAGGAGAACTGATACCATCTTAGACAAGGAAAGAAGGAAGGAAGGAAGGAAGGAAGGAAGGAAGGAAGGAAGGAAGGAAGGAAGGAAGGAAGGAAGGAAGGAAGGAAGGAAGGAAATAACAGGGACGGAAAGAAGGAAATAACAGAGGGAGGGAGGGAGGGAAGGAAGGAAGGAAGGAAGGAAGGAAGAGAGAGAAGGAATAGAATAGAATAGAATAGAATAGAATAGAATAGAATAGAATAGAATAGAATAGAATAGAATAGAATAGAATAGAATAGAGCTGGAAGGGACTTGGAGGTCTTCTAGTCCAGCGCACCCCCCCCCCACACACACACTCAAGCAGGAGAACTGATACCATCTTAGACAAGGAAAGAAGGAAGGAAGGAAGGAAGGAAGGAAGGAAGGAAGGAAATAACAGGGATGGAAAGAAGGAAATAACAGAGGGAGGGAGGGAGGGAAGGAAGGAAGGAAGGAAGGAAGAGAGAGAAGGAATAGAATAGAATAGAATAGAATAGAATAGAATAGAATAGAATAGAAGCTGGAAGGGACCTTGGAGGTCTTCTAGTCCACCCCCCCCACACACACACACTCAAGCAGGAGAACTGATACCATCTTAGACAAGGAAAGAAGGAAGGAAGGAAGGAAGGAAGGAAGGAAGGAAAGAAGGAAGGAAGGAAGGAAGGAAGGAAGGAAGGAAGGAAGGAAGGAAAAGAGGGAAGGAATAGAATAGAATAGAATAGAAGCTGGAAGGGACCTTGGAGGTCCTCTAGTCCAGCCCCCCCACACACCCACCCCCCAACCCGCTCAAGGAGGAGAACCTATATACCATCTCAGACAAGGAAGGAAAAGCGGGAAGGATGAAAAGAAGGAAGAAATGAAGGAAAAGAGAAAGGAAGGAAATGGAGGGAAGCAAAGAAACAAAAGAGGGAAAGAAGGAAAAGAGGAAGAAAAAGAGGAAAGGAAGGAAAGAAGCATCCCCTGAAATTCAGACAAGACACTAAACCTGGTTCCTAAATCCATCCACTTTCTGGGCCGGGTAGACACGGGATAGAGAGGAAGCCTTAACCCGAGGACCACCCGACCCGTCTAAGCAGCCGTGGAGTCACAACCGGGACCACCAGCCTCGCCCCCTCCCCGCGCCCCGCTTCGGCCCTCCTCACCTGCCCGGGGTGCCCACGACGCCGCGGTCCTCGTTCCCACGTGCCCGACTGGACACGCGTCGCCGCCTCCCCTCCGCCGCAACCGCCGCAACGGACGCCCGCGGTGGGCGGGGCTCCTCGCCGAGGGGCGGGGCCCGGAGGCTTCCGTTTGTCCCGCGGTTACTCTGGTTGCCATGGGGAAGGGGGAGTGTGGCTAGGCAACGAACCTCCCGACTCGGGAGGGAGGGGGAAAGAGAAGGCCCGCGCCTGCGCAGTCAAAATCATTCTGGGAAGAGACCTTTTGGAGCAGGCCTCTTCAAACTTGGCCCTTTTAGGACTCGTGGACTTCAACTCCCAGAATTCCTCAGCCAGGCACTCTGGCTGAGGAATTCTGGGAGTTGAAGTCCAGGAGTCATCAAAGGGCCAAGTTTGAAGAGCCCTGTTTTGAAGGGGTTTTTTTTTAAACCAGGTGTGTCCAACCCTGGCCAGGTGATGACTTGTGGACTTCAACTCCCAGAATTCCCCCAGCCAGCATATACGGGAGGGGGGTTGCTCTCTGTTTATGTACAAGTTTATATGCAACCACTCAGAACATTCCTAACAACGCTGACAGGGCAAGTTTTGTGTGACTGTGTGTACACACACACACACACACACACACACACACAATCACACACACACACTTTTATATAAACAGAAAATCCCATTCCCTTGTAGCACTGATGATGTTACCTAGTTGGGTCACGAAACGTCTGCAAGAAACCCACCCAGCCCAGAGAGCACCGAGGACCCCAGTTCAACCCTAAGCTACAAACACAATTAGGACCACAACTGAGCCCAAAATTTCTGTTGCAAAGTGAGACAGTTGTGAAGTGAATTCTATACCCCATTTTATGACCTTTATTGCCGGAGTTCTGAAGTGGATCACCGCAGTTGTTAAGCTAGTCACACGGTCGTTAAGTGAATCTGGCTCCCCCATTGACTTGGCTCGTCAGATGGTCGCAAAAGGGGATCACGTCACCCCGGGGGACGCTGTGGCCATCATAAATATGAGTCGGTTGCCAAGCCTCTTTGGTCAGATGACCGTGGGGATGCTGCGACGGTCGTTAAGTGTGAGCGGTGGTCATCAGTCACTTTTTTTAGTGACGTAACTTATAGAATCAAGATCACGTGAAGTATTAATACCACTCTTCAATGCCTTGGTAAGGCCACACTTGGAATACTGCATCCAGTTTTGGTCACCACGATGTAAAAAAGATGTTGAGACTCTAGAAAGAGTACAGAGAAGAGCAACAAAGATGATTAGGGGACTGGAGGCTAAAACATATAAGGAATGGTTGCTAGAATTGGGTATGTCTAGTTTAACAAAGAGAAGGACAAGGAGGGGACATGATAGCAGTATTCCAATATCTCAGTGGCTGCCATAAAGAAGAGGGAATTAAGCTATTTTCCAAAGCACCTGAAGGCAGGACAAGAAGCAACGGGTGGAAACTAATCAAGGAGAGAAGCAACCTAGAACTAAGGAGAAACTTCCTGACAGTGAGAACAATTAATCAGTGGAACAGCTTGCCTCCAGAAGCAGTAAATGCTCCAACACTGGAAGTTTTTAGAAGAGACTGGACAGCCATTTGTCCGAAATGGTGTAGGGTTTCCTGCCCGAGCAGGGGGTTGGACTAGATGACCTCCAAGGTCCCTTCCAACTTTACTACTATTACTATTACTATATTCTATTCTATATTCTATCGTTCATTCTATTTTATTCTCTTTTGTATTTCTATTCTATTCTCTATTTTCTATTCTATTTTCTATTCTCTTCTCTTCTGTATTTCTATTCTATTCTGTATTTCTATTCTATTCTCTATTCTATTCTCTTTTGTATTTCTCTTCTGTATTTCTCTTCTCTATTTTCTATTCTATTCTGTATTCTTTTCTATTCTGTATTTCTATTCTATTCTATCCCATAATTCTATTCTATTCTCTATTTTCTATTCTATTATTATTCTATTCCATTCCATTCCTATTCTATTCTGTATTTTATTATTCTGTTCCATTCCATTCCTATTCTATTCTGTATCTCTATTCTATTCTATTCCATTCTGTATTTCTAATCTATTGTATTCCATTCCTTCTATATTTCTATTCTATTCTATTCTGTATCTCTACTCTATTCTATTCCATTCCCTATTTTCTATTCTATTCTTATTCTTATTCCATTCCATTCCATTCTGTATTTCTATTCTATTCCATTCTGTATTTCTATTCTATTCTATTCTATTCTTATTCCATTCCTATTCTATTCTATTCTGTATTTCTATTCTATTCCATTCCATTCTATTCTAAATGAATTGTTGTAAATCAAGGCCTAACCTGTACAGTATTGTCCTTTTATCAGTTTCCTTTCTTTATGATATTCCAAAAACTCAAAACGTTGGCTTATGATAGTGTAGCAGTCAGAACTGGATCCTAACATGCACAAGGATGGAAGCTAAATCTTCTCTTAGCCTTTTCTTCCAAAACAAATTGCAAATCCTCTGCACACCTCAGCAGCTTTTTTTTTTTTAAGGAGAAGCAGCAAAGATGCTGCCACCAGGGTGGCTTGTTACGCACATGATCCTATCTCCTATATATAGTAGTTTTCCAGGAGGCTAATGGCTTTTTAAGCAGAAGGTCGTCCTTATTCTAGTAAAACGACATTTACCGAGGGTGGGCAAGGAAGTTTGGCTGATCTGATAATCCGAATTTCAATATGGTTTTAGCTGCCTTGTGCAGAGCCAGTTGCCATCTGGCACGTTAATTTTATAGCTTTTTTTAAACCAATGTTAAGTCGAGACAGAGGGGGGAAGAAGAATTTGAAGAAGGAAAGAAGGAAAAATGAATTTCTACGTTTATTTTTGCGGGAAAAAAAATGCACTTGTCCTAGTAGTTTCTCTTGAGGTTAATGCAGTGTTTCTCAACCTTGACAATTTTAAGGCATGTGGACTTCAACTCCCAGAATTCCACAGCCAGCAATGCTGGCTGTGGAATTCTGGGAGTTGAAGTCCACATGCCTTAAAATTGTCAAGGTTGAGAAACACTGCTTTATAGTATTCACTACGAACACGTCCCTGTTTCAGATCCTTTAATTTCACAGTAAATTAAATCAACATTTCAAACCTGTCCAGAAAACTCTCTTCCTGTAGTTTAAAATGCTCTCCCCGTTGTTACGGCGAAAATATGGTCCTCTCTGTGTGGGTAACAAATATTTCAATAGAATGAAACAATCCAAGGAATAAAACTATTTAAGAATAGATTTTTTTATTTTTAGTTATACCTCGTGCTTAGGATAACAACACACTTCCTTCAAAAATAATTTGCATTAGGAAATCAACATTTTTCACTCTGCGGAATAAAAGAGAGCCACCTGCTTTGAGAGATTTGAATGCAGATAAGCAGCTATAAAGACAATAATTGTGCAATACCGTACAGCAAATATTTTCCATGCCGCTACCATTTTTAAAATCACATATTTTTCATTTCCAAACAAGGTCAAAGCAGCTCCTTAAACGTACGCTCCGAAATAGGATTGCAAACAAAATGATACGCGATTTTTATTTTATATTTTGGTCTTTCACAGAATGGATAAAGTGCACATCTGGTTGGCAGCCGGTTCAGTGAATTTTAAGTCCACGTAATTTTCCAGGTTGCTAAATATATTCACTGCATTGGCTTATTTCTTTAGCTAGGTTGTCACATGTGACCATCTCTTTTGTTCCTATAAAACGCAGCCTGGAAAATACATCCAGGCCTTTTGAGGAATTACTTTCCGATGGGCTAGAATCTAAAAAACGAAAATCCTCTTATTTGTATTTTAGAGAGAAATCTGTGCCATGCTGCTAAGGCTGCCAATAAAATTGTCTCACACACATATAACCACACGTAGCCGTACATTCAAGCATGTCAGAAATATAAATGTATTTAGCTCTCGTCTTGTGCTTATGAACCATGCTTTGCTTAGCGCATTATCCTCCTGCTCCTTCTTGCTACCCGTGTTTGTGGCATGAAAACACGCACAAAGCATGAAGCACTTCATGGGGGGAAAACCTGTATGTTGCTGCTGAAGCGCAGATTTGGGGACGTGCAAAATATCCTTTACGTGTGAACAAGCAGGCAACAGGGCTGGCATGCTTTAAACATTGTCACTCTGCCGGAATAAAAGAGAACATCAATATTAATGCATTCCTGATAAGCAACTATCAACATAACTATTGCGCAGTGCCATATAGTAAATATTTCATGGGCTGCTACAATTTTTTTTAAAAGCACTTGTGTTTCATTTCCAAACCAAGTAAAAAAGTAGTTCCTGAACGTTTGATGCATTTTTGATTCACCAAAAGCATCAAAACATTTTAATGCGACGCTGCAACGCTTGGGAAAAATCCTTGTAATATATGCCTGGCAAATCACGAATAAAAAGTTGGAAGAAAAAACTGCACAGTGTTTATATATATACCGTATATTCCGGCGTATAAGGCGACCCGGCGTATAAGACAACCATCGTCTTCGGCGCCGAATCGCATGCCCAGAAAGTCATCTTATACGCTGGAAACTACCGTAATTTCCGGCGTATAAGACGACTCGGTGTATAAGACGACCCCCGACTTCGGCGCCAATTTTACTGCTTGTGAAAGTCATCTTATACGCTGGAAAGTACGGTATATATTGGTATATAATTTGCACGTCTCCCATATATTTTTCTACATCGGAGATAACGCAGATGCCCCTAATTCATCCTTACATCCTGAAAAATTATTCTATGGATATTGTTTTCTACGTAGAGAATGTCCTCAAAAGGTGGTTATTAAATAAAATTGGGGGATATTTTGCCAGAATGTTTGATGGAACCAGCCATAGATTGTCTGCAGTGAAAGAAGTTTTAGGATGTCACTGATCTTACAGGTATGTTTGCCCAGGTAATTATTCATAAAAAATGAATCAAATTCTCAGAGGTGTCCAATCTTGGTCACTTTAAGGCTTGTGGACTTCAACTCCCAGAATTCCCCAGCTGGGGAATTCTGGGAGTTGAAGTCCACAAGTCTTAAAGTAGCCAAAGTTGGACACCACTGATATATAGAATCTCCTTCATTCAAAGCCACCATTATAAGACCTTTAAATATATATCATAGAACACTGATCAGGGAAAACGACTGGAATAATAATAAAAAAATTCTCTTTGCTTTGCTTACAGGACCATAACGTTCAGGAAAAAGGAGAAGATGCTTGGAAAGGTCGAAGAATACTTTTTCTAGGGCAGGGGTCTCCAACCTTCACCATTTTAAGACTTATGGACTTCAACTCCCAGAATTCCTCAGCCAGCCAAGCTGGCTGAGGAATTCTGGGAGTTGAAGTCCACAAGTCTTAAAGTGGCCCAGGTTGGCGACCCCTGCTCTAGGGAGTTAATTCATTGCAGAAAGACATCCGCAGATCAAAAAAACAAAAACAAACCCACATCTCCTCTTTCCCCCCCCCCACGCGTAGTCCCTGTCGTCTGAAGCACCGAGTTCGAATCCCGTCCCCATTCACTGGTAACACAGCAGCTCCTCCCAGTGAATGGGCTGGGAAAATACTTCTCTCTCTAGCCAGAGTTCGTACGAAAAGTGGAAATCTTCAGGCAGTTCTAACTCTTGTCCCAGCACGCTCTGAAGGCAGTTGTCGACCGGACAAAATTCGGCATTGCGGATCTTGTCGTACCTCCGGCTATTAAAGGACTCGATGTGGGCCCGTAAGCTGCATTCTTCCGCTTGGAAGTCCCAAGGACGAGCGTCGACATCTACATGCGGGAAACACACCGGGGGGGAGGGGGGGAAGGGAGAATCGTTAAGAGTTGGAAGGGACCTTGGAGGTCTTCTAATCCATTTGTCCGAAATGGTGTAGGGTTTCCTGCCCGAGCAGGGGGTTGGACTAGATGACCTCCAAGGTCCCTTCCAACTTTACTACTATTACTATTACTAACCCCCTGCTCAGGCAGGAAACCCTATTCCATTTCAGACAAATGCTGTCCAAAGGCCTCTAGTGTTGGAGCACCCACAACTTCTGGAGGCAAGTAGTTCCACTGGTTAATTGTTCTCACTGTCAGGAAGTTTCTCCTTAGTTCTAGGTTGCTTCTCTCCTTGGTTAGTTTCCACCTGTTGCTTCTTGTCCTGCCTTCAGGTGCTTTGGAGAAGAGCTTGACTGCCTCTTCTTGGGGCAGCCCCTGAGATACTGGAAGACTGCTATCACATTATCCCTAATTCTTCTCTTCATTAGATTAAGCATACTTAGTTCCCTTAGTCATTGATCATGATGGTATTAAGAGAATAACAGAGTTGGAAGGGCCCTTGGAGGTCTTCTAGTCCAACCCCCTGCTCAGGCAGAAGACCCTATATATCATTCCAGACAAACAGTTGTCCAATCTCTTTTTAAAAACCTCCAGTGTTGGAGCACCCACAACTTCTGGAGGCAGGTTGTTCCACTGGTTAATTCTTCTCACTGTCTGAAAGTTTCTCCTTAATTCCAGGTTGCTTCTATTATTATTATTATTATTATTATTATTATTGTTATTGTTATTGTTATTGATAATAATAAACTGTGACGATATCTATAATACCATCAAACACACATCTGCCTATCCCAGGTCCTGGGTAAGGACTCAATAGGTAGATAAAAATGCCAAATCCAGTCTGAACCTCTGGCTGACTGTACAATGATCCATAATAATAATAATAATAATAACAACAACAATAATAATAATCTGAATATCTGTCTGACTGTGCGAAGATTAATAATAATAATAATAATAATAATAATAATAATAATAATAATAATAATAATAATGTTGGAAGGGACCTTGGAGGTCATCTAGTCCAACCCCCTGCCCAGGCAGGAAACCCTATAACATTTCAGACAAATGGCTGGCCAGTCTCTTCTTAAAAACCTCCAGTGTTGGAGCATTCAGTGCTTCTGGAGGCAGGTGGTTCCACTGGTTAATTGTTCTCACTGTCAGGAAGTTTCTCCTTAGTTCTAGGTTGCTTCTCTCCTTGATTAGTTTCCACCCGTTGCTTCTTGTCCTGCCTTCAGGGGCTTTGGAGAAGAGCTTGACTCCCTCTTCTTTGGGGCAGCCCCTGAGATACTGGAAGACTGCGCTCATGTCCCCCCCTCGTCCTTCTCTTCGTTAAACGAGACCCACCCAATTCCTGCAACCGTTCTTCGTATGCTTGAGCCAAGCGGAGCTGAGTTTCGGTCAAGGTTTAACCCCCCCCCCTTTGAGTCAGCTGGGGGATTTCTGTCCCACTCACCGTTGCCGTAGGCCCAGTCGTCATTCATGCGGTGACGGACCTTCTGATAGATGGCTGACATGGTCTTCATGTTGCTCTTTCTCCACTGGCGCCCGAGATACTTGGTCTGGATCTTCAGCAACTTCAGGACGTAGAGCTGCATCATGGCTTGTTTCACCTTCAAAGTGCGTTTCAGGATTGGAGCCGACTTGAACACCACCAGCATCTATCCGGAGACCAGACGGGAAGAAACAAGATTGAACGGGAGAAAAGCACCGTGCAAATATGTGCAAAAAGACCGCCGCGCAAATGCAAGGGGATTCCAACAGGCTATCATTTCAAAACAAGGGAGAAGAACACAACATATTGTCAATAGAAGAGCAGCTTTGCAGCTCAAGGTTGAGCTGTGATGTCCTGGGTGCTCTCTGAGCTTGACGGTTTTCTTGTAGATGTTTCAGGACCCAACTACGGAACATCCAGTGATTTAAACCCCGCTCCCTTCTAGTCCTGATGATGTTCCCTAGTTGGGTCATGAAACGTCTGCAACAAAACAGCCAAGCTCAGAGTGCACCAAGGATCCCACAGTCTTTTTCCTCCTCCTCCTCCTCCTCCTCTTTACAAACCTCACTCCCTCCTAACACTGATGCTGTTCCCTAGTTGGGTTGTGAAATGTCTACAAGAAAACAACCAAGTTCAGAGAGCAACAGGGACCCCCACAGTTCTTCTTCCTTCCTTCCTTCCTTCCTTCCTTCCTTCCTTCCTTCCTTCCTTCCTTCCTTCCTTCCTTCCTTCCTTCCTTCCTCTTCTCCTTCTTTCCACTCCCTTCTAACACTGATGATGTTCCCTAGTTGGGTCATGAAACGTCTTCAAGAAAACAACCAAGCTCAGAGAGCACCAAGGACCCCACAGGTATCTATCCTCCTCCTCTTCCTCCCCTCCTCCTTTTCCATAAATAAATAAATAGCAAATAAATAAATGCCTACATCTCCTGTCAAAACTGGGACGGACGAGAGACCTACCATTGTCCTTGAATGTTTCCACTTGGTCAGTTTGTTGAGGATCCTCAGAAGGTTGATGCAAGAGAAGAGATTTCTCCAGCAAAACTGGTTGTTGTCTCCCGTCTCCTTCAGACAAAGAAATTCACAAATTGCAGCATGGGTTTTTTTCCCCACAACCAACAACCAACTGCCTGAGCGAGGGGTTGGACTAGAAGACCTCCCAGGTCCCTTCCAACTCTGTAATTCTGTTATTAATTAACCTCACCAATGTGCAGGAGGTGATTAAACAATGACGACTTACGAGACTTTCAGCATTCAGTTCTGGTAACTCATGGATGGTGCTGGAGGGATAATCCAAGGTGGAAACGCTGCAGGGAAATCAAAGGGGAGAGAGGAAGAGGAAGAGGAGGAAGAAGAGGAAGAGAAAGAGGAAGAAGAAGAAGAGGAGGAGGAGGAGGGGGGAGGAGAGGGAGGAAGAGGAAGAAGAGGAGGAGGAGAAGGGGGAGAGGGAGGAAGAGGAAGAGGAGGAAGAAGAAGAGGAAGAGGAGGAAGAAGAAGAAAAAGAAGAGGAGGAGGAGGAGAGAGAGGGGGGAGGGAGAGGAAGAGGAGGAAGAAGAAGAAGAAGAGGAGGAGGAGGGGGGGAGGAGAGGGAGGAGGAAGAGGAAGAAGAAGAAGAAGAGGAGGAGGAGGTGGGGGGGAGAAGAGGGAGGAGGAAGAGGAAGAAGAAGAAGAAGAGGAGGAGGGGGGAGAGGGAGGAAGAGGAGGAAGAAGAGGAGGAAGAAGAAGAAGAGGAAGAGGAAGAAGAAGAGGAAAAAGAAGAGGAGGAGGAAGAAGAAGAAGAAGAGGAGGAGGAGGAGGGGAAGAGGGAGGGAGAGGAAGAGGAGGAAGAAGAGGAGGAAGAAGAGGAGGAAGAAGAAGAAGAAGAAGAGAACACTTCAGTTGCAGCTTTGAAATGGCTTTTTGGGTTTCCAGGCAGACGGGAAGGCAAGGGTTAACGCGGCCGGCACCTGTTTTTGGCGGTGATGTAGGACATGATGTTCTGGTTGAAGAACTTCAGGATGAGTGGAATGCAGTTGGCGAAGACCAGATGCTGGGCAACATACTCAAACTGGAGGAAAAGAAATGGGAAAACGTCACAGAGAGAAGGAATCTGAAAGACGAGAAATTTTTGTGGCTCAGGACTGAGCAGTGAGGCCCTTGGTGCTCTCTGAGCTGGGTGGTTGCAGACGTTTCATGACCCAACTAGGGAACATCATCAGTGCTAGAAGGAAGGAAGGAAGGAAGGAAGGAAGGAAGGGAACTGTGGGGTCCCTGGTGCTCTCTGAGCTGGGTGGTTTTCTTGCAGACGTTTCATGACCCAACTAGGGAACATCATCAGTGCTAAAAGAAAGCTGGGTTTGCAGAGAGGAGGAGAATGAAATGAGGATGATGATGAGGAGGAGAAGCAGGAGGGGGGGGGGAAGGAAGGGATCAGACCTGCCAGGCTACCAGCTTTTGCACAGCTGGTTTCCCACATTTATTTATTGAATTAGGATTTGTTTATTAAACAAATGTACAGGGTGTCCTTAAGTGAGAGATTTGCTAAGTGAGCCTTGCCCCATTTTACGACCTTTCTCGTCAAGTCCACCCAATTAAGGAGGGATACGGAGATGCCACTATCGATAAAAGCTGTACACAATGCGAATCCAACCGCTATAAAAACGACGGAGGGCCGTCTCAGCCCCCAAAGACCCTCCATGTCCCACCTGGTAAATGTGGTTCAGCCGGAAATGCTTCAGGAGCAGCAGCAGCGATGCCGCGATGCTCTTCACGATGATTTCCTTGTGCCGGTTCACGTCGATACCAAGCTTCATGCTCTGAAGGACAGTCACCCTGAGAAAAAAAGGTGGAAGATTAAACCCAGGGGGGGGTCCAAACGTGGCCACTTTATAAGACTTGCAGACTTCAACTCCCAGGATTCCCCAGAATTCTGGGAGTCGAAGTCCCCACAAGTCTTAAAAATGGCTAAGGTTGGACATCCTTGCCCATCCTGGATAAATGGAGGTCCAGTCTCTTTTTGAAAGTCTCCAGTGATGGAGCACCCACCACCTCTGGAGGCAGCATGTTCCACAGATGAAATAATAATAATAATAATAATAATAATAATAATAATAACAACAATAACAACAACAACAACAACAACAACATCAAAAACATATGCCAGACTATCCCACCTCCTTTACATGGATGATCTGAAGCTGTATGAAAAAACATTATCTGAAATAGAATCGCTGCTCAACACTGTCCGTATATATAGCCAAGATATTGTAATGGAGTTTGGCTTGGACAAATGTGCCACACTTACTATCAAATAAGGAAAAATAATGAAAACTGAAGGAATCAAGATGCCCCACGAAAATAACATTAAGAGTCTGGATGAGGAAGAGTACTACAAATACTTGGGTATCCTTCAAGCTGACAACATCAAGCACACTGAAGTCAAGAAAAAGATTAGAGGTGAATACATCAAGAGAGTGAAGAAGATCTTAAAATCCAAACTCAATGGAGGAAATACCATAAAGGCAATCAACACCTGGGCAATCCCAGTCATTAGGTACACAGCTGGAATAGTGGACTGGACTCAAGCAGAACTAAAAGCAATGGATAGGCAGACCAGAAAAATAATGACAATGAATCATGCCCTTCATCCACGCAGTGACATTGATAGACTTTATCTACCAAGGCAAATAGGTGGGCGTGGAATGCTACAAGTACATCAGATGGTTGAAGAAGAAAAAATGGCTTGGAAGAATATCTGAAGAACAATGATGAAGATGCACTGAAATTAGTATATCAGGAAGGCTTACTGACTACTGGAGAGACCAAACTGGCCTACAAGAAAGACCAAATGAAGAACAGAATAGACACATAGAAAGACAAAGCACTACATGGCCAATACATAAAAAAAAAATAGCTGGGAAAGGAGATGTTAAAGACCTGGCAATGGCTAAGAGCAGGAAAATTGAAGAAAGAGACCGAGGGACTAATTCTGGCTGCACAAAACCAAGCCTTAAGGACAAATGCATATAAAGTCAAAATTGAGAAGACAGCAACAGACAGTAAGTGCCGCCTATGCAAAGAAGCTGAAGAAACAGTGGACCACTTGGTAAGCTGTTGCAAGAAGATTGCACAAACTGATTACAAGCAGCGGCATGACAAAGTAGCAACAATGGTGCATTGGAAGATCTGCAAAAAATATCATTTGCCTGTAAGCAAAAACTGGTGGGATCATAAAATAGAGAAAGTCATAGAAAATGATAAAATTAAACTGCTCTGGGACTTCAGAATTCAAACAGACAAGCACCTGCAACATAACACCCCAGACTTAACAATTGTCGATAAGAAAGACAAAAAAGTCTGGATAGTGGACGTGGCAGTGCCTGGAGACAGCAGAATAGACGAGAAAGAACTGGAGAAGATAACAAAATACAAAGACCTACAAATAGAAATAGAAATAGAAAGACTGTGGCAAAAGCAAGCAAGGGTAGTACCAATAGTCATAGGCTCCTTGGGTGCAATCCCAAAACAACTGGAGCACCACTTGAACACCATTGGCATTGACAAATTCGCTATTAGTCAATTGCAAAAGGCAGCCTTATTAGGAACTGCTTCCATCCTGCGACGATATCTGTAATACCATCAAACATCCACATCTGCCTATCCCGGGTCCTGGTTAAGGACTCGATAGGTAGACAAAATGCCAAATCCAGTCTGAACATCTGGCTGACTGTGCGATGATCCATAATAGTAATAATAATTCCTGGCTGAGGAATTCTGGGAATTGAAATCCCAAGTCATCAAAGGGCCAAGTTTGAAGACCCCTGTTCTGGAGTGTTGGCTATTCTTGCCAGCTTGGTGTCATCTGCAAATTTGATAAGTTCCCCGTCTTTCCCCTCATTTGGATCATTAAGGAAGATGGCCTATTGTAGAAAGGACTACAATTCCTTGTAAAGAGGACTACAATTCCTTCTCAAAGAGGACTACAATTCCCAGGATTCATGCCAATGGATAAACTCCTCCCCAGGAGTCAAAGGGAGCACCCCCTCCACCACATCGGGGTACTTCCGTAGCTTTTCTGGGGAGTCCTCCACTTACGGCATTTCCTCCGGTAAGACGTCAGCCAGGATGTTGATTGAGTCCGTCTTGGCTTTTGAAGTTGGGGCGGCGGCCAGCAGGATCTTGAGCAGAGCAATCTGAAGCAGGGAAGGAGAGGATCAACCCCAAATTAGCCTTTGGAACAGGCTCCTGCGAACGTAGCCGCTTTTCAGACTTCTGGACTTCAACTCCCAGAATTCTACGCTGGCGGAGGAATTCTGGGAGTTGAAGTCCAGAAGTCTTAAAGTGGTCAGGTTTGGAGACTCCCCAATAATAACAGAAAACTTGTACAACCTACCAAAACATTCAAATTGACAGAAAGGTGCTCAGTCCAATCAAACAGGTTTTGTACACTACCTTCTGAGCGGGGGGCTGGACTAGAAGACCTCCAGGGTCCCTTCCAGATTCTATTCTATTCTATTCTATTCTATTCTATTCTATTCTATTCTATTATGTTGAGTCACTCTAGCCCAGTGGTTCTCAACCTGTGGGTCGGGACCCCATTTGGGGTCGAATGACCATTTCACGGGGGTCGCCAAACCACGCTGTCCGCCATTTTTTTCCCTTTTCCCTAGCTGTCCTACTCCCTCTTATTGGTGGCCACACCCACTTGGGGGTCACCACAACATGGGGAACTATATTATGGGGTCACGGCATTAGAAAGGTTGAGAACCACTGCTCTAGCCACTACTGATACTTAATTTTATTCCTAATTTTATATATCCCTTGCATTGTGTGTTTTCAAAATAACTCCCTGCCTCTGGCATGTATTTCGATGTGGATACACATTTTATAGGTGGCTTCTCCCAATTTTATGCACGGTGCTGCATGTTGCTAGGCCTCACAAAATGAAATAAAATTAAAAAAGAAATAAAACAGGGCACAGGCCCAGCGCTCACCATGTACTGTGGCAGATTGTAGAGCATGGCCCGATAGAGGACTTCACATGGCGTCTCTTGGACATCCTCTTCCCCCTGAAGCGTGAGAACGGACGCAAAACCATCAGAACAGAGCTGGAAGGGACCTTGGAGGTCATCTAGTCCAACCCCCCGCTCAAGCAGGAGACCCGCGGCCCTAGACCATTCCAGACAGGTGACTGTCCAGTCTCTTCTTCAAAACCTTCAGGGATGGAGAACCCACAACTGGGAAGTGAAAAGGTGACTTGAAACTTGGAAATTATAAATACTAAATGTAAAAAGTTAAACATTAACGGGAAATTAAAAATTGGTGGAAACTAATTAGGACATTGATTGTCCATAAAGACCGAATGTTAAAATAAGGATATGCATAAGCCAAAAATTATTGATAAATGTAAGAATGTCATTTTTATTTAATTGATTTCATAGAAATTGTCTTCGTTTAGACAGGAGACAGTGAATATTGAGGAGAAAAGAGAAAAAAAAATTGAGGTAGTAGCTTGAGGTTTGTACTGAAGACATTTGTATGCTATTGTATTGTTGACTGGCCCAGCCGCCACATTGCTTTTTGAACATTTAAATGTAAAATTAGAAAATCAATAAAAACATTTATAAAAGAAAAGAAAAAGAAAAGGTGCACGGGGCAGCCTGTAGAAATAGTTACCAAAGAGATGGGCCATTTTTCCATTTCTTCCTCATTCTTAATCTGCACTTCGGCCACCGAGATATATTTGTGCTGAGGAGAAGATGGGAACAACAGGATTCGCACAAAACAAATTAAAATATTTCGGCGGACCTTTAGTTAAAATCCAACTGTCGTGGTTCCGACAGATGAAACTCTTCAAAGAACTTTGAGGCATTGTTTACCTTAAAGGACCTTTATTTGAGTAGCATAGCATTGGCAGGTACATAGACATTAAGCCAAAATCTGAATTCCCCTCCCGAGTACACAGTATCAAAGCACAATTCCCTCCTCCAATTAACAGTTAGAAATCACATTCTCCAATTAGTTTGACATGCAGGCTTTCCCTCCCGTTCTCCAGCCCGCCATTTCTTATCACCTCTTATTTCAATCACCTTGGTTCTCACACTAGGTCCAGTATTGTTATGTCTAGCTAAACTCTCATGCACGTTCCTCCCACCAGCGTCATCTAACTCTAAGAGTAAAACATAACAAGAAAATGGTTGCATCTCCAACTGTTGTCAGGGCAAAAATATCTGATGTTAGCAGCGTTGACACCAACGACTTCCAACTGTTTGAAAGTTTGAGCCAATATGGTCTAGTGGTTAAGGCAGCAGGCTAGAAAGCAGGAGCTGATGAGTTCTAGTCCCACCTTAGGCATGGAAGCCAGCTGGGTGACTTTGGGCCAATCACCAGGAGGTTGTGAGTTCTAGTCCCGCCTTAGGCACGGAAGCCGGCTGGGTGACTTTGGGCCAATCACCAGGAGACGGAGAGTTCTAGTCCCGCCTTAGGCATGGAAGCCGGCTGGGTGACTTTGGGCCAATCACCAGGAGACGGGGAGTTCTAGTCCCGCCTTAGGCATGGAAGCCGGCTGGGTGACTTTGGGCCAATGACCAGGGGACGGTGAGTTCTAGTCCCGCCTTAGGCATGAAAACTGGCTGGGTGATTTTGGTCCAATCACCAGGAGACGGTGAGTTCTAGTCCCGCCTTAGGAACGAAAGCCGACTGGTTGTTTGGGGCAAATTAGGAAGAGGAATGCTTGAGGTATGTCTGAGCTTGAGTTGTTTATAAAAATAACGTCCATCACGAAATAAAAATAATATAAATAAAATGTCCCCAAACGCTCAGCAGAGCTCCTACAGAGATCCTAGAATCTCCACGCGAGAAAAGCAGAATTCACAGCTAACGCCAAATGTTTCTTGCGCTGCTTCTCAACCTCGCCCGCTTTCAGATGGGGGGGACTTCAACTCCCAGAATTCCACAGCCAGCTTTGCTGGCTGTGGACTTCTGGGAGTTGAAGTCCCACCATCTGAAAGCGGGCAAGGTTGACAAATACTGGTTTATATTGCAAAATATCCGCCTTACCTCTTTCAGAGTCTTCACACTTTCATGGATGGGGCACGGCAAGCCTACTAAAGTATCGGTGTCTCTACAAGGGGGAATTGAAAGAGTCAGCGAGGAGGAAAAGAGACATTAAGAAGCAAATATATCCTGTCTTCTTCCGGGTTCTGGATCGGCGTGCAGATCGGCGTTTTTGCAAGGCTGCCTTTGCAAGAACGGTTTATCCACTGCCGATCCTTCCTTTCCGCTGCTATCCGACTGCAGTTTTACAATCAGACTCTGGGAAAAGCCATCAATCCGGTCCAAGGGAGCAGGGAAAACATGTGGAACGCAGAAATATCCCACCTGCTTTTCGCGTGGGCTATTCAGCGAGTGCAGTTTGAGCGCCCCGGATGGATGGATGGATGGACAGTCCTCTCTAGAAAACCTCCCCACCCCCATTTGGAGTTAGAGAAATGTGCTGGAATTACAGTATCTGGAAGAAGCCACTGAAAATGGAACCAAGCACTTGCAAAAAAGAGAAAGAGAGAGAAAATAGGCAGATTGACATATCTTTGTAGAATGGTTACTAAAAGGCTGAGATCCTGGGCTGGGAGGGATGAGGAGGAGGAGGAGGAGGAGGAGGGAGGACGGTTGGAGTCCTTTGTGCTCTCTGAGCTGGGTGGTTTCCTTGCAGATGTTTCATGACCCAACTAGGGAATATCATTAGTGCTAGAAGAGAGGGGGGCTTGCAGAGGAGGAGCAGGAAGAGGAGGAGGAGGAGGAGAAGAAAAAGAAAGAAAGAGGAGGAGGATGAAGAAAAAGAAGAAGAAGAAAAGAAATAATAATAATCATAATCATAATCATAATAATGATAATAGTAGAGGCTCCTTTGTGCTCTCTGAGCTTGGTGGTTTCCTTGGAGACGTTTCATGACCCAACTAGGTAATATCATCAGTGCTAGAAGGGAGTGGGGCTTGCAGAGGAGGAGCAGGAAGAGGAGGAGGAGAAGGAGGAGAAGAAGAAGAAAAAGAAAGAAAGAGGATGAATAATAATAATAATAATAATAATAATAATAATAATTGGCATTGACAAATTCGCTATTAGTCAATTGCAAAAGGCGGCCTTACTAGGAACTGTTTCCATCCTGCGACGATACCTGTAATACCATCAAACATCCACATCTGCCTATCTCAGGTCCTGGGTGAGGACTCGATAGGTAGACAAAATGCCAAATCCAGTCTGAACATCTGGCTGACTGTGCGATGATCGATAATAATAATAATAGGGGCTCCTTTGTGCTCTCTGAGCTTGGTGGTTTCCTTGCAGACGTTTCATGACCCAACTAGGTAACATCATCAGTGCTAGAAGGGAGGGAGGTTTCAGGAGTGGGGTTTGTGGAAGGGAGGAGGAGGAGGAGGAGGAGGACTGTGGGGTCCTTGATGCTCTCTGAGCTCTCTGTTTATATCCCAGGGACGTGCCCCTTCCCTGTTTGTTCTGGAGGGCATTCGTTCCCAGAAAGTTACTTTACACCTACCCAAACCCAGTTATGAACCCTCACACCTCCTGGCATCCAGGCGTGAAAATTAAACAGCCTTGGACCCCACCCACGGTTTGCAGGATTTGCGCATTTAACCCGAGACACATACATGGAAGCTTTTACTTGGGAGGCTGAAAATGTCCCTCCAGGGCCACCATCTACTCACTGCCCAAGAGTGAATCCAATGAATTTGTTCCTGCTTGTCTCCAGGAAGTGTTCGATGTCTTTCTGTCTGGAAGAGAGAGGGGGAGAGAGGGAGGGAGGGAGAGAAGAGAGAGAGAAGAGAGAGAGAGGGAGGAGAGAGGAGGGGGGGAGGGAGAGAGGGAGGAAGGAGGGAAGGAGAGAGAGAGAGAGAGAGAGAGAGAGAGAGAGAGAGAAGAGAGAGGGAGGAGAGAGGGAGACAGAGAGAGGGAGGAGAGAGAGACAGAAGAGGAGAGGAGAGGGGGGGAGGGAGAGAGACAGAGAGGAGAGAGGGGGAGGAAGAGAGGGAGGGAGAGAGAGAGAGAAGAGAGAGGAGAGGGGGGAGAGAGGGAGGAAGGAGGGAGAGAGACAGAAGAGAGGGAGGAGAGAGAGACAGAAGAGGAGAGGGGGGAGGGAGAAAGAGAGAGAGAGAGAGAGGAGAGAAGGGAGAGAGGAGAGAGAGAGAGGGAGGAGAGAGAGAGGAGAGGAGAGAGGGGGAAGGAGGGAAGGAGGGAGAGACACAGAGAGAAGAGAGGGAGGAGAGAGACAGAAGAGGAGAGGAGAGAGGGGGAGGGAGAAAGACAGACAGACACAGAGAGAGAGAGAGGAGACAGAAGGGAGAGAGAAGAGAGGGAGGAGAAAGAGGAGAGGAGAGGAGAGAGGGGGAGGGAGAAAGACAGAGAGAGACAGAGAGAGAGAGAGAGGAGAGAGGGAGAGAGAAAATATATATTTTCTATTCTCTTCTCTAATGCTGCCAAGTTCAAACACCCTAATCTAGATCTCCTGTCAAGGCCCCATTAGTGAAAAAGGAGATTTCAGACCTGTCAAATGTCACGTGGGCCCCGCAGAATTTATTACCATCAACTCCATTTTGGGGTGGGAGACGCCATTCAGCTCTTCCAGGGAGTCTAGCCAACCTTCTCCTTGCCCGGATGGCCTTCTACTCAACCTGGACTGATCTGAGGGCTTCACCACCATCTCATCCTCCTCCTTGTGTTGACCAGGTCCACAGGGGGCTCTTCCAAAGCCAGGAGAGGACCTCGGGGGGGGGCACCGTACCTGACTTTGGGGGCCCACGGAAGGCCCTTTGGGAAGGAGACCTTCTCCACGGGTGGGCATGGCAGCGGCACAACCTGGACGACGCTGCCCCTTTCCAAGATGTCCAGATCTCCTTCCAGCCCGTTTGCGATGTCATCGGGGTCTTCTTCGTCCACCATGGCCTCCTCGAAGGGGTCTCTCTCGTTGTAGATGTCTAGGCTGTCTTGCTTCATCAGAGGCTGCATCAAGCAAACCAAAGAGAGACATGAGCGTGGCATCAACGTTGTCCTCTGGAGGGGGGGGGGGAAGTCTTCTGCTCTGGGGCTCCTTGCATGATTCACCTAGACCAGCGGTTCTCCACCTGTGGGTCGGGACCCCATTTGGGGTCGAACGACCATTTCACGGGGGTCGCCAAACAACGCAGTCCGCCATTTTTTCCCCCCTTTTCCTTAGCTGTGCTACTCCCTTTTTTTCTATTGGCTTTTGAAAGCCAATAGAATAGACTCTCTTGAATAGAGTCTCATTCTATTGGCTTTCCAAGCCAACAGGAATTGTCCAGGCTGTCTCTGCCCTGCTGAGCCCGCCAAAAGTCCCAGTCTGCCAACAGGGCTGCTCCAGTTGAGTAGTCCTCGACTTATGACCGGTTGGAGGTCGCGGCATTAAAAAGGTTGAGAACCACTGACCTAGACGGACCCCCCCCAGGCTTTTGGGGAAGAAGGCGACGGGCCAAGAAAACCGGAATAAAGGGGAGGGACGGAGCTCGGTCAATGTCTAAACGATGAAGGAACCATCTCGCCTTCCCCCCCCCCAATCGGATTGGCCCGCCCCACTTGTGCCAGCGGAATGGTATAAGGGGTTGGACTAGAAGACCTCCAAGGTGCCTTCCCGCTCTGCTAGTCTGTTAAGAGACACGTCACCCAGCTGGCTTTCATGCCTAAGGCGGGACTAGAACTCCCTGACTCCTGGTGATTGGCCCAAAGTCACCCAGTTGTCTTTCATGACTGAGGCGGGACTAGAACTCCCCGTCTCCTGGTGATTGGCCCAAATTCACCCAATTGGCTTTCGTGCTTAAGGCGGGACTAGAACTCCCCGTCTCCTGGTGATTGGCCCAAAGTCACCCAGTTGGCTTTCATGCCTAAGGCGGGACTAGAACTCCCCGTCTCCTGGTGATTGGCCCAAAGTCACCCAGTTGGCTTTCGTGCCTAAGGCGGGACTAGAACTCCCCATCTCTTGGTGATTGGCCCAAAGTCACCCAGCCGGCTTTCGTGCCTAAGGCAGGACTGGAACTGTCCATCTCCTGCTTTCCAGACTGGTGTTTTAACCACTAGGCCAAGCGGCCCCTTGTGTGCATGGGAAAGCACGGAAAGACTGTCTTGACGGCATCAAATTCCTGGGCCCTGCAAGGGGAGACCCTTGGAGACATACCCTGGCTTTAAACCCAAGCCACCATTTCACAAGGGATTAACAGCCGCACAGCGAGTCTCCAATTGATCCGACTTTATCGATAGCCAATCGTTACTGTCCCTTGTCTGCGAAGCGAAGGAGGATTGGCGGACTGGCTGATCGATCGAAAAAAAGGAAGGAGGAATGGGAGGAAAGGAAGATGTTTTCTGCATTTCTGACCCCACAGAAGGTGGAATTCGGTTACCCTCCGATTCCGGTGTCCGCGTTTCTGCGGCGGGGGCTGCGGCTGCTCCCCCAGCTCGGGGGCGTAGGCCGGGGGAGAGGCAGCGCGCATGTTCCGCATGACCTGGATGCTGTCTTCCGGCAAAGGGGGCAGGCCCAGCTCCTGGCGCTTCTTCACCTTCATGGCCTGGAGGGTGTCGAAGCCGCCCAGCGTGAACTGCAGAAGGGAGGCGAAAGGAGACAGCAGCGGCTCGCAGATTCCCCAGGGAGAAAGATCGGCAGCTCCGGGGAGAATTGTGGGGTGCTCGGGGGGGGGGGGCTCTCTGAATTGGGACATCTTCTTGCGGACGTTTCATGCCCCAGCTAGGGAACAACATCAGGCTAGAAGGGAGTGGGGTTTGCAGAGGGGAGGAGGAGGAGGAGGAGGAGGAAGACTGTGGGGTCCTTGTTGCTCTCTTGAGTTTGGCTTTTTTCTTGCAGACGTTTCATGACCCAACTAGATAACATCATCAGGGCTAGAAGGGAGTGAGGTATGCAGAGAGGAGGAGGAGGAGGAAGGACTGGGGGTCCTGGGTGCTCTCTGAGCTTGGTTGTTTTCTTGCAGACGTTTCATGACCCAACTGGATAACATCAGTGCAAGAAAGGAGGGGATTTAAGAGGGAGGGAGGGAGGGAGGGAGGGAGGGAAGGAAGGGAGGAAGGAAGGAAGGAAGGAAGGAAGGAAGGGAGGGAGGGAGGGAACTGTGGGGTCCTTATTGCTCTCTTGAGTTTGGCTTTTTTCTTGCAGACGTTTCATGACCCAACTGGGTAACATCAGTGCAAGAAAGGAGGGGATTTAAGAGGGAGGGAGGGAGGGAGGGAGGGAGGGAGGGAAGGAAGGAAGGAAGGAAGGAAGGAAGGAAGGAAGGAAGGAAGGAAGGAAGGAAGGAAGGAAGGAAGGAAGGAAGGAAAAGTGTGGGGTTCTTGTTGCTCTCTGAGCTTGGTGGTTTTCTTGCAGACGTTTCATGATCCAACTAGATAACATCATCGGGGCTAGAAGGGAGTGGAAAGGGAAAGGAAGGAAGGAAGGAAGGAAGGAAGGAAGGAAGGAAGGAAGGAAGGAAGGAAGGAAGGAAGGAAGGAAGGAAGGAAGGAAGGAAGGAAGGAAGGAAAAGTGTGGGGTCTTTGTTGCTCTCTGCGCTTGGTGCTTTTCTTGCAGATGTGTCATGACTCTGGCAGGGCAAGCCACTTGTACATAAACAGACAGCAAACCCCACTCCCTTCCAGCACTGATGATGTTCCCTAGTTGGGTCATAAAACGTCTGTAAAAAAAAAATCAAGCTCAGAGAAGACCCCACAGTCCTTCTCCTCCTGTTTCTCCTCTTCCTCCTCCTCCTCCCCCCCAAACCCCTTCTCCTCATCTAGCCCTGATGATGCTCCCTAGCTGGGTTGTGAAACGTCAGCCTCCGAGAGGCCCCGATTCCTTCCAGCGCACCCCCCAAAGCCCCCGCGGTGCAAAGGGGGAAGACGCTCGCTCACCACGAGGACCTTCCAGAGGAGAAGCAGGACCTTCTTCATGGGGAAGTGTGGGGAATGTTCGCTGCAGAATTTGGTCACCATGGTGAACAGCGAGAGCCCAAACGGTTCTTCGCTGTGGATCGGATAACCTGCCGGAAGGATTTTCAAAAGTCAAATGGGGGGGGGGGAGAAATATGAGAAGTTGGGGGGTTGTCATCAGCAGCCTGGCTAAATCTAGTTTCGTCTCCAGCTAAGGGCAACCCATAAGCTCCCCCCAAAATAAGCAACATTTTTTGGGGGGGGGGGTTGTCCATCAAAGGAGAGCGATGTGATCCCCAATTATTGAATTATTGCACGTGGCATTTGAGGTTGCAAAGGGCAGGAACAAGAGCTAAGAACTAGAGAGACAGAGAAGAAAGAGAGAGAGAATGAGACAGAGAGAAAGGGAGGGAAAGAGAGAAGAGGAGAAAAGAGAGAGAATGAGACAGAGGGAAGGAGAGGGACAAAAGAGAGAGAGAGAAAGGATGAGAGGGAGAGAGGGAGAAAGGGAAAGAGAGAGAGAGAAGAGAGACAGAAGTAGAGACATAGAGAGAGAGGAGAGAAAAGAGAGAATAAGAGAGGGATGGAGAGAGAGAATGAGACAGAGGGAAGGAGAGGGACAAAAGAGAGAGAAAGGATGAGAGGGAGAGAGGGAGAAAGGGAAAGAGAGAGAGAGAAGAGAGACAGAATGAGAGACAGAGAGAGAGAGAGGAGAGAAAAGAGAGAATAAGAGAGAGGGATGGAGAGAGAGAGAATGAGACAGAGAGAGGGGAAAGGAAAGAGAGAGAGAAGGAAAGGGAAAGAGAGATAGAGAAGAGAGACAGAATGAGATAGAGACAGAGACAGAGAGAGAGGAGAGAAAAGAGAGAGCGAATAAGACAGAGAGGGATGGAGAGAGGGGGGGGTGGAAGGGAGAGAGACAGAGAGAGAGGAGAGAAAAGAGAGAGCGAATAAGACAGAGAGGGATGGAGAGAGAGAGAGAGAGAGAGAGAGAGAGGGAGAGAGAGTGGGAGAGAGACAGAGGAGAGAGAATGAGACACAGAAAGAGGGAGTGAGCAAGCAAAGGTTTCCAGTCCTTTCCATTTCAATATGGTCTAATACCGGAAACGATCCGCTCTCTCCCATTGTGACACAATCACAAACACACACCCAAGGCTACAGGATAAGGTCTCCTGCTTGAGCACGGGGTTGGACTAGAAGACCTCCAAGGTCCCTTCCAGCTCTATTCTAATTCTGATTCAGACCAGCTATCTTTTCCTTGGAAATCCAAGAACTTTACAAAAAGCAAAAATGGAATCTGAAGCAGAGCAAGGACCGGTGACGAGATTGATGGACACCACCTTGGGCACTCCAGAGGCATAGTGTGTGTGTGTGTGTGTGTGTGTGTGTGTGTATTTGTGTTGTGCGTTGCCGTCACCTACTCAGCTCAGCCCTGAACATCTCTCGGGATGCTGTCCACTTCGGAGGATCTGTCTCCATTTTCACCCGGATGTTTTCCACCATCAGGTACATGACGGTCAAAATCACCCTGGGAGCAAATCCAAAACAACCTTCGGTTAGTCCTCAGTTTGTAACGGTTCGTTTAACGACCGTCTGAAGTCACAACAGCAATGAAAAGAGGGACTGTTTCTTTTGGCTCGCTATAGGCCAGCATTAAAACAGTCATAAAAATCAAGTGTGGTCATGTGATGGGCTGCTTAATGACCACAACAGCTGGTAGACAATCCTTGATTTACAGATCTTCATTTAATGACTGTTCGAAGTTACAACGGCACCGAAAAAGGACCGTTTTTCCTCAGTTCCAGCGTCAAAATCCAGACGCTTGGAAACTGACTTGGACTTCTGACGGTTGCAGTGTCCTGGGGTTACGACCGTCTTTTGCGACCTTCCGACAAGCAAAGTCAATGGGCAGGGAGCCAGATTCACTTAACAACCATGTGATTAACTTAACAACTGCAGTGATCCACTTAATGACTGTGGCAAGAAGGTCGTAAAACGGGGCAAAACTCTCCCTTCACAAATGTCTCGCTTAGCAATGGAAATTTTAGCCTCAACTGTGGTGGTACGTCAGCTGTATTTTTGTTGCAAAACTTGCTTAACAACTGCTTCGCTCAGCAACGGAAATTTTGGTTTCCCTTGTGGTCGTAAGCCGAGGACTCCCTGTGGAGAATCATAGAATAAGCCGCTCAGAGAAACTCACCGGAGTTCGGTGCTGTCTGCCAGAGAGATGGCCGGTTTCCGCAGAGCGCTGCTGCGCGCCTCGGTGTTGCTGTAACAAAAGGCAGGGAAAACCAATCAGAATTTGTGGGTCTTAGCTGAAGAAGTCCCAATTAAGAAAATTCTTGACTATGCAAGAAATGGATAAATTGACTTTAAAGATAAAAGAGAAAGAAGACTCCATGTACTTTAGAACAGGGGATAATTCCTATCCATGGCTAGAAAGACGAGTTAGAGAGAAAGGAAGGTGATATGTAATTTTGAATATACGTTAGCCAGATTGAGTGATTAATTAACATATTGTTTATGATAATTAACGATTTTTCTATTATTGTTTGTTAAACGCATGAACCCAGACATTATGCTGTTTGCTAAATATTGAGAATGTTCCTTGGAAAAAAACCAGCCCCAAACCCTACCCTTAATCCCAACCCTAACCCCAACTCCACCTTATTCCTAACCCCATAAAAACTAATAAAATCTATACAAAAAGAGAGAAGTTATGGGTCTTTTTCTTTCACAAAAAATTAGCCGGGGCAAAAAAAAAATCACTAGATGCTGATGTCTTGATGGTGTTTTTACGAAATACTTTTTTAAAAAGTTTGTCTCTTGCCAGGCACTTATCGCCATCTTTGGTGGACGTGCCCCAAAGCCCAAAGATTCTGGTTCAAGAATACGCACGTGGTTAGAGAAAATGACCAAAAAGCATAATAGAGTATAAGCCAGAATTCTTTTTGTTAGGCCTAATAGTAGGAAACTATGAGAAAGAGTGTGTATGTATCTAACGGTACATGTATGAACTGCAGCGAGAATTGTATTCGCTCAATGTTGGAAAAATGAAGATTTACCAACAGAGAGAGAGAGTTAATTAAAAAAAAATTAGATTGTGCAGAAATGGATAGATGACATTAAAAATGAAAGAGAAAGAAGACTTGGTTTATTTTAGAACACGGGATACCTTTTATCAGTGGCTAGGAAAAATGAGGTAGAGAGAAATGAATTTAACATTGGTAAGTTAAATGTTGGAAATCCAGACAATATGTTGCTAATAAAATATTAAGCATATTAAGCATATTAAGCATATTAAGCATATCTATCTATCTATCTATCTAATCTATCTATCTCTATCTATCTGTCTATCTATCTATCTATCTATCTATCTATCTATCTATCTATCTATCTTTCTGTTTATCTGTCTATCTATCTGTCTATCTATCTGTATCTATTTATCTATATCTATTTATATCTATCTATCTCTATCTATCTATCTATGTATCTATCTATATTTATCTATGTCTATTTATCTATCTGTCTGTCTGTCTGTCTGTCTATCTATATCTATTTATATCTATCTATCTATCTATCTACCTATCTATCTATCTATCTACCTATCTATCTATCTATCTATGTCTATTTATCTATCTATGTCTGTCTATCTATCTATCTATCTGTATCTACTTATCTACTTATCTACCTATCTATCTATCTATCTATCTATCTATCTATCTATATCTATCTATCTATCTACCTACCTATCTCTGTCTATCTATCTATCTATCTATCATCTATCTATCTATCTATTTATCTATCTATTTATCTATCTATCATCTTTATCTATCTATCTATCTATCATCTCTCTCTCTCTCTATCATCTCTCTATCTCTCTATCTATCTATTTATCTATCTACCTACCTATCTACCTATCTCTGTCTATCTATCTATCTATCTATCTATCTATCTATCTATCTATCTATCTATCATCTATCTATTCTATCTATCTGCCTACCTATCATCCATTTACCATTTGTCCGTCTATCTATCTATCTATCTATCTATCTATCTATCTATCTATCTATCTATCTATCTATCTATCTATCTCTCTAAAGACAGGAGGCTTTTAAGCCTGTTCCAAAACGTCACTTACGCCACTTCCATGTTCAGCAGTTCCAGAAAGGCTGTGAAGGTCCCCATTTGGTACAGCAAGAAGCTGTTGTGTCGAGCCCAGCAGAGGACATCCGCTTCCGTATCACACTCTCCAAAGACCCCTGAAGACCCCCAGCAAGATGAGAGAAGGGAAGAAGTGAAAAAAAAAATATTCTGCCTAGTTTATAGCAGGGTTTCCCAACCTTGGTTACTGTCTGGACTTTGACTCCCAGAATTCCCTGCCTTGGCCATGGAAGCCAGCTGGGTGACTTTGGGCCAATCATCAAGAGACGGTGAGCTAGTCCCGCCTTAGGCACGAAAGCCAGCTGGGTGACTTTGGGCCAATCACCAGGCGACGGTGAGTTCTAGTCCCGCCTTAGGCATGAAAGCCAGCTGGGTGACTTTGGGCCAATCACCAAGAGACGGTGAGCTAGTCCCGCCTTAGGCACGGAAGCTGGCTGGGTGACTTTGGGCCAATCACCAGGAGACGGTGAGTTCTAGTCCCGCCTTAGGCACGGAAGCCAGCCGGGTTCTTTGGGCCAGTCACTCTCTCTCTCAGCCCAACCCACCTCACAGGGTTGTTGTTGTGGGAAATATAGAAGGAGGAAGGAGAATTTGTTTGCCACCTTGAGTTATTTGTAAAAATACTAAAGGCAGGATACAAATCAATCAATCAATCAATCAATCAATCAAGGAGCCTGTCTGGCCCTGGACAGGGGCTTTTACCTTGTGCCAAATAGAGCACGGCCCGAGCTACTTTCAGCCTCTGGTCCCTGCTGACCACCTCCAGCCCGTCCAGTAGCCGCATCACGTAGGTCTTCTGCTGGGTCAGGCCCAGCTCTGACCACCGCCGGCCCTTCGCTGCAGGAAAGGGAGGGCTTGCCGAGTGAGTTCATCCATGGAAAGAAATTTTAAAGTGATGGCTGGGGTTCCGTGCCATACAAGGCATATACACCAAGGGGAGACGGTCAAAGGGCAGAAAGAAGAAGAAGAAGAAGAAGAAGAAGAAGAAGAGGAAGAAGAAGAAGAAGAAGAAGAAGAAGAAGAAGAAGAAGAAGAAGAAGAAGAAGAAGAAGAGAAGGAGGGGAGGAGGAGGAGGAGGAGGAGGAGGAGAGAGGGACGAGATCAAAGGCCCACCCAGACAGCATCCAGAAGAGCGAGGAGCTGGAGGAGGAGGGCGAGGGGGAGGAGGAGGAGAACAAGGAGGAGTGGGGTAGAAGGAGGAGTGGGGAGGGAACAGTGGGGAGTGGGGAGAAGGAGGAGTGGGGAAGAGAACAAGGAGTGGGGAGGGGGAGAAGGAGGAGGAGGAAGAGGAGTGGGGAGAAGGAGGAGGGGAAGGAGGAGGAGGGGAGGGGAGGAGGAGTGGGAAGGAGGAGGAGGGGAAGGGGGGAGGAGGAGGAAAAAGGAGAGGGAAGAGTGGGAAGAGGGAAGAAGGAGGAGAAGAAAAAGGAAGAGGAAAAGGAGGAGAACAAGGATGAGGAATGGGGAGGAGGAGAACAAGGAGCAGGAGTGGGGAGGGGGAGGAGGAGGAGAAGAAGGAGGAGGGGGGAGAACAAGGAAGAGGAGTGGGGAGAGGGAAGAAGGAGGAGGAGAAGAAAAAGGAGGAGAAGGATGAGGAGAACAAGGATGAGGAATGGGGAGGAGGAGAACAAGGAGCAGGAGTGGGGAGGGGGAGGAGGAGGGGGAGGGGGGAGAACAAGGAAGAGGGGAGGGGGAGAAGGAGGACGAAGAAGGGGAGAGACACACACAGAGAGGAAAAAAAACGCTACCTTGGATCTGAAAATCTTCCTCAAAGCATTTTCTGTTGAGGGCAAATTCGGGTCCCTCCGTGTAGCTGTAGAGTTCTGTTCAAGAAAGATTCCCCCCCCCCAAAAAAACCAGGGAGAATTAATTAATAGCTGCGTTCCAATTAGGCCCCCCTCGCAATTGAGGCCATCCCACAGCAGCAAAGCTCAGGGCACCGGGTTCGAATCCCTCCTTGGTTCCCACACCCACCCTGCAAGCTGGAGGCACCATAACTGGTGGGTAGGTGGACCAAAAGAACTTCCCCCTTCTGCTACATGCGTTCCCCCCCCCCATCCACCCCCTGAAGTGACATCTAAGCGTAAATCTCCAGGCTTGCAAACCCCGAGCATTTTCAGGCAGCGTCCACATCCACAGGAAAGTCGGCTGCCTTCTTTGCAACTCAGGTGAAGAACCTGGATGCGTCCAAGACCTTCTTACCTGCCAGCTCCGCTGCGTGGCTGTCAGCATCTCCGTACTCAAAATCCAGGTTAGGACAATCTATGGATCCCTGCAGGAGAAGGTCCATCTTAAGAGAGGCAGGCACCACCAGATCTTGATTTTGCATGACCCAAGAGAGCAAGGATCTCCAAACTTGATAACTTTAAGACTTGTGGACTTCAACTCCCAGAATAGAATAGAATAGAATAGAATAGAATTAGAATGGAATAGAATGGAATTATAATAGAATAGAATAGAATTAGAATGGAGTAGAATAGAATTAGAATGGAATAGAATTGAATAGAATGGAATTAGAATAGAATAGAATTAGAATGGAATAGAATAGAGTAGAATAGAATTAGAATGGAATAGAATTGAATAGAATGGAATTAGAATAGAATAGAATTAGAATGGAATAGAATAGAGTAGAATAGAATTAGAATGGAATAGAATTAGAATAGAATTAGAATGAAATAGAATAGAATAGAATTAGAATGGAATAGAATAGAATTAGAATGGAATAGAATATAGAGTAGAAAATATATGGTATGGTATGGAACGGAATGGAGCGGAACAGAACAGAATAGAAAATATGGGATGGGATAGAATAGGAATAGAACAGAGCTGGAAGGGACCTTGGAGGTCATCTAGTCCACCCCCTGGAACAAGCATGAAACCCTCTACCATTCCAGACAAATGGCTGTCCAGTTTCTTTTTTAAAAACCTCCAGTGATGAAGCACCCGCAACTTCTGGAGGCAAGGAGTTCCACCGGTTAATTGTTCTCACAGCCCGGAAATTTCTCTTTAGTTCCAGGTTGCTTCTCTCCTGGATTAGTTTACATCTGTTGCTTCTTGTCCTGCCTTCAGGCGCTTTGGAGAATAGCTCGACTCCCTCTTCTTTGGGGCAGCCCCTGAGAGATTGGAAGACAGCTATCACGTCCCCCCCCCGTCCTTTTTTTCCTGGGACTTGGCTTTAAGAGAACACGGCATGGATCCCCGGAACCCAGAACTTCTGTAATCTTTTTTTCTTCCTTCCAGCTGTGCAATGAATGGCTGAATCCCAGCGTGCCATGAACATTCAAACCCACCGTGGATTCGAACTCCTGCCTGGCATTATTATGCTGCCCGCCTCCAGACATGGTGGGGGCTCCCAATCTTGAGTTCCCACCCAACCTGGCTTAAGAATCTGGCGAGAGGGAAAGGAAGGTTGTTTTAGAAGAGACCCCCCCCCCAAAATAACCCAGCTGCAATGCAAGGAACGGCCACACGGAGGCAGCGGAGATGCATCGCTAGGAAGGAGCGCCAGCCCTCTCCTCACTTGGGGGTCAGACACCCCCCCCCAGCGCATGGAGTTGCCTTGCTGGTCCACTGCTGACCCACGGCTGGTGCCAGGCTTCTCTGTGGGGCGGGGGTCCCTTTTGCCAGGGCCTGGGGCCAATCTTTGCCAGCCTTTGCTCCGAGGGGTAACTCCTCTTCCGACCCCTCCCTTGGCAAAAGCCTAAAAAAGTGAATTTATCAGTGTGTGTTTGGGGGGGTATTTTTCTGCCCTTCCATAGGGCAGCTCTGGGGGGGGGGGAGGAAGGACTGGCCCTGGCACCAGCAGAGGGCAACCAGCAGAGGGCACTGGAGAGACCACCCAGCGGACCCCAGTGGTTCCAATGCAGCCTCTTGCTGATGGGGCAAGGAAGGGGGCGAGAGAGGGAGGGTCCCTAAGGGGCAGAGCAGTGGGGCAGAAGTGCCAGGGAGGGGCTGCAGCAAAGCCCCCCTCCTCACCCTTCCAGGGCCCCTTTCTCATCTTTCTAGACCCCCCTCCTCAACCTTCTAGCCCCTCCCTCACGCTTCCAGGGCCCCCTCCTCACCCTTGGTCTCCCCTCCTCACGCTTCCAGGGCCCCCTCCTCACCCTTCTAGCCCCCCCTCCTCATCCTTCTAGCCCCCCTCCTTACTCATCTAGCCCCCCCTCCTCACCCTTGGTCCCCCCTCCTCACGCTTCCAGGGCCCCCTCCTCACCCTTCTAGCCCCCACTCCTCACGCTTCCAGGGCCCCCTCCTCACCCTTCTAGGTCCCCCTCCTCACCCTTCTAGCCCCCCCTTCTCACCTAGGTCCCCCTCCTCACCCTTGGTCCCCCCTCCTTCACGCTTCAGGGCCCCCTCCTCACGCTTCCAGGGCCCCATCCTCACCCTTCTAGCCCCCACTCCCCACGCTTCCAGGGCCCCCCCTCCTCACCCTTCTAGCCCCCCCTCTCACCCTTCCAGGGGCCCCCTCCTCACGCTTCCAGGGCCCCCTCCTCACCCTTCTAGCCCCCACTCCTCTCGCTTCCAGGGCCCCCTCCTCACCCTTCTAGGCACTCCCTCCTCCCCCTGAGCTTGCTGCAAAGGGGGTCCCTTCTCCCTCCCCCAAAGAGATGCATTTCCAGAAGCCCCCCAACCCGCCCCCCGCCCCCCCAAGCCGGGCTCAGACGAGGCTTGCCCAGAGGAGGACAGGGAAGGTGCTTCCCCCCCCCCAGCCGTGGCTCCCCCTGCACCTTTCATGTGTGTCCTATCTAGGAGATGGGGAGGGGGCTTCGTACCTCCTGACCCCGCTCCCCTCCCCTCCCCATGCATTGCGGACTGCCCCCTCCCAGCAAGACCCCCGCCACCCGTCTTTTCCTGCCCCAAACAGGCAGGCTTTCCTCTCCCGGGGGTCCCAGCCCCTCTCCGGCGCCCCCAGACCCCCAATTCTCCCCCGGCGGAGCCCCCCGCCCGGCCCCGCCCCCCCACCTCGGCTTCCCTCCGCGCGCCGGCCGGCAGCCCCCTGCCCGGGGCTCCGACGCCCTCCGCCTCCATCCGCCCGGCCGAGACACGTGGGGGCAGCGCGGCGCTTCCCTGCCCGGGTCTCCCGCGCCCCGCCCCCGCGCCCCCATTGGCCGGCCGGCGCCGGTAGGCGGGCCCCGGCGCGCACACCCCCTGGCGGCGATTGGCCGGGCCGAGGAGGGAGACCCCTCCCCCCTGCGGGACAGCTGTAACCAGGGCAGGTGGAGGAAAGGGGCGGGGCTCAGTGCTCCGGGCGGGGCGAGGGCGCCTCTGAGCGTGTGCAGAGTGGCAGGCAACGGGGTTGGGGGGGGAAGGCGTCAGCTACAGGGAATCCTTGGCTTCCGACCAGCGTGGAGCCCAACGTTTCCGTGGCTAAGCGAGACAGGTGTTGAGGGAGTTTTTGCCCCGCTTTGCGACCTTTCTCACCACGGTCGTTAAGCGAATCACCACGGTTGGAGAGCGAGTAACTGGGTCGTTAAGTGAATCCGGCTCCCCCCCCCGCTGACGTTGGGGGTTCGAAGGTGGCCAAAAAGGGGATCCCGTCACCTTGTGACACATAGCGACGGTCGTAAGTGTGAGTCGGCTGCCCAGCGTCTGAATTTGGATCCCGTGACCCTGGGGAGGCAGCGATGGGCGTGTGAAAAAGAGGTCACGAGTCCCGTTTTTCAGGGCCGTCGCGAGTTGGAACGGTCGCTAAACAGATGGTTGCAAGTTGAGGGTCACAACCGTTCGGTGGCACTCCAAGACCCCTCATCCACAGCCAGCCGGGGCGGGAAAGGCTGCAGGAGCATATGGGGGCTCGTCCCCGGGCAATGCAGAGGGGGGGGGTCCCTGGGCTCTCTGCAGCCCTTGGTGTGCCTGGGACCCGAGTGAAAGCCCAGTCCTGCGAGCCCCAACGACAATCCTGCAAGGCAGGCCAAGATGTGCCTGGTTTCCGGGACACCTTCCTAAGCACAGGGTCCAGAGCCAGCCCGGATCCCATGATGGTCCTTCCCTTCAGTCTGGCAAGGAGCAGTCTGTTTTCATGGCTGGCGTGGAACCAGGGAAAGCCCCCCCAGCCCCCTCCCCAAACCGGCTTCTGTGCCCCTGCAGCCCTGGGCGACAAAGATAGAAAGAGAAAAATAAAGAAAAACAGAGAGAGAGAGACAGAGAGAGAAAAATAAAGAAAAAAAGAGAGAGACACAGAGAAAATAATAAAGAAAAACAAAGAGAGAGAGAGAAAAATAAAGAAAAAAGAGAGAGACAGAGAAAAATAAAGAAAAACAGAGATACAGAAAAGAGAAAAATAAAGAAAAACAGAGTGACAGAGAGAAAAATAAAGAAAAAGAGAGAGACAGAGAGAGAAAAATAAAGAAAAGAGAGAGACAGAAAAATAAAACAAGAGACAGAGAGAAAAATAAAGAAAAAAGAGAGAAAAATAAAGAAAAACAGAGAGACAGAGAAACATAAAGAAAAAAAGAGAGACAGAGAAAAATAAAGAAAAAAGAGAGAAATAAAGAAAAACAGAGACATAGACAGAAAAAAGTAGAGTGAAAGAGAAAAATAAAGATAGATGATAGATATATAGATGATAGATAGATAGATAGATAGATAGATAGATAGATAGATAGATAGATAGATAGATAGATAGATAGATAGATAGATAGATAGATAATCTGGTGATTTGGTCAGGAAAGTTAGCACTGGGTATCTTTTTCCCACTCAAGGATATCCAAGAAATTTTAATAACGTTTCTGCAAAGTACAGTCTGGATTTTGACAAGATTTTATTGGTTGTTCTTGTGATTACAGAGTCTTTATTGCTTGTCTAATACAATCACTCAGACAGAAACCTTCTTTTGAAAATAGTAGCCATCTCCATCCTTTCTACAAATTTCCTTTATCGGAGAACGACGGCGTGAAGTTTATTATTATTATTATTATTATTATTATTATTATTATTATTATTATTATTATTATTATTATTTCCTTAGTTTTGAGTTGTCAAACATCATTTATTTTCCTTAGGAAGTTTATTTTTTCTCTCTCTCTCGTTTGACTGGCGTTTTTTTATTTCCTTTCATCGTAGCAAAAAAAAAAAGTGTCACGTTAGAAAACCAAACATTACACCGTTTCGGTTTAATGACCACGGCAGGGCAATTCCAGGTGGGTTAGAAAACGCAGGCAGTTTTTGAAATTGGGGGGGTCCAGATAGGATGCCGGATGCTCCCCTCCAGCTACGTCGCGGGTAAAAGTCGCTAGCATAAACCAAGTTACCAATGAAACCATGATAGTGGACCATAAATGAGGATCTGTTTGTTTACAGCAATGTTTTTTTGGAACTTGGTCCCTTTAAGATGGGTGGACTTCGACTCCCAGAATTCCCCAGCCAGCAACGCGTTGCTGGCTGGGGAATTCTGGGAGTCGAAGTCCACCCATCTTAAAGGGACCAAGTTCCAAAAACTGTGCTGTACAATCTCTTCCTCTTTTACCCTGAATCCCACTTTTAAATGTCACCCTTTTTGCAAGCTCAATTCTCTTGTTCTCTCTTAGTGGCCCCCTTTCCCTACCAGGCTGCGGCTCCACCAGGGGGACTTTGCAGGATAGCAAGAGCACTTCGACTTATGTACCGCTTCACAGCCCCCTCTAAGCGGTTTAGGGTCAGCACATTGCCCCCCCCAACAACCTGGGTCTTCATTTGACTGACCTCAGAAAGACGGAAGGCGGAATCAACTTTGAGCCCCATGAGGATCGAACTGCTGGCAGTGGGCAGAATTAGCCTGCAATGCTGCATTGTCACCACTGCGCCACCACGGATGGTTTTTCTCTGCCCAAATTACATCAGCGCCTTTGACCCGAGACTCTGGCTGGCGTTCCCTCTTTCTGACGTCAATTTTCCCCCAAGGGGGGGTCCTCCCGTCGCATGTGGGTCCACAACACCATTATTACACACAGGCAAAGCTGGTTAGGCAGAAGGGGATCCGTCCCCGGCAAATATCTGGGCCCCTTCTGGAGGTGGTTCCTACATCTAGAGCACGGGTCCCCAATTTATGGTCCGCAGCCCACTGCCCACTCACCCCCACGCGAGCTAGAGCCCACAGACCCATTTGCGCATGTAGTGCATGCACACATGCACAAACAGGGCTGCTAGCGCATGTGTTGCACGGCCTGTTTGCGCATGTGTGCAAGAGGTGGGTAGCGCCTGCACGCAGGTGCAAACGGGGCTGCCAGCGCCGTGCGGGTGCACACACGGCACTGTTTGCGCGAGGCCATTTGCGTTTGTGCGCGCATGCAAATTTCCCAGCCGCTCCCTTTCCCTCCGGGCCGCCAGCATGAAAAGGTTGGGGAGCCCCCGGTCTAGAGGTATCCCCTGAAATCCAGCTTGTTCAGCAGATGCCATAGCTGGCTGGGGAATTCTGGGAATGGAAGTTCACCCATCTTCAAGCTGCTAAGGTGGAGAGACACCGATCTAGTGAGTAAAACAGGTCGGAAGAGGAGGAAAGCAAAAGTTGGATCACGTTGTGTAGGACCCGCACCATCTTCTTCACCCCGACGGCACCTTTGGGAAACTCGTGATGGGCCAAGGGCATCAGCGGAAGCCACACCAATCCCACAAGTCCAAAAGGGGAAAAGAGAGATTGTAGCTTTGGGATACAGCTAGTAGCCTGAGATTAAATCTCCAGAATCTCCAAGCAGAAATGGGTTGCATCGTTCTACGTTTACACACACCGAGGGAGAATTTGCAAATTTCCTCTCCCATTCCGAGGAGCGGCTTGTATCCAACGGGCTTGTCCACTGAGGATCGTGAGAGAGAGAGACGAACGGGGGCTCCAAGCCCAGAGAATCTGGTCAGAAGAGCACGGGGGAGGGAGAGGGGGGGAGGAAAGAGAAGGGGGACGGTCCTACCTGGCCCAGAAGTACTGATGGAGGATTTAGCCCACATGATGCCCGCAGAAGGATGCTGGCAAGGTGATTCTTTGGGGAGACCAGGATAATTTAGCCCAAGCAGCTAAATTACACGCAGCATTACTGATAGAAAGAGAATCTTTGTAGCTCTGGATTCAATTGTGCGGTCCTTGTTGCTCTCTGAGCTTGGTGGCTTTCTTGCAGACATTTCATGACCCAAAGAGGTAACATCATCAGTGCTACAGGAGAGTGGGGTTTGTGGAGAGGAGGAGGAGGATGTGGGATTCTTGATTCTTCTTTGTCTGAACTGGGTTGTTTTCTTGCAGACATTTCATAACCAAGTAACTTCATCATCCCTTCTAGCACTGATGACGTTCCCTAGTTGGGTCATGAAACATCTGCAAGAAAACCACCGAGCTCAGAGAGCACCAAGGACCCCACAGTTCTTCTCTCTCCTTCCTTCCTTCCTTCCTTCCTTCCTTCCTTCCTTCCTTCCTTCCTTCCTTCCTTCCTTCCTTCCTTCCTTCCTTCCTTCCTTCCTTCCCCCTCCTAGCACTGATGTTCCCTACATGGGTCATGAAACGTCTGCCAGAAAACCACCCAGCTCAGAGAGCACCAAGGGACCCACAACCCTTCCTCCTCCTCCATCCCTTCCACTTCTTCTCCACTCTGCAAACCCCACTCCCTCCTAGCACTGATGACGTTACCTAGTTGGGTCAGGGAACGTCCGCAAGAAAACCACCCAGCTCAGAGAGCACCCACCATCCCTACACACAGCTTCCTCATCGTGATTCTTCAAAAAGCGGGAGCTTCCCCTCTGCAAGAGGGTGAGGCAGCCCTTCATTCCCACAGATGCAGGCAGCTTTGCAACCTTGGAAACCTGCGCCAGGCTAAGGAGGCCTTTGGTCCCGGCTCTCCACCCCTTAGACCAGGGGTAGGCAACCTGGGCTCTTTTGTGACTCGCGGACTTCAACTCCCAGAATTCCTGAGCCAGCCATGCTGAGGGGAAAGGGAGAGGTTTGCAAGCTGAGCCATGCTGGCTCAGGAATTCTGGGAGTTGAAGTCCACGAGTCATAAAAGAGCCGAGGTTGCCTGGCTGGTCTGAGGGGGTTAATTTTTGTGACTTCAAGGGAGACAATCTATACCAGGGTTAGGCAACCTGGGCTCTTTTATGACTTGCGGACTTCAACTCCCAGAATTCCTGAGCCAGCCAGGCTGAGGGGAAAGGGAGAGGTTTCCAAGCTGAGCCAGGCTGGCTCAGGAATGCTGGGAGTTGAAGTCCACGAGTCATGAGGGGGCCATAGTTCCCCCATGCTGGCTCAGGAATTCTGGGAGTTGAGGTCCACCAGTCATAAAAGAGCCAAGGTTGCCTAGCCCTGGTCTAGGAGGCTCACCGCTTAGAACAGGAGGACTTAGGACAGGGGTAGGCAACCTTGGCTCTTTTATGACTCGTGGACTTCAACTCCCAGAATTCCTGAGCCAGCCATGCTGAGGGGAAAGGGAGAGGTTTCCAAGCTGAGCCATGCTGGCTCAGGAATTCTGGGAGTTTAAGTCCACGAGTCCTAAAAGAGCCAAGGTTGCCTACCCCTGCCTTAGACCCACCGCAGTCCGTGGGGTTAAAACCTAATTGTGAGAACGGAGTTGGCCAAACCCGTTTCCCTCCCGACCCCCCCCCCCAAAACCCCAACTGGCCCATCATCCTGGAGTCCAGGGGCCGTTTTAAAAAACCACCACGGGGGCAGAGGCCGCCAGTACGGTATTCTAGTTTAATAAATAAATAACCTAACACACGGCGGTGGTCTAGGGCAGCCTGGTGCCGAGTTCAGAAGCTTGTGCTGGGTCATCCTTAGAAACGGCCGGAGAGAGGTCTCGGGATCCAGTCCTCCCCTTCCTCCGGCGTGCAGCCACGGGAGAGTTAATACCTGTCGGGTCAGAGAAGGGTGGAGAGGTTGAGAAGAGGAGCTTTGCTGGGGGGGTGGGAGGGAAGGGAAGTCTGGAAATGGTTTTAAAAAACGAAAGCTCCCCAAAAGGGACATGCGGCTAGTCCTCAGTGTACATTTGGGGCCAGGATTCTCATTGCTAAGCAAGGCGGCTCGGTGGCGAAGGAAATCTGGAAATAGTTTTGAAAACGAAAGCTCCCCAAAAGGGACATGCGGCTAGTCCTCAGTTTACGTTTGGGGGCCAGGATTCTCATTGCTAAGCAAGGCGGCTCGGTGGCGAAGGAAATCTGGAAATGGTTTTAAAAAATGAAAGCTCCCCAAAAGGGACATGCGGCTAGTCCTCAGTTTACGTTTGGGGGCCAGGATTCTCATTGCTAAGCAAGGCGGCTCGGTGGCAAAGCGAGCCCCATCTGGTTGTGCCGTTGATTTGGCCGCCGTTCGGAGGGGAGTTGCTAGTCAACCGTGCGGTCGTTAAGCGAATCAAACGGGGGATTGGTAAAACCCCAGGACTTTGCAGCAGTTGTCAATGCGTGCCGGTTGCCCCAATTTTGGCCCTGTGACCGTGGGGATATTTTTTTTTAAAAAAAATTCATATATTTATTTATTTTCCAAAAGTTTGATTGATTTTCTAGTTTTACCTTTTAAACATTGAAAGAGCAACGTGGCGGCTGAGTGAATCGATAATTCAATCACGTAGAAATATCTTTAGTACATGTCTCAAGCTATCACGTTAAATATTTCCTCTCTTTTCCCCCTTAGTGTTTACTGTCTCCTGTTTAAAAGTAATGCCATTCTTATTACATCGATTAAATTAAAAATAACTTCCTTACATTTGCCAATGGTTTTTAATTGATATACACCCTAGTTATTTTAACATGTCAATCTTTGTAGGCTGTCAACGTCCTAATTGGTTTTTCCCAATTTTTAGTTTCCCATTAATATTTAAATTAAATGTCTATAATTTCCAAGTTTTAAATGACCACGGGGATCTAAGCGAGGGAGGTTAAGTGAGGAAACCGGTTCTGTTAGTTACGTCTTTCAGCGTGTCGTAATGTCAAACGGTCGCTAAACAAACAGCTGTACGTCGAGGACTACCTTAAACTAAAGAATTGAACGTAAGGGCCTTTTTATATCCCGGAAGAAAAAAGCTGAAATCGTTCTTTGTTATGTATTTTTGGTTTTTTTCTTCCTTTCTTTTCTCTTTTTGGCAATTCTACAGGGGGTCCTCAACTTAACGACCAAAATTCAGCCCCAAATTTCTGTCGTTAAGTGAGATTTTTTTTAAAAAAATGAGTTTTGATCCATTTTACGACCTTTCCTGCCACCGTTAAATGAATCACTGCATCTGTTAAGTTAGCAACACGGTCGTTAAGCGAATCGGGCTCCCCTCCATTGACTTTGCTTGTCAGAAGGTCGCAAAAAGGGATCATGTGACCCCGGGACCGTCATAAATACGACTCAATTGCCGAGTGTCTGATCACGTGGGCACGGGGGAGGCTGCAATGGTCGTAAGTGTGAAAAAATGGTCCTAAGCCCCCTTTTTCCAGCGCTGCTGTAACTCTGAACGGTCGCTAAATGAACCGTCGTAAAGTTGAGGACTGCCTGCAATTCTCATCACTTTCTCTTTCCTCTTTATCTTTTTTTGGGATTGTTGGTTTTGGTCAGGGTTTTTTTTTTTTAAGTGTACTTTTTGCAAAATCCGAGAATATTATTCCTGTTAACATTGAGAGGAAGTACCTGTAATAATTGTGTTTAAAAGTCCTTTTTTTTGTTTTGTTTTTTTAAGTTTACTTTTGGCAAAATCCAAGAATATTATCTCTATAAACATCAAGAGGAAATACATGTAATAGTTGGGTTTAAAGGGCCCGTTTTTTTTTTAAGTGTACTTTTTGTAAAATCCAAGAATATTATTCCTATGATCATCAAGAGGAAGTAGCTGTAATAGTTGGGTTTTAAAAGGCCGGGGGTTTTTTTTGTTTTGTTTTTTTTAAAGTGTACATTTTGAAAAATCCAAGAATATTATTCCTATTCCCACCAAGAGGAAGTATCTGTAATAATTGGGTTTAAAAGGTCCGTTTTTTTTTTAAGTGTACTTTTTGTAAAATCCAAGAATTTTACTTAAAGCAGTATATAAGTCTCATAAATAAATAAATAAATAAATACATATTATTCCTATTCCCATCAAGAGGAAGTACCTGTAATAATTGGGTTTAAAAGGCCCGTTTTGTTTTTTTTTAAGTGTACTTTTTGCAAAATCCAAGAATATTATTCCTATTCCCATCGAGAGGAAGTACTTGTAATAGTTGGGTTTAAAAGGCCCATTTTTTTTTTTAAGTGTACTTTTTGCAAAATCCAAGAATATTATCTCTATTCCCATCGAGAGGAAGTACCTGTAATAGTTGGGTTTAAAAGGGCCGTTTTTGTTTTCTTTTTTTTAAAGTGTACTTTTTGCAAAATCCAAGAATATTATTCCTATTCCCATCGAGAGGAAGTACCTGTAATAGTTGGGTTTAAAAGGGCCGTTTTTGTTTTGTTTTTTTGTAAGTGTACTTTTTGCAAAATCCAAGAATATTATCTCTATTCCCATCGAGAGGAAGTACCTGTAATAGTTGGGTTTAAAAGGGCCGTTTTTGTTCAGCCCCAGGTATTTCGCCTGCTCGTCGGACAGCTCCGTCAGATGGGCGTCGAACGTGGGCAGGTGAAGGCTCGCCACGTACTCGTCTGCAAGGGGGAAAGGAGGGGGGGTAAGAGCAGAAAAGGGGAGGAGGGGGGGGCAGCCTAAGCCCCAACCAAGCTCCTGGTCACACAAACACCCCCCCCCAAGAACACCCGCACACACACACACGCGCACACAATCTCTCCCACCTGCCCAAGAGCATGTTCAAAGCAGCCACGGTGATGTATTTGTTCGGAGGGTCTTCCAAGGGGAAGGGCAGTTCCGTGCCCACCCACCCCCACTTACCCATTTTCTTGGGCAGGAGATACACGTCCTGCTTGTAACGGCCCTCCGGGGCGTTGTACAGCTCTATCAAGGCCAGTGCCTGCAAACCACAAAGAACTTTATGAGTGACACACGCCAGCCCGGCAGGGATGCGCACAACACGAGTGGCGATAAGAAAATCCGAAGAAGAAAAGATAAGATAAGCAGAAGATAAGAAAAGAAACAGAGGCCGGGATCTCGTCCCACATGGATGTTTGAAATCAAAAAGGACTGGATTTTGTAAAAGGCAGAAGGTCGCCAGGCCGGGAGAGAGGCAATTCTCCTACAGGATCTGGTGTTCCTTCTCCTCCTCCTCCACCCCATCTGCTCTGCTTAGTGTCGGGCAAAGAGCCTCCCTTTTGATCTGTGGACACCCAAGTATCAACTGGGATGAAAACTCTTCTAATTTCACACGGACAGAATTCGCCCACTTTTCAGCTGGGGAACTCTGAGCCTCCTAAACCAAGCCAAGTCCATACAAATGATACGAGAATCCCTGGATGCCTGGCACTCAAACCAACCGGCCATCAACGGGCACATGGAGAGCAATAACGTCTACACGCCATTCAAGAGAGACACTCAAAAAGGTAAGCAGGGTTGTTCTTGGCTGTTGTTTATTTTTCTCGGGGTGTCGTTCCTTGATTGGGTTACTGTTTATTTCTGGGCGGTTAGTCTAGGATTAATTCTCGCGGTTAAAAATCCTTGCTTATCTGGATGCTCGTTAACGGTGAGGAGATGTTTAGGTCTTGCTATTTCCCTTTTAGCTTGTTTTTAGGCCTCCCTCGCTTCTACCACTGATGATGTTTCCTAGTTGGGTGCTGAAACGTCTGCAAGGAAACCACCAAGCTTGGAGAGCACCAGGGACCCCACAGTTCTTCCTTCCTTCCTTCCTTCCTTCCTTCCTTCCTTCCTTCCTTCCTTCCTTCCTTCCTTCCTTCCTTCCTTCCTTCCTTCCTTCCTTCTCCTTTCTAGCACTGATGATGTTCCCTAGTTGGGTCATGAAATGTCTGCAAGAAAACCACCCAGCTCAGAGAGCATCAAGGACCTCACAGTTCTCCTTCCTTCCTTCCTTCCTTCCTTCCTTCCTTCCTTCCTTCCTTCCTTCCTTCCTTCCTTCCTTCCTTCCTTCCTCCTTCCTTCCTTCCTTCCTTCCTTCCTTCCTCCCTCCCTCCCTCCCTCCCTCCCTCCCTCCCTCTCCTTCTCCTTCTATCACTGATGCTGTTCCCTAGCTGGGTCATGAAACGTCTGCAAGAAAACCACCCAGCCCAAGGACCCCACAGTTCTTCCTTCCTTCCTTCCTTCCTTCCTTCCTTCCTTCCTTCCTTCCTTCCTTCCTTCCTTCCTTCCTTCCTTCCCTCCCTCCCTCCCTCCCTCCTTCTCCTTCTCCTTCTATCACTGATGCTGTTCCCTAGTTGGGTCATGAAACGTCTGCAAGAAAACCACCCAGCCCGGAGAGCACCAAGGACCCCCACAGTTCAATCCTGAGCTAAAATAAATAACTAAAGAAACCGATATTATGACGGGACCTTAGCTGGAGGGAGGATGACAACCCCGTCCACACCCACAGCCGGCTCGCCTCCCCGTCTTGGCTCACCTGAGTGGTGGCTGTGATGGACAGCACAAAGGTTGGCACGGTGGAGCAGCTGAGGTTCAAGAGCCGTCCCTGGGGAAAAAAAGAGGGCAGCGGTGTCCAGTACCCAGACTGACACCCAATGCCCTGCACCCTGTCTTCAGCCGTCCGAAGCGAGGATCAGGAAGAGGGACAATCTTTGGAACCCCAGAGATACACAGGGGCCTGCCCACCCCTCCAGCCCATCGCCTTCTCCCCCCCTGGGCTGTGGAGAGGCTCACTTACTTCGGCCAGCAGGACGATCCTCTTGCCATCCGGCCAAATGACGTGGTCGACCTGAGACCTGACCCGCTCCCAAGTCAGCTCTGGGGTACGCAGGCTGGCCTGGAAGACAGCGGCAGGGGAGGGTTCAAAGCGGCCCAGACCCGCCCAGGGAGGCCGGGCAGCAGCGGCTGGATGTTCGCAGGCCGGCCTAGACGTGGTTCGAGGTTGCGCAAACTCTCCTTCTCAATCTTAAAGCCATTTTAAGCGGCGTGGACTTCCGACTCCCAGAATTCCCCAGCCAGGAAGTGGCAGAAGTTGAGAAACAAGACTTTAAGGGTTTTCCTGTCTGAGAGAACAGCCTCGGACCCTGCAAGGTGCCACTTGGGGGGGGGGGATGGCTTCCTTTGGAGGGAGGGAGGGAGGGAGGGAGAATAGCCCTTAGACTTATACTTCACTGTGCTTTACAGCCCTCTCTGAGTGGCTTAGAGAGTCAGCCTGTTGTCCCCAACAATCTGGGTGCTCATTTGACCGATCTGGGGAGAACGGAAGGCTGGGTCAGCTTTGAGCCTGCTGTGGGCAGAGTTTGCCTGCAATACTGTCTTCTAGCCACTGTGGGCACCAGATGCATCAAGGGAGGGAGGGAGGAAGGTGACAAAAACGGAGGGAGGGAAGGAAGGAAGGAAGGAAAGAAGGAAGAAAGAGGGAGGGAGGGAAGGAAGGAAGGAAGGAAGGAAAGGAGACAGAGGGAGGGAAGGAGACGGAGGGAGGGAGGGAGGGAGATGACAAAGACGGAGGAAGGAAAGAAGGAAGGAAAGGAAGAAAGAGGGAGGGAGGGAAGGAAGGAAAGGAGACAGAGGGAGGGAAGGAGATGGAAGGAGGAAGGGAGGGAGGGAGGGAGGGAGGAAGGTGACAAAGATGGAGGGAGGGAAGGAAGAAAGAAAAGAAGGAAGAAAGAGGGAAGAAGGGAAGGAAGGTGAGGAGACAAGGAGGAAGGGAAGCAAGGAGACAAAGGAGGGGAGGGAGCGAAGAAGGAAGGAAGGTGACAAGGAGGGAGGAAAGAAAGGGAGGGAGGGAGGGAAGGAAGGAAGGAGACAAAGAGAGAGGAAGGAAGGAGGGAAAGAAGGAAGAAAGGAGATAGGGAAGGAAGGAGACAAAGGGAGGAACGGAGTGAGGAAGGAAGGAGACAGGGAGGGAAGGAAGAAGACAAAGAGAGGGGGAGGGGAGGAAGGAAAGAAGAAAGGAGACAAAGGGAGGGAGGGAGGAAGGAAAGAAGGAGACAAAGGGAGGGAGGGAGAAGGAAGGAAGGTGACAAAGAGGGAGGGAGGGAAGGAAAGAAGGAAGAAAGGAGACGGTGGGAAGGAATGAGACAAAGAGGGAGAGAGGGAGGGAGGGAGGGGGGAAGGAAGGAAGGAAGGAAGGAAGGAAGGAAGGAAGGAGGGAGGGAGGCTACATCTTACCACATCGATTTCTGTGTTGGAATGTCCCATGTTACAAACAATGCAGCCGTTCTTCATCCTATCCAGATGTTCTCTAGTCACTACATTTTTGTTGCCTGTAAAACAAAGCAGAGAATAAGGACCGAGCTTGTCAATCCAGCCCATGCACCAATAAATAAAACCCTTGTAGCTCTGGGAACGCCACACCTGACCCCCCCCCCCCAACGGGAGCACCTGTGCAGGTGATCACGATGTCGACTTGCCGAATCACTTCGTTGAGTTTCACCAGACGGAAGCCGTCCATGCTGGGGAGAAGGGAGAAAAAGTGAACCCCGAGATTCACGCACCGGTCACCCGAAAAATCACCCCCGTCTAAGAATCCCCCCCCTTTGCGAAGGGGCACCGGCCGCAAGAGGGCAATCAGGGACCCGCAAAGCCGGAGGGAACCTCGGAGGTCTTCTAGTCCAACCCCCTGCCGGCAGTCCCCGCCTCTCGGCCCTTACCAGGCTTGCAGAGCACAAATGGGGTCGATCTCGGTCACGTACACAATGGAGCCCATGGCCTTCAGGGCAGCGCAGCAGCCTTTGCCCACCTGGGACAGGAGAGGGAGGGTCAGCACGGAGGCGGAAGAGGTGGGCGGCCGAAGGCCAACGCTCCAGACTTACCTCCCCGTAGCCGCAGACGACCACCTGCTTCCCTCCAAACATCATATCGGTTGTCCGTTTCAGGCTGGGAAGGAAAAGAGAAGCCCAGGCGTGATTCCAAGAGGGACGTCAAGAGAGCGGCAGCACCAATATTCGATTTCTGGGTATGTCAATTGCGGGAATTGACAGACCCGGAAGTGAGATTTGAAGATTTGCCCCAAAGGTGACCGAAAGCCAAATTTTGGGTAGCACGTTTCTGACGAACAGAGATTGCGGAAGGCTAACAGGAGCAAATTCCCGCCGCGCAAAGGCGGCAGAGCTGGGATTTGCGGGTCAGGTGTGAAAGCCGCCTGGAATACGCACGGGAAATGTTCTGCGTTCTGCCCCTTTTTCTTTACGGACTGCAGGAGAGACGGAAATATCCAGTCGGGTCGCTGCAGGATATGATTTGCAGGGTTCTACCTAAGAGGAATCTGCTTTCTAGGGGTGAGCACTGATGATGTTCCCTAGTTGGGTCATGAGATGTCTGCCACACACACAAGAGAAGCTAAGCTCGGAGAGCGCCAAGGGTCCCACAGTTCTTCTTTCTCTCCCTCCTTTTTTCTTTGTCCTCTTCATTCCTTCTCCTTTCTTCCTTCTCTATCTCCTTCACTCCATAACCCCTTCTCTTTCCTAGCACTGATGATGTTCCCTAGTTGGGTCATGAAACGTCTGCAAGGAAACCACCCAGCTCAGAGAGCACCCAGGATCCCACAGTCCTCCTCCTCTTCTTCCTTCCTTCTTTCCTTCCTTCCTTCCTTCCTTCTCCTTTCCACTCCCTTCCAGCACTGATGCTGTTCCCTAGTTGGGTCATGAAACGTCTGCAAGGAAACCACCCAGCTCAGAGAGCACCCAGGATCCCACAGTCCTCCTCCTCTTCTTCCTTCCTTCCTTCCTTCCTTCCTTCCTTCCTTCCTTCCTTCCTTCCTTCCTTCCTTCCTTCCTTCCTTCCTTCCTTCTCCTTTCCACTCCCTTCTAGCACTGATGCTGTTCCCTAGTTGGGTCAAGAAACGTCTGCAAGAAAACCACCAAGCTCAGAGAGAATCAAGGACCCCACAGTCCTTCCTTCCTTCCTTCCTTCCTTCCTTCCTTCCTTCCTTCCTTCCTTCCTTCCTTCCTTCCTTCCTTCCTTCCTTCCTTCCTTCCTTCCTTCTCCTTTCCACTCCCTTCTAGCACTGATGCTGTTCCCTAGTTGGGTCATGAAATGTCTGCAAGAAAACCACCCAGCTCAGAGAGCACCAGGGACCCCATGCAACCTAGAAATAATGCAAAGGTAATTTCTAGAAACAACTGGAGTTGTACAATAAGGAATCCAGGCCAGGAGAGGAAAAAAGGATCGAACTGCAGTTACAGTACAAGGGAACAGGAAGCTGAACTTTCCTTTAAAATTCAAACTTAAGCTTAACTTTAAACTTCAACAGCCGGTGCCCGTTGCCTCTTAGAAAGCTGCAGGATCTAAAAGTATATATATATAAAAAACACCCCCAAAAGCCCTGAACCAAATTTAGCCTTCCACTAATTAACTGCCTTCAGGACTATTCGTCTTCCTTCCGATTCTTTTAATAAATCTTTCAATCTCTTCTCTTTATTTTGCTTAATTCTAGCCTTGGGTTACTGCCTCTAAATCTGCTCTGCCTGGCTTCTTATAATCCTGGACTCTGGGTTTTCGGTGATGTCCTAATTCCTGACAGGTGATCTATGAGGAGCCCCCCCCCTCAGTCCCCCAATGAATTTGCACAAGAATGCACTCTCCTTTCTGACTGAATTTGCTTGGCCCTGGCCCTGCTGCAACCGTGCCCTATATTTCCGCCTATTTTTAGCAGATGCGGGGAAAACAGGTTAACAAGGCAGGGAAAGAGCGACTTCCCGTTTCCCCTTTTCGGTCCTGGTCCCACGGGGACGGAGCAGGGATGCTGCTGCCCCAGTTTCCGGTCCTCAGTTTTAGGAGGGACAAGCCCAGTTCCTTTCGTGTATTTAGGACCTCCGTCTCTAAGGTCGCTCAATCGGAATAGAGCTGAAAGGGAGCTCGGAGGTCTTCTAGTCCAGCCCCGATACCATTACATAGCTGTCCAATCCCTCCCTCCCTCCCTCCCTCCTTTCCTCCCTCCCTCCCTTCCTCTAGAATCATAGAGATGGAAGGGACCTTGGGAGGTCTTCTAGTCCAGCCCTCTGCTCAAGCAGGAAGCCCGGCTGTCCAATCCCTCCCTCCCTCCCTCCCTCACTCGCTCCCTCCCACCTTTCCTTTCCTCCCTCCCTCCCTTCCTCTAGAATCATAGAGATGGAAGGGACCTTGGGAGGTCTTCTAGTCCAGCCCTCTGCTCAAGCAGGAAGCCCGGCTGTCCAATCCCTCCCTCCCTCCCTCCCTCACTCGCTCCCTCCCTCCCTCCCTTCCTTCCTTCCTACCTACCTATAGAATCATAGAGATGGAAGGGACCTTGGGAGGTCTTCTAGTCCAGCCCTCTGCTCAAGCAGGAAGCCCGGCTGTCCAATCCCTCCCTCCCTCGCTTCTCCTTCCTTCCTTCCTTCCTTCCTTCCTTCCTTCCTTCCTTCCTTCCTTCCTTCCTTCCTTCCTTCCTTCCTATAGAATCATAGAGATGGAAGGGACCTTGGAGGTCATCTAGTCCAGCCCTCTGCTCAAGCAGGAAGCCCGCCTGTCCAATCCCTCCCTCCCTCCCTCGCTTCTCCCTCCCTCCCTCCTTCCTTCCTTCCTTCCTTCCTTCCTTCCTTCCTTCCTTCCTTCCTTCCTTCCTATAGAATCATAGAGATGGAAGGGACCTTGGGAGGTCATCTAGTCTGGCCCTCTGCTCAAACAGGAAGCCCGGCTGTCCAATCCCTCCCTCCCTCCCTCGCTTCTCCCTCCTTCCCTCCTTCCTTCCTTCCTTCCTTCCTATAGAATCATAGAGATGGAAGGGACCTTGGGAGGTCATCTAGTCTGGCCCTCTGCTCAAACAGGAAGCCCGGCTGTCCAATCCCTCCCTCCCTCGCTTCTCCCTTCCTTCCTTCCTTCCTCCTTCCTTCCTTCCTTCCTTCCTTCCTTCCTTCCTTCCTTCCTTCCTTCCTTCCTTCCTTCCTTCCTTCCTATAGAATCATAGAGATGGAAGGGACCTTGGAGGTCATCTAGTCCAGCCCTCTGCTCAAGCAGGAAGCCCCCCTGTCCAATCCCTCCCTCCCTCCCTCCCTCCCTTCCTTCCTTCCTTCCTATAGAATCATAAAGATGGAAGGGACCTTGGGAGGTCATCTAGTCCGGCCCTCTGCTCAAACAGGAAGCCCGGCTGTCCAATCCCTCCCTCCCTCGCTTCTCCCTTCCTTCCTTCCTTCCTTCCTTCCTTCCTTCCTTCCTTCCTTCCTTCCTATAGAATCATAGAGATGGAAGGGACCTTGGAGGTCATCTAGTCCAGCCCTCTGCTCAAGCAGGAAGCCCCCCTGTCCAATCCCTCCCTCCCTCCCTCCCTCCCTCCCTCCCTCCCTCACTTCTTCCTTCCTTCCTTCCTTCCTTCCTTCCTTCCTTCCTTCCTTCCTTCCTTCCTTCCTACAGAATCATAGAGATGGAAGGGACCTTGGGAGGTCATCTAGTCCAGCCCCCTGCTCAAGCAGGAGACCCTATATACCATTCCAGACAAGTGCCCGTCCGGTCCCTTCCTAAAAGCCTCTTCCGAAGGCTGCAGCCGCAGCAGGAGACCTACCCATCCAGACTGGACTCTCGGCAACAGTACAGGTTGTCGAACTTCTGCTTGGTGACCGAATCGTTGACGTTCATGGCGGGGACACACAGCTTGCCGGCCTTGGAGAGCTGGTACAACCTGCCAACAAGTGGGAAAGCCACAATCAGGACAAGGGACGGTCCACAGCTGCTCCAGGCAATTCTCCCGTTGAGGCACCTCGACTCTCAAAGCAGAGAATGGATTCCATTGGTTTTTTTTTTTAACCGCAAAGGAGCAGAGGCCTTGCCAATACAGGGGATCCTCTACTTACAACGTGGAGTGAGGGTTTCAAGTTACAGCGGCACTGGGGGAAAAAAGAAGGGACAAATGACCGTTTTTCCAGACTAAGGACCGCTTCGTGGTCAGGTGGATCAAAATTCAGACGGTTGGCAACTGCCTCGTATTTACGACGGTCGCAGTCTCCCGGTGGGGGTCACACGATCCCTTTTGGCAGCCTCCTGACAGGCAAAGTCAATGGGGGGGGAGGGAGAAGCCAGATTCGCTTAATGACCGTGTGACTAACTGAACCACCGCAGCGATTCGCTTAGCGTCACTGGCAAAAAAGGGTTGTAAAATGAGAGCAAAATTCGCTTAGCGACAGATATTCTGGGCTGTAAGCTGAGGACTCCCTGGTAAGCCGTTTTTAAGCTTGATTTTGTACCCGGGCTTCTTATCTTTATTAAGTTTTCAATTCAATTCCATCAGAAGAGAAGCTGGAAGGGAGCTGGGAGGTCTTCTAGTCCAGCCCCTTGCTCAAGCAGGGAGAACCCAATGCCATGTCGGACAAATGGCAGTCCAGTCTTCTTAAAAACCTCCAGGGACGGAACACCCACCGCTTCTAAAGTCAAGCTATTCCACTGAATACAGAATAACAGAGTTGGATGGGACCCTGGAGGTCTTCTAGTCCAACCCCCTGCTCAAGCAGGAAACCCTAGAACAGGGGTCTCCAAACCTGGCCCTTTTAGGACTTGTGGACTTCAACTCCCAGAATTCCTCAACCAGCATGGACCATCTAAGCCAGGGGTCTTCAAACTTGGCCCTTTCATGACTGGTGGACTTCAACTCCCAGAATTCCTCAGCCAGCATGGACCATATAAGCCAGGGGTCTTCAAACTTGGCCCTTTCATGACTGGTGGACATCAACTCCCAGAATTCCTCAGCCAGCATGGACCATATAAGCCAGGGGTCTTCAAACGTGGCCCTTTTAGGACTTGTGGACCAACTCCCAGAATTCCTCAGCCAGCGTAGCACGCTGGCTGAGGAATTCTGGGAGTTGAAGTTCACAAGTCCTAAAAGGGCCACGTTGGAAGACCCCTGCCCTACACCTTTTCGGACAAACGGCTGTCCAGCCTCTTCTTGAAAACTTGCAGCGATGGAGCACCCACCACTTCTGAACGGCTTACGTTTATCGTTCGATTGGAAAGGGCGATAATCCTTGTCTGTCTCAGCAGGTGAAGTTAGGATGAGATGAGAAATTCTGATTCTCATCAAACTAGCATTAAGCCAGCAGCTGCCGAAAGAAGCTCCCATCCTCTCAACCTCCTCCGGGTCAATCCTGGTTCTATCAAAGAAAGATCTGGAGCAGACAATGGCTGCCCCATCTCCAATAGATTACCTATGGACACCGGTCACGCTCTCTTCTACTATGCCTTTGATTTTCTTGAACATGTTTGGATACTTCTTATAGATCCAGTGTGTCAGGTCCCCGCCGTCGTCCAGGATCTGCAAGACAAAAATGATATTAGTGACAGGGAAATGTGATGGGTCGTTAGGACAGCCACCTTGAAACTATTATTATTATTATCATTCATCGCACAGTCAGCCAGATGTTCAGACTGGATTTGGCATTTTGTCTACCTATCGAGTCCTTACCCAGGACCTGGGATAGGCAGATTGGATGTTTGATGGTATTACAGGTATCGTCGCAGGATGGAAGCAGTTCCTAATAAGGCCGCCTTTTGCAATTGACTAATAGCAAATTTGTCAATGCCAATGGGGTTCAAGTGGTGCTCCAGTTGTTTTGGGATTGCGCCCAAGGAGCCTATGACTATTGGTACTACCCTTGCTTGCTTTTGCCACAGTCTTTCTATTTCTATTGGTAGGTCTTTGTATTTTGTTATCTTCTCCAGTTCTTTCTCGTCTGTTCTGCTGTCTCCAGGCACTGCCACGTCCACTATCCAGACTTTTTTGTCTTTCTTATTGACAATTGTTAAGTCTGGGGTGTTATGTTGCAGGTGTTTGTCTGTTTGAATTCTGAAGTCCCAGAGCAGTTTAATTTTTTCATTTTCTATGACTTTCTCTATTTTATGATCCCACCAGTTTTTGCTTACAGGCAAATGATATTTTTTGCAGATCTTCCAAGGCACCATTGTTGCTACTTTGTCATGCCGCTGCTTGTAATCAGTCTGTGCAATCTTCTTGCAACAGCTTACCAAGTGGTCCAATGTTTCTTCAGCTTCTTTGCATAGGCGGCACTTACTGTCTGTTGCTGTCTTCTCAATTTTGACTTTGTATGCATTTGTCCTTAAGGCTTGGTCTTGTGCAGCCATAATTAGTCCCTCGGTCTCTTTCTTCAATTTCCCTGCTCTTAGCCATTGCCAGGTTTTATTATTATCTGCTTTCCCAGCTATTTTTTTCATGTATTGGCCATGTAGTGCTTTGTCTTCCCATGCCTTTATTCTGTTCTTCATTTGGTCTTTCTTGTAGGCCAGTTTGGTCTCTCCAGTAGTTAGTAAGCCTTCCTGATATACTAACTTCAGTGCATCTTCATCATTGTTCTTCAGATATTCTTCCAAAGTCATTTTTTCTTCTTCAACCATCTGATGTACTTGTAGCATTCCACGCCCACCTATATTATTATTATTATTATTATTATTATTATTATTATTATTATTATTATTATTATTACTACTATTGTTGTTGTTGTTGTTATTGTTTTAGATAAACAAAAAAAAGCAATTATCAGAAAAAATAGAACTGCAAATAGTCAAAAAGGCCAAATATTTGGGAATATATTTGACAGCAAGATGTTCAACGATAAAAGAAGATAATTACATTAAATTCTTAAATCAAATAAAGCTTGATTTGGAAAAATGGAAGAATCTTCAAACTGCCAATGTTAGGAAGAATTGCTACGGTGAAAATTAATATTTTACCTAAAATATTATTTTTATTTCAAACGATACCTATAAAACTGGAGAAAAAAATTCTTTGAAGAGTTAAACTCTCTTAATTCAAAAATTTATCTGGCAAGGAAAGAAAGCTATTATTATTAATCATTGCACAGTCGGCCAGATGTTCAGACTGGATCCTATCGAATCCTCCCCAAGGACCTGGGATAGGCAGATGTGGATAATAATAATAATAATAATAATAATAATAATAATAATAATAATAATACTACAGTTGGAAGGGACCTTGGAGGGGTCATCTAGTCCAACCCCCTGCTCAGGCAGGAAACCCTGTATCATTTCAGTGTTACAAATATTCAGTGTTACAAATACAGGTAGTCCTCAATTTATGACCACAATTGACCACACATACTGGCTGAGGAAATCTGGGAGTCGAAGTCCACAAGTCTTGCCAAGTTTGGAGAGCCCTGGTTTCAAGCAGGGTCTCCCAACTTTGGGAACTTTAAACTTTAAGCTGGCCGGGGAATTCTGGGAGGTGAAGTCCACACATCTTCAAATTGCCAAGATTGAGAGCAACTGCTTTTGAGGCCTTTTAGTTGAGATGGAACAATCCGTAAAGCTCCACTTAGGCCAGGGGTAGGCAAACTGGGCTCTTTTATGACTGGTGGGCTTCAACTCCCAGAATTCCTCAGCCAGCCTGGCTCAGCTAGGAAACCTCTCCCTTTCCCCTCAGCGTGGCTGGCTCAGGAATTCTGGGAGTTGAAGTCCACCAGTCATGAAGTTGCCAAGTTTGTAGACCGCTGATCTAGGCGCAGGGTTAGGCAACCTTGGCTCTTTTATGACTTGTAGACTTCAACTCCCAGAATTCCTCAGCCAGCGTGGCTCAGCTTAGAAACCTCTCCCTTTCCCCTCAGCACGGCTGGCTCAGGAATTCTGGGAGTTGAAGTCTACTAGTCATGAGGGGCCATAGTTCCCCCATGCTGGCTCAGGAATTCTGGAAGTCCACGAGTCATGAGGAGGGCCATAGTTCCCCCATGCTGGCTCAGGAATTCTGGGAGTTGAAGTCCACGAGTCATGAGGGGGCCATAGTTCCCCCATGCTGGCCAAAGAATTCTGGGAGTTGAAGTCCATGAGTCATGAGGGGCCATAGTTCCCCCATGCTGACTCAGGAATTCTGGGAGTTGAAGTCCACAAGTCATGAGGGGGGCCATAGTTCCCCCATGCTGGCTCAGGAATTCTGGGAGTTGAAGTCCACCAGTCATGAGGGGGCCATAGTTCTCCCATGCTGGCCGAGGAATTCTGGGAGTTGAAGTCCACGAGTCATGAGGGGCCATAGTTCCCCCATGCTGGCTCAGGAATTCTGGGAGTTGAAGTCCACGAGTCCTAAAAGAGCCAAGTTTGAAGACCCCTGCCTTAGGGAAACAGCCCCCAATTCCTGCGCTCAGATCACCTTGGCTTTTACCTCAACGGATTACAAGCCTGGCATAAACAGCGCCCAGCGAAAAAAAATCCCCCCCATTTCCATCCCCCTCCCTGGCACTCAAGTCTCCAGCTCATTAATCTTCAGTTAATTAAGAATGTTGTATAATCCACTTGTCCTTCTTGAAGGACCCTAATAAGCTAGAGTGGCAGCTTCTGGCAAGCTTTCCTGGATCTTTTCTGGGAAGAGGAGCTGGAATGCGGCCTGAATTCGCTGGTTCTTGGGGGAGGAAGAAGGGGGGGGGGGTCCTTTGGCCAGCACAAGACCCACGACGTGATTTTGGGGCCTCCATCTTGATGCACATCTGCAGCTGACAGGATCAGATCTCCACGGGGTGGTAAACCTGGTTTGTGGCATCCTTGGTATTTTTGGAGCTTTCTTGCCGACGTTTCACGGCCCAACTAGGTAACGTCCCTCATACAGAGGAGTGTGGAGTTGGCCACTCGCCTTGAGAAGGTGACTTTGTTGGGTCAAGAAACGTCTGCCAGATAGATGGAAGATGGATTGTAAGGTGGGTTTTCTTAGAGAAGATGAAAATCTTATTAAGCAACTGAAGGATCAAAGACAAACCCACATTAAGAGAATTTATGGGGTTTTAGTTGAATTGGACTCAGAAACGGAACTAATTAAAGATTGTATGATTAGATGGGTGCAGAACTTTGGTGAGCCAGTCTTATTGGACACTTGGGAAACTATTTGGGTGAGAAATGTCAAATTTACTCAAGCACAAAATTTAAGGGAGAATTTTTATAAAATGTTTTATAGATGGCACCTTGATCCACAAAAAATGTCTTATATGTACCCTGACGTACAACCCAAATGCTGGAGATGTGGTTATAAGGAGGCTTCTTATTATCATATTTGGTGGTCATGCAGAGAGATAAAAGCATTTTGGATTAAAATATGGTGGAATATCCAGAGAATTTTTAGAAGGAGGGTAAAATTTACTCCGCAATTATTTTTGTTAGGTATTGTTACAGATTGTGATACAAAGGAGGTTGTATTGATGTTAAATTTGATCACAGCCGCGAGGCTGTTAGTTGGACAATATTGGAAGAAGGAATCTTTGCCTACATTGCAGGAATGGTTTTTTAAAGTAGCTTATCTGGCGGAAATGGCAAAGATTTCGGCTTTCTTAAAGCAACAAACGCAAGAGAAGTTTTTTGCTATCTGGGACAAATGGATAAAATTTATACAATTTAGATTGGGTATACAAAAATATCATATAGCTTTTTCATAAGTTTTATTTTCATATATATTATAGATATCCTTTTCATATATATAAATATAAAGTTTTTATTTTAATTTTTATCTTTATTTTTTAAGCCTATATTCTGCTCTGGGAAGCTCAGGGGGGGGAAGGGAGGGTTTTTGGGAGGGGTCTGGCATGGGGTTTTTTTTTATATATATGTTTGTTTAATTTTTCTTTTTTGTATATGTTGTTCTTTGTTTTGTATTGTTTTTATTTTTTTTGTAAAATTTATAAAACTTTTAATAAAAAAAAAAAAAAAAAAAAAGAAACGTCTGCCAGAAAGCCACCCAGCTCAGAGAGGGACCCACAATCCTTCCTCCTCCTCCATCCCTTCCACTTCTTCTCCACTCTGCAAACCCCACTCCCTCCTAGCACTGAAGACGTTACCTAGTTGGGTCACGAAACGTCTCCAAGAAAATAACCAAGCTCAGAGAGCACCAAGGATCTCAAGAAGTAGTTCTCCTCCTCCTCCTCCTCCATTCCCCCTCCCAGCACTGAAGCTGTTTCCTAGTTGGGTCATGAAATGTCTGCAAAAAAACCCACCAAGCTCAAAGAGCACCAAGGACCCCACAGTCCTCCTCCTCCAACAACTCCACTCCCTTCTAGCGCTGATGACATTCCCTAGATGGGTCGTGAAACGTCTGCAAGAAAACCCCCCAGCTCAGGGAGCACCAAGGACCCCACACTTGAACCCTGAGCTATTTTCTTCTATTGAAACTTAAGTTGTGTTGCCCCCTTGTGTTCTACCCATCCTGTTCCCCAGAAGCGAAGAGGAAACCCACCCCTCTAATTCTGAACCTGCCATTTCTCCTGGAAGAAGCATTAACGTCTCATTGCATTCGCACCCCGCCGAAGTCAGCGTTTTTTGGCCCAGTCCCATGGGAACATTGCGTTCCCGTCCGCCGCCTTGTCCAAAAACTCTCATTAACCTTTCCAATCCCTGCCTGCTTTCCAAATTGCTCCCACCTCCTTAATAATCCAAATCTCAAAGGCCCTGGGGCGGGGCACCCAGAGGTCACTTTTAGCCCTGCGCTGTAATTATACATTATTTTCTCCAAGATAAATCACTACCACATTAACGACATCATTACTCTTAACAAGCATCTACTGTGACCTGAGAATGGGGGGGGAGGGAAATATATGAGTTGGAAAGGTCTCTGAGGTCATCTAGTCCAACCCTGTGACCTGAAAATCGGAGGGGGGGATATATGAGTTGGAAAGGTCTCTGAGGTCATCTAGTCCAACCCTGTGACCTGAAAATCGGAGGGGGGGATATATGAGTTGGAAAGGTCTCTGAGGTCATCTAGTCCAACCCTGTGACCTGAAAATCGGAGGGGGGGGGATATATGAATTGGAAAGGTCTCTGAGGTCATCTAGTCCAACCCTGTGACCTGAAAATCGGAGGGGGGGATATATGATTTGGAAAGGTCTCTGAGGTCATCTAGTCCAACCCTGTGACCTGAAAATCGGAGGGGGGGGATATATGAATTGGAAAGGTCTCTGAGGTCATCTAGTCCAACCCTGTGACCTGAAAATTGGAGGGGGGGATATATGAATTGGAAAGGTCTCTGAGCTCATCTAGTCCAACTCTGTGACCTGAAAATCGGAGGGGGGGATATATGAATTGGAAAGGTCTCTGAGGTCATCTAGTCCAACCCTGTGCTGAGAACAGAATTCATTTAAGCATCTCTGCCAATCCAGCACCAAGGAAGGGGAGTCTGTCCTTGTTCTAGGTGAGTTGCTGGAGGCTCCGTTTATTATTTTATTCCTTAGATTTTTTTTATCCCACCTTTATTGCTTTATAAGTAACTCGAGGCAAAGGAGATACCCAACAGGGAATCCTCAACTTAACCAGAGTTTGTTTAGTGACCATTCAAAGGATATAATGCAGGGGTCTTCCAACTTGGCCCTTTTATGACTTGCGGACTTCAACTCCCAGAGTTCCTCAGCCAGGCACGCTGTCTTTCACACCTAGAACTCCCAGTCTCCTGGTGATTGGGCCAAAGTCACTCAGCTGTCTTTCCAGCCTAAGGCGGGACTAGAACTCACCGTCTCCTGGTGATTGGGCCAAAGACACCCCAGCCGGCTTTCATGCCTAAAGCAGGATTAGAACTCACCACCTCCTACTTTTTAAACTCTGGTGCCTTAACCACTGCACCAAACTGGCTCTCCGATGAGGAGCCTTTGGGGGGGATGACGAAATAAGATGCCCCAGAACGCCCCCCCCCCCAAATCTGCCTGGAAAAGTCTTTAATAGGTCAAATGTCATTCCCCCCCCCCCCGCTTTCTTTCTAGTCCAACCGAACCGGCCTTGAGGCTCGCTTCGGCTACGAGTCGCCCGGCAGATTTTGCCCCCCCCCTTCCCGGCACTCACCATATTCGGCTGCCAGCTTTCGACGTTGACACAACGGTCAATGCACCACCAGAAATCGTCCTCGGATTCCCCCTTCCAGGCAAAGACAGGAAATCCTGGAAGAGGAAAAAAAGGGGGGGCTCCTTTTAGTGGGCAGAAGAATCACCATCACCCCAAAAGACCTTCCCTGTCTGTCTGCCTCTCTCTCTCTCTCTCTCTCTATCTATCTATCTATCTATCTATCATCCATCATCTATCCATTGCCCATATCTGCCTGCCTGCCTATCCATCATCTACTATCTATCTATCTATCTATCTATCTATCTATCTATCTATCTATCTATCTATCATCCATCATCTATCCATTGCCCATATCTGCCTGCCTGCCTATCCATCATCTACTATCTATCTATCTATCTATCTATCTATCTATCTATCTATCTATCTATCTATCTATCTATCTATCTATCTATCTATCATCCATCATCTATCCATTGCCCATATCTGCCTGCCTGCCTATCCATCATGTACTATCTATCTATCTATCTATCTATCTATCTATCTATCTATCTATCTATCTATCTATCTATCTATCTTACCATCTTTCTCTCTCCATCTTATCATTTCTTTTTCTTTCTTTTTCTTCCTTTCCTTTGTCTGTCTGTCTTACCATCTTTCTCCATCTTATATCATATCATATCTATCTATTTATCTGTCTATCCACCTCTCCATCTTATCATTTCTATCCATCCATCCATCCATCCATCCATCCATCCCTCCATCCATCCATCTATCCATCCATCTATCTATCATCCATCTATCTATCTTACCATCTCTTACTCTCTCTCTCTTCTTGCCTTTCTCACTCCTGTCTCTCTCCTCCTCTCTCCCTTCCTCTCTCTCTCATGCGTGCGTGTACACACACACACACACACACACACACACACACACACACACACACACACACTGTTCTGCTCCTGGCTGAATCCCTTCTTTCTATCTCAGCATCCTCAAAGCTTTTTTTAAAGTTTTGAAGTCCACAAGTCATAAAAGGGCCAAGTTTTAAGACTCCTGATCTAGACTGAAGAAGTTAATATAGACCACTGAATTGCAAATGGAGCCAGACAACATGTTGTTTATATATATAAGAAGCTTATTTTAGGGACACACACACCCCCCCCCCCCAGGAAAGAGAAGTCCTTACCACTCTCAGCCAGGGCGGCTGCCACTTCGTTGAGGGTGGAGTAGATGTTGCAAGCAGCCCATCGGCACTGGGCCCCCAAGGCACTGAGGGTTTCCATGAGCACCTGCAGGGGGGAGAACCGTTGAGTAGGGGGAGAGGAGGGGGGGGGCTAGGGAATTGCCAGGGCTACTCAATCCCCCCCCCCTTCCTCAATTCGGCCAATCCACCTGCTGGATTTCATGAACTGCTATATATCGTAATAACCTTAATAAGGTTTCTATTTTCCAGCTGAGCAGGGCCCATGCCCACACAGGTAGTCCTCGAGTTCCAATCATTTGCTTCGACAACGTCCGAAGCTACAAAAAAGTGGAAAAAAGGGATCCACTTTTTCCATCCAGAATGACTTCTTCAAGTTAAGGCAGCAGTGTGTGTGTGGGGGGAAAAGACCTTACGGCTGTTTTTCACCCTCAACGACCGGGTATGTCGTCCCCCATGCTCACAAGATCAAAAATTCGGACTCGTATTTATGACGGTTGCAGGTCCCAGGATCACGTGATCCCCTTTTGGCGACATTTCTCATTCTAAGGAGAAATTTCCTGACAGTGAGAAGAATTAACCAGTGGAACAAGCTGCCTCCAGAAGATATGGATGCTCCACACTGGAAATTTTCAAGAGGAAACTGGACAATCATTTGTCTGAAATGGTGTAGGGTTTCTTGCCTGAGCAGGGGGTTGGGCTAGATGATCCCCAAAGTCCCTTCCAGTTCTATTCTATTCTAGGATCTATTCTCCAAAGCCCCTGAAGGCAGGACAAGAAGCAAGGGATGGAAACCAACCAAGGAGAGAAGCAACCTAGAACTAAGGAGGAATTTCCTGAACAGTGAGAGCAATTAACCAGTGGAACTCCTTGCCTCCAGAAGCTGTGAATGCTCCAACACTGGAAGGTTTTAAGAAGAGACTGGACAGCCATTTTTTCTGAAATGGTGCAGGGTTTCCTGCCTGAGAAGGGGGTTGGACTAGATGACCTCCAAACTCCGTTCCAACTTTACTATTATTATTACTATTATTATCAAATGGTTATAAGTCAAGGGCTCACTGTACTGAGGCACTGGTCCTGATGCCTGTCCACGAACCAGGGGTTGGGGATCCCTGGATTAGATGCCCTTCCAACTATTATTATTATCATTATCATTATTATTATTGTGGATCATAGCACAGTCAGCCGGATGTTCAGACTGGATTTGGCATTTTGTCTACCTATCGAGTCCTTACCCAGGACCTGGGATAGGCAGATGTGGATGTTTGATGGTATTACAGGTATCGTCGCAGGATGGAAGCAGTTCCTAGTAAGGCCGCCTTTTGCAATTGACTAATGGCGAATTTGTCAATGCCGATGATGGTGTTCAAGTGGTGCTCCAGTTGTTTTGGGATTATTATTATTATTAGTATTATTATTACTGTTGTTGTTGTTATAAAATTGCTGGATCTGTGATGGTCGTAAAGTCGAGGACTACTTGTAGTAAAAGCCCAGCCCAACTGGCTACCGGCGGCTGTCAATCAAACTTGTTTTTCTTTTAAAGAAAGAAAGAAAAAAAAGAAAAGAAAGAAAAAAGGTGCCAGTTTTCCTTCCTTCCTTCCTTCCTTCCTTCCTTCCTTCCTTCCTTCCTTCTTTCCTTCCTTTTCTTTCTCTCTCTCTCTCTCTCTCTCTCTCTCTCTCTCTCTCTCTCTCTTTCTTTCTTTCGTAAAGCCCAACATAGCATCCTTCCAAGCCAAAGCCAGGATCTCCCCGAGATTTCCGGCTCCAGTCGATCCCAGCCCGTGGGTGACCGCCTCCTCTTTTGGGCCAAGAAAAAGACCCTCGGGGCCGACGGGGCGTAACTTACGGCAGTCTGAGCCGTGATGTGGGTGCAGCCCACGATCTTGGCTCCGGCCAATGGCTTCTCTCCCTGAGCGCGCTTCCTCAAGGCCATGAGCGCCGGCATTTCTAGGAGAGGGAGAGAAAAGGAAACGGGGGTTCAGCGGAAGGCGGGAAACCACGGTTTAAAACCTGCCAGACATTTATTAAAAAAAAAAAAAGAAAGAAATGCAGCCAGGAAAGGCGTGGAGAAAGGTAGAAGAAAAATGAGCTTTGCCTACCCTCACCAGAACTTAAATTCCAATTATGTAGGATTTGCCCTGTCAGTGTAGGTGGGTGTGTTGTTGGCAGCTGCTTGATTAGATGTTGTTTACTGTTTGATTGTTGGTCCAGTGTTAATCCTGGTATTACTCTCTGCTTTTACAGGCGTTGATTGCTGGTGAGGAGATGGTTTCGTTGCTCTATTTCCTTTGTAGCCTTTTCATTTTCTGCTTTGAAGGGTGTGTAGATGTAGTTTATCTCTACGTGCCTGTTGATGCCCGATGTTATATACAAGGGCAACTCACTCATATATAAAGAGAGCAAACCCCACTCCCTTCTGACACTGGTGACGTTCCCTAGTTGGGTCATGAAACGTCTGCAAGAAAACCACCCAGCTCAGAGAGTGCCAGGGACCCCACAAGGACAGCCTCCAGAGTGTCCATCACATCTCAATAAAATATGGGAAAGGGGTTGAAAGAAGAGAGAGAGAGAGAGAGAAGAGGGAGACAGAGAGAGGGAGAGGAGAGAGAGAAGAGAGAAAGAGGGAGGAGAGAGAAGAGAGAGGAGAGAGAGACAGAGAGAGAGGAGAGAGAGAAAGAGGGAGGAGAGAGAGAGAGAAGAAAGAGAGAGGAGAAGGAGGGAGGAGAGAGAAGAGAGATAGAAAGAGAGAGGAGAGAGACAGAGGAGAGAGACAGAGAGGAGAGAGAGAAAGAGGGAGGAGAGAGAAGAGGGAGACAGAGAGAGAAAGAGAGAAGAGAGAAAGAGGGAGGAGAAGAGAAAGAGAGAGGAGAGAGAGAGAGACAGAGGGAGGAGAGAGAAGAGAGAGAGAGGAGAGAGACAGAGGAGCGAGACAGAAGAGAGAGAAAGAGGGAGGAGAGAGACAGAGAGAGGAGACAGAGAAAGAGGGAGGAGAAAGAGGGAGGAGAGAGAAGAGAGAGGAGAGAGAGAGAGAGAGAAGAGAGAAAGAGGGAGAAGAGAAAGAGAGAGGAGAGAGAGACAGAGAGAGAGGAGAGAGAGAAAGAGGGAGGAGAGAGAGAGAGAAGAAAGAGAGAGGAGAAGGAGGGAGGAGAGAGAAGAGAGATAGAAAGAGAGAGGAGAGAGACAGAGGAGAGAGACAGAGAGGAGAGAGAGAAAGAGAGAGGAGAGAGAGACAGAGGGAGGAGACAGAAGAGAGAGAAAGAGGGAGGAGAGAGACAGAGAGAGAGAGAGAAGAGAGAGGAGAGAGAGAGAGAGAGAGAAGAGAGAAAGAGGGAGAAGAGAAAGAGAGAGGAGAGAGAGGAGAGGGAGAGACAGAGAGAGAGAGAGAAGAGAAAGAGAGAGGAGAAAGAGGGAGGAGAGAGAGAGAGAGAGAAGCAGAAGAAGCCCACAGGTGCCAGGAGGATTACAGTTTTGTGGCTTTTGGCAGCAAAAGAGAAATCTGGGAATTAATCTGATGCCATTCTCTTTCGTAGCTCCTTCAGCAATTTGATCGCAGTCAAGAGATTAAAGCAAAGAGAGAACTGGGAAAAAAAAAAAAAAAAGCAGGCCAGGAGCCCAAGAAGGAAGGTGTTCCCTTCGCTCCCTGCATAAAGCAATGCTTGGGGGGGGGGGGAGAAGGCTCAGGTTGAACCACACGGGGCCATCTGATCCACAGTAAAAACAATGCGTAGGGTCGGGTTCCCACGACCTGCTGAGATGGGTAGAACTACAAAAACCAAACCACAAAACGCCTTTTTCCATTTTAGTCTTGTCTGGGGGGGGGGGTAATCTGGCAGTTCAGCCACCGTAAAATCACTCCCCAGTTGAGAAAGTCCTGGGGGGGGGAGCCTTCTGCAAACAGCAGAGGGGAAGAGATGGGGTCCCCCTGTCTGTCTGCATCAATCTCTCTATCTAATACAGCAACCCTATGAGGCTGGTTGACCTGACAGTCTTTAGTGCAGACAAAACTAGAACTCACCGTCTCCCGGTGATTGGCCCAAAGTGACTCAATTGGCTTTTATGCCTAAGATGGGACTAGAACTCACCTAATGATTGGCTCAAAGTCACCCAACTGGCTTTCGTGCCTAAGGCGGGACTAGAACTCACCATCTCCTGGTGATTGGCCCAAAGTCACCCAGTTGGCTTTTGTGCCTAAGGTGGGACTAGAACTCACCGTCTCCTGGTGATTGGCCCAAAGTCACCCAGCTGGCTTTCGTGACTAAGGCGGGACTAGAACTCACCATCTCCTGGTGATTGGCCCAAAGTCACTCAGTTGGCTTTTGTGCCTAAGGCGGGACTAGAACTCACCGTCTCCTGGTGATTGGTCCAAAGTCACCCAGCTGGCTTTCGTGACTAAGGCGGGACTAGAACTCACCGTCTCCTGGTGATTGGCTCAAAGTCACCCAGCTGGCTTTCGTGCTTAAGGCGGGACTAGAACTCACCGTCTCCTGGTGATTGGCTCAAAGTCACCCAGCTGGCTTTCATGACTAAGGCGGGACTAGAACTCACCATCTCCTGGTGATTGGCCCAAAGTCACCCAGTTGACTTCTGTGCCTAAGGCAGGACTAGAACTCATTGCTTCTTCTAGCCTGGTGGCTTCACCCCTAGATCCCACTGGCTCTATGGCCCCCAGGGACATAGCAGGATTGGCAACCTATAAGGACAGACATGGCCCCTCCCCAAGCCACAACCTGTCAATCAACTCCCACCAAGACTAAGATATAAATCTTGACCCAGGAAACTGAGGCAGCCGAGTTGCCCTCCCTCCCTCCTTCACCTTGTTCCGCAATTTCGATCTCCCTGCGCCCAAATTCCGCCTGCTTGATGTTCTTCACGCAGAAATCGCTGCTGCCCTTGCTGCTCTTCTGCTGCTTGTCCCTCGGAGAGGTCTCATCATCGGAGCTGTCGGTGTAGGAGGCAGCTGGAGGAAGTGGAGGCAGAAAGGACGGTGAGGAGCGGGCTGGGAGGAAAACCATCTTAGCAAACACGGGCGATGGGCAAAGCCGGGGTGGGCGAAGAAGTAGGAAGAAGGGGACCTTTGGAACCTCTTGCCACTTGAGGTAAGATCTGCCCCCCATCCTCCTCTTCTGAGAGGCCCCTCCCCAAATCTGCCTCCGCCTCCTGGAGGCGGCTGCAGGGAGTCCTCGACTTACGCCGACAAGGCAACCTGACATTTCCATCGCTACGCAAGACTAAAGGAAGGGAGGTTTTGCCCATCCTTGCCGCGGCGGCAAAGTGAATATGGCAGTGGGGACGAACCTATGGCACGCGTGCCAGAGGCGGCACTCGGAGCCCTCTCTGTGGGCACGCGTGCCATGCAGGCCACTTTAGCTGACGGTGTTCAACAGGTTAGCGGTTCAAATCTCACCGGCTCAAGGTTGACTCAGCCTTCCATCCTTCCGGGGTAGGTAAAATGAGGACCCAGATTGTTGGGGGCAATGTAAATATATATATATATATGCATTGCTTACTGGTGTACACCGCTTAGAGAGTGCTTGCACTTAAAAGCAGTACATAAGTCTCATAAATAAATAAATAAATGCCCCGGAGATGGCAACGGTCCCTCTTCAACCAGGCACCCGCTAACTCACTGAGGTCCCACGTGGCCGGATGCATCCCAGCATGGCTGGTTTCCCTCCCCCCCCCCATCCCATCCCTCCTGGCCTTGCACACTCTCCTTTTCCCGGGCACGACCCACTGCATCACCTCCTCAGCTGTTGGGTTCTCTGAACTGCTGGCGATGGGCTGCGTAGCCCCAGAGTGCACCGGTTGAGGAACTGGCAGGCTGTGGCTGTTGACGGACACTGTCGGCCACCATGCGCTCGCTGGCCTCTGTGTGCGGGGCCGATGGTGTTGGGCAGCAACTGCCCCGGCCCTTGCGTCGCCTTGCCCTGCGACAATGGCACCCCCGCCCTGCCTCGCCTCACCCCGCAGGATGAGCCTCCTGCCAGAGACCCCCTCCCCCGGATCTCCCCCAACCCTGCCCGGCCCCCACAGGTGTCCCTCCCCACGAGCAACTTCGAGGTGACCATGCCCACCTTGGCCATTCCCACCCAGTCTGCTATGACCACAGCCACACCCAGCCAGTGGGCCACACCCACCTGGCACCCGGCCATAAAGAAGGGGGTTTTGGGGTTGCAGTTTGGGCACTTGGTCTCTAAAAGGTTCGCCATCCTTGAAATATGGGTTCCCCCCATTGACTCCGCTTCGTCGGAAGGTCGCAATTGGGATCGCGTGACCCCGGGACTCTGCAACGGTCCTAAATACGAATCCATTGCTAAGCATCCGGATTTTGCTCATGCTGCCATGCTGCAGTGGTTGTTAAGGGTGAGGAATGGACGTCAGTCGCATTTTTTGGGGGGTGCTGTTGTAACTTTGAACAGTCCCTAAACGAATTCCGGTTCAGTCGTAAGTCTACCTGTGTTCCTTGACTGTAGAGGGGGCTCAGCGTCTTATCGTCAAGCAATTGCTCCAAGTCTGGCACGAAGACACACACTAAGCCACCTGCGCGCAAAGTGCACACAGAGACAATTTCTCCAAAGACTAAACGAGACTGGATAGAAGACCCCAAGGTCACCCCTGAGTCTGGGATTCTCTTATTCAAAGCGCCCAAAGGCCGGACAAGAAGCAACGGAGGGAAACTGATCAAGGAGAGAAGCCACCTAGAACTTTCCTAACTTTTCCTACCAGGACAATTAACCAGCGGAACAACCTGCCTCCAGACGCTGTGGGTGCTCCATCACTGGAGGTTTTTAAGAAGGGATTGGAAAGTTTTCATTTTTCCCAATATTGGGCAAATCCAATTCTTGCTACTGTTAATATAGGTAGTATTTGTTGTTGTTGTTAATTGCGAAGTCGTGTCCGACCCATCGTGACCCCATGGATAACGTTCCTCCAGGTCTTCCTGTCCTCTACCATCTTCTGGAGTCCATTTAAGTTCTCACCTACTGCTTCAGTGACTCCCTCCAGCCATCTCATTCTCTGTCGTCCCCTTCTTCTATTCTTTCCCAGCATCAGGCTCTTCTCCAGTGAGTCCTTCCTTCTCATTAGGTGGCCAAAGTATTTGAGTTTCAACTTCAGGATCTGGCCTTCTAAAGTGCAGTCAGGGTTGATCTCTTCTAGGACTGACCGGTTTGAACGCCTTGCAGTCCAAGGGACTCGCAGGAGTCTTCTCCAGCACCAGAGTTCAAAGGCCTCCATTCTTTGGTGCTCATAGGTAGTATTAGATATTTGCAATCTTTCTCATAATTCGCTCCTATTATTCCTAACAAAAACAATTCTGGTTTAAAGTCTGAAGAAGTACTAATTTAAGAAAACTCTCTAGAGCGTGCAGAAATGGATAGACTGACTTTAAAGATTAAAGAGACTCCGTGTACTTTAGAACAGGGGATAATTTCTATCAATGGCTAGAACAGTGGTTCTCAACCTTTTTAATGCCGCGACCCCCAACCGGTCGTAAGTCGAGGACTACTCAACCGGTCGTAAGTCGAGGACTACTCAACTGGTGCAGCCCCATTTGCAGAATGGGACTTTTGGCGGGCTCAGCAGGGCAGAGACAGCCTGGACGATTCCTATTGGCTTTTGAAAGCCAATAGAATTAGATTCTATTCAAGAGAGTCTCTTCTATTGGCTTTCAAAAGCCAACAGAATAAAAGGGAGGAGCACAGCTAAGGAAAAGGGGGGGAAAAAATGGCGGACTGCGTTGTTTGGCGACCCCTGTGAAATGGTCGTTCGACCCCAAATGGGCTCCCGACCCACAGGTGGAGAACCACTGGGCTAGAAAAACCAGCCAGAGAGAAAGGTATGTGATATGTAATTTTGAATATATGTTAGTAAGAAAGGCTATTGAGTAATTAACATATTGTTTATGATAATTAACTATATCTATTACTGTTAAAACAAAATCTATATATCTATCTCTATCTCTCTAAAAAGAGATTGGACAGGCATTTGTCTGAAATGGTATAAGAAAAATCTCCTGCCTGAGCAGGGGGTTGGACTAGAAGACCTCCAAGGTCCGTTCCAGCTCTCTTATACTTTTATTCAAAGCACCTGAAGGCAGGACAAGAAGCAACGGATGGAAACTCATCAAGGAGAGAAGCAACTTAGAACTTTCCTAGCAGTGAGGACAATTAACCAGTGGAACAGCTTGCCCCCAGAAGTTGTGGATGCTCCATCACTGGAGGTTTTTAAGAAAATGCCGGACCGCCATTGGTCTGAAATGGGACAGGGTCTCCTGCTTGAGCAGGGGGTTGGACTAGAGGACCTCTAAGGTCCCTTCCAACTTCTGTTATTCTGACACTGCCTTGTCGCCCAAGATCATCCCCGCCTCTAATTAGCACAGAAAGACTTATCTGTCGTTCCCATGCGTGTGTACAGAACCAAGCCTCCTGTGATCCGGCAGCCGGATCTGTCAGGCGATCCAGTGGCTCGCTTGCAGGTCGATCCTGGACTCAACCAACCCTTACAGATGGGGAGGGGTGTCGCTTGCGAACGACAACCCAAGGAAACCCCTCGGACCCCAAGGCCCATTGGTTCCGACTCAAAGGTTCCCGCTCCCGTTTTCGACACGCTTTAAGATTCGGCCGGCTTCAACCTCGCGGGAAGCGTCCAGAGCGCGTCCCTACCGGCGGTCCTTACCGCTTCCCACCCGTCGGCAGAGAATCCGGCTCGGCTTCCTTTCTTGGGAACGAAAGGAGAGCTGAGCCACGGCCGGGATCTCGTCGTGCACGGTGTCAATGGAGAAGATTCTCGGGGCGTCCATCCGATCAAGGGGGGGGGCCTTCCTTTCCGTGCAGCGGGACCCCCGACGCGGCACCGCGGGAGAGGCGTTCTCTTCTTGGGAGTGCCCGACTCGACCTCAAGTCACAAAGAAGGGACTGGAGGAGAGTCATAAACCAGCATTCTGAGTTTGGGTTCCAAAGGCCGGGCGGAATTCAGACGTCTCATTCTGAAAAGAGGACGTCGCGGCAGGGGGAGGCTACCGGCTGTGGGACACGGGAGGGGTGTCTCTGCTTGTGACGGGGGGGGGGGAGTCTCCCTAGTGGGATGGCGGATCGTCTCAAAATGGGGAAGGCAGAATCCAGAAATCGAAGAGCAATAGCACTTTGCACTTACAGTGGACTTATGTACCGCTTCACAGGGCCTTTACAGCCCCCTCTAAGCGGTTTACAGAGTCAGCCTGTTGCCCCCAACCATCTGGGGAACTCATTTTACTGAAAAGGTGAGTCAATCTTGAGCCAGTCAGGATCGAACTTCCTGACTGTGGGCAGAGGCTGCAATACTGCATTTTAACCATTGTGCCACCAGGGCCCTCCCTCCCTCCCTCCCTCCCCTCCTTCTATCTCTATCATCTTCCTTCCTTCCTTCCTTCCTTCCTTCCTTCCTTCCTTCCTTCCTTCCTTCCTTCCCTCCCTCCCTCCTTCTATCTCTATCATCTTCCTTCCTTCCTTCCTCCCCTCCCTCCTTCTATCTCTATCATCTTCCTTCCTTCCTTCCTTTCCTCCCTCCTTCCCCTCCTTCCCTCTATCTCTATCATCTTCCTTCCTTCCTTTCCTCCCTCTTTCCCCTCCCTCCTTGTATCTCTATCATGTTCCTTCCTTCCTCCCTCGCTCCCTCCCCTATATCATCTTCCTTCCTCGCTCTCTCCCCTCCCTTCCCTCCTTCTATCTCTATCATCTTCCTTCCTTCCTTCCTTCCTTCCTTCCTTCCTTCCTTCCTTCCTTCCTTCCTTCCTTCCTAGTAATAGCACTTAGATTTATACATTCCTTCACAGTTCTTTACAGCCCTCTCTAAGCAGTTTACAGAGTCAGCAATAGCACAGCAGTGCTTAAACTGGTTGCTAGACAGGCTTCCCTGTGTCCTCTGGCACCTGCAGCGTGTTGGAAGCACGAGGGGGGGGCACATGGCAGGCAGGCAGGCCAGATCAAACTGTTTTTTAAAAGAAAGAATGAAAAGAACAGCTTTTTTCTATTTAAGCCTTCTTGTCATAGCTGGGTTTCGTTTTTTTTGTGTGATGAAAATGGATCTGAAACCATTCTGGCTCCAACAATAGCATTCCATGGCATAAACTGTCAAAGGAAACTTCTGTCTATCCCTCTATATCGGTCTGTCTGTCTATCTGTCACTTATCTGTCCATGTCCGTCTGCCCGCCCATCCACCCACCCATTTATCTATCTATCAATCTATCTAATCTATCTATCTATACCTTTCTAATACCTTCTCTCTCTGTGTGTCTGTCTATCTATCTATCTATCTATCTATCTATCTATCTATCTATCTATCTATCTATCTATCTATCAATCAATCTATCTATCTATACCTTTCTAATACCTTCTCTGTGTGTGTGTCTGTCTATCTATCTATCTATCTATCTATCTATCTATCTATCTATCTATCTATCTATCTATCTATCTATGTAGGTCTTTGGTTGTTCGGGTTTTCTCCCATGTAAAATTGGAAGTGTCTTGGCGACGTTTCGCCAAGACACTTCCAATTTTACGTGGGAGAAAACCCGAACAACCAAAGACCTACATACAAATACCCGCGAAAACCTCAGAAAACAACTATCTATCTATCTATCTATCTATCTATCTATCTATCTATCTATCTATCTATCTATCTATCTATCTATCTATCTATCTATCTATATCCCTTTCTAATACCTTCTCTCTGTGTGTGTGTCTATCTATCTCAACCTACTTTTCTAATATCTACTGTGTCTGTCTATCTATCTTTCTATCTATCTCAACCTATCTTTCTAATTACTGTGTCTATCTATCTTTCTATCTCAACCTACCTTTCTAGTACCTACTGCGTCTGTCTATCTTTTTAATATCTACTGTCTATCTATTTTCTATTTGATCTCTCTACCCATCCATCCATCTATCCACCTATCCCTCCGTCTGTCCATTTGTCTGTCCCTACCTCTGCCTGTCTCTCCCTCCCTCCCTCCTACTTTAAGACCACTCATTTCCCTGGCAGAGAGAGGGGACTCTGGGCGGTGTACACATCACTTTACTGGAAATGACTATGGCAGGACCTCCCTGATGAACCAAACGAATCACTTAACGAAACGGGTCCACTTAAGCCAGTGTTTCTCACCCTTGACAAATTTAAGGCATGTGGACTCCAACTCCCAGAATTCCACAGCCAGCAATGCTGGCTGTGGAATTCTGGGAGTTGAAGTCCACATGCCTTAAAATGGTCAAGGGTGAGAAACACTGAGTCTTAAGCCTTCTCGATTTCAAATATGACGGAAAGAGATTGGGTTTCAATCCAGGCTCCCCTTGAAGGCATTTGCTCTGCCCTGCTTTGCTTTCCCATTGGGGAGTTTTCAGGGGTAGACTGCCTCTCGACAGAGAAGCTCCATTGCACCCCTTTCTCCCTGTTGGGAACTTTGCCGAGCGCCCTTCCGACTCCTTTCCTGCACCCTTCGCGGGGAATTTCACGGGACAACCGGGGAGGGAAGGACAGCCAAGGCTGACTTCCAAATATTTCAGTTCAGAAAACGCCTCTCGGAAGCGCCTACCGGAGCTGTAACTGTCTGTGGACGATTGAGAGATGGAGCGGGACAGCGAACGGCGGCCGATCTTCGTGGGGCGCTTGTTGAATTCCTGCTTTTGGTCAGCAAACTGGATCTATATATATTAAAAGAAAGAAAGAAAGCCAGATTTAGCAAAGGGTGGACGGAAAGAAGAATCCGGGTCGAACAGAAAACAAGTCATTTTGATCACGGGAGCAGGGGGAGGCTGCAAAGGTGGTTAAGGGTGAAAAAGTCCCTTTTTTTCAACACCGCGGGAACTCGGAACGGTGCCTAAATGAGCCGTTTTAAGTTGAGGACTCCCCGTTACGTAACACAGCCCCACCAAGTTTTACTCGAGCGCCAAAGAACCGGATTGTTGAAAAAACAGCTCCATCTCGCCTCGCCCCCCCCATCCAACAAAGGAGCCGTTCAATTGGCCGTATCGATAACCTGTGGAGTGAAAAACCTCTTGTTGGTCAAAAGCCAACATCTCTGGTCACCTGGTCCTCCCGTAGAAAGGTCATCCCAGGAGTATGGGGAGGAGAGGAGAAAGGAAGGAGAATGGAGGGTGGTGGTGTAGGAACACCAACAGCACCTAACCAGGGGTTCTCAACCTTGGCAACTTTAAGACTTGTGGACTTCAACTCCCAGAATTCCTCAGCCAGCAAAGCTGGCTGAGGAATTCTGGGAGTTGAAGTCCACAAGTCTTAAAGTTGCCAAGGTTGAGAACCCCTGACTTAAGACTTTGATCCCACTTGATCAGGAGCGTCCATGAAAGAGACCTAAAACAAGACGGAGCCACGACATCAGCCAACGCTCAGGACCGCTATCGGCTGCAAACAGGCGGACGAGGCCTTCACCCTGCGGGGGACACATCATGGCTCGGATGAGGATAAGGAGGAACGACGACCTGGATGAGGAAGGCTCTCCAAAGACATCCCGCCTGGAACTCGGGAGGAATTTTATATTATTTCCAAAGAGGGGGAACCATTCATCAACCGAAGAGTCGGCCTCCTGGAGCCGCGGCTGCTCCATCCCTGGAGGCCTTCAAGAAACGGTTTCTCCAGGACGGTACAAAGACGCCTGCCTGCGGCGGGGTGGTCTAGATGACCTCCCGGGGTCCCTCCCAGCCTTAGGGTTCTGTCAAATCCCCTCACCTTGCCTTTAATCCCCGGGTCCCCGTTGGCAGAGGTCATCTTCTGGCCTGGCATGGTGGCACCTCCTGGAACTTCCTCGGAGGCAACACCTGAGCCCAGGTGCCCGTCCCTTTATATACCTTCCCTGCAGTGGCAATCCTGCCTGCTCTGGTTTCAACCCTTTGCTTGGGGAGGGGGGGGGAGAGGGGAGGGGAAGGGAGGGCGAGGCCGAGGGGCAGAGGACCTGGTGGCTTCCACCCTCTTTTCCAGGTCTCCATGGCTGGAGAACCAACGTTTGGAGAAGCTCCCGCCCGTCCCTTTTAATTTTTCTTGTATTGCTTCCGCATCATTAAAACTCTGGTTTTCCAAAACGGCCTGCCTCGTGTACGGGCGTTAATGGCTTGTTTCTATAAGCTGTACGCTATTTTTTTCTCCCCCCCCCCTTCCTGCCTGCTATAATTAACACGGTAATTAGGCACCTTTTAAAATTCGGCTTCTCTCTCTCTCCCGCCCCCCCCTCCCAATCTAACAAAGGCAGTTAGCAGAAAGTTTAACCAGCCAGCGACTGAAACAGTAAAGGCATTTATTAACCAAAGTCAAGGAGAGCAACTTCCCACCCACCCATATTTCTATAATATTGCGCCGCTTTAGAGCAGGTTTTGGGTGCTGCTATGGCTGGTTAACTTGTCTGGCAAAAAAAATTAAGAGTCAGTTGGATTTACTTCCAAATAATAATAATAAGAAGAATAAAAAATAGACGAGAAAGAACTGGACAAGATAACAAAATATAAAAACCTACAAATAGAAATAGAAAGACTGTGGCAAAGGCAAGCAAGGGTAGTACCAATAGTCATAGGCTCCTTGGATGCAATCCCAAAACAACTGGAGCACCACTTGAACACCATTGGCATTGACAAATTCGCTATTAGTCAATTGCAAAAGGCGGCCTTACTAGGAACTGCTTCCATCCTGCGACGATATCTGTAATACCATCAAACATCCACATCTGCCTATCCCAGGTCCTGGGTAAGGACTCGATAGGTAGACAAAATGCCAAATCCAGTCTGAACATCTGGCTGACTGTGTGATGATCCATAATAATAATAATAGAGAGAAGACAGCAACAGACAGTAAGTGCCGCCTATGCAAAGAAGCTGAAGAAACAGTGGACCACCTGGTAAGCTGTTGCAAGAAGATTGCACAGACTGATTACAAGCAGCGGCATGACAAAGTAGCAACAATGGTGCATTGGAAGATCTGCAAAAAATATCATTTGCCTGTAAGCAAAAACTGGTGGGATCATAAAATAGAGAAAGTCATAGAAAATGATAAAATTAAACTGCTCTGGGACTTCAGAATTCAAACAGACAAGCACCTGCAACATAACACCCCAGACTTAACCATTGTCGATAAGAAAGACAAAAAAGTCTGGATAGTGGACGTGGCAGTGCCTGGAGATAGCAGAATAGAAGAGAAAGAACTGGAGAAGATAACAAAATACAAAGACCTACAAATAGAAATAGAAAGACTGTGGCAAAAGCAAGCAAGGGTAGTACCAATAGTCATAGGCTCCTTGGGTGCAATCCCAAAACAACTGGAGCACCACTTGAACACCATTGGCATTGACAAATTCGCTATTAGTCAATTGCAAAAGGCGCCTTATTAGGAACTGCTTCCATCCTGCGACGATACCTGTAACACCATCAAACATCCACATCTGCCTATCCCAGGTCCTGGGTAAGGACTCGATAGGTAGACAAAATGCCAAATCCAGTCTGAACATCTGGCTGACTGTGCGATGATCCATAATAATAATAATAATAATATGATGATGATGATGATGGAAGGGACCTTGGAGGTCATCTAGTCCAACCCCCTGCTCAGGCAAGAAACCCTACACCAGGGGTGTCAAACTCAATTTCACTGAGGGCCGCATCAGCATTGTGGTTGCCCTGGGGGAGCCAGGTGGGTGTGGCCAGAGTGGGTGCAGCCTATTGGGTGGGCGTGGATGGAGTGGGTGTGGCCTACTAGGTGGGCGTGGCCAGTTCTACATCATTCACGTTAAGGGTGACTGTGGGGGCCTGGCAAGCACCAAGGCATGGTCCACTGGGGCAAGTGCCAAGATGGCCACCACAAAACTGTACATTGGCTCCCGGCTGGCCTGGGCCAGGGGCCAAGGCAGCGGGGGCTGTTCCCTCACTGTTTCCAGGATGGCTTCGCGGGCCGCATGAAACCACTTCGCGGGCCGCATCCGGCCCCTGGGCCTTGGGTTTGACACGTCTGCCCTACACCATTTCAGACAAATGGCTGTGCAATCTCTTCTTAAAAACTTGCAGTGTTGGAGCATTCACAACTCCATGATAGATGACAGACAGACAGACAGACGGATGAGGCAGAACTTCTGGAGGCAGGTAGTTCCACTGGTTAATTGTTCTCACTGTCAGGAAGTTTCTCCTTAGTTCCAGGTTGCTTCTCTCCTTGATTAGTTTCCATCCATTGCTAATTGTCCTGCCTTCAGGCACTTTGGGGAATAGCTTGACTGCCTCTTCTTTGGGGCAGCCCACTTCAGGTGACTGATGGGAGCCTACCTCCACCTGGGCCTGGGGATAACCTGCACCCAGTCCAGTTTTTAGGGATTATTTGTGATCCTGTTCCTTCCTCTCAGCCATTGCCTTCCCTTTTGCCGGTTTCTAAGCCATCTCCAGCCAGCATCCCAGGCCTGGGTACAGGTAGTCCTCAGTTTACGACACTTGAGTCTGGACAGCCATTTGTCTGAAATGGTATAGGGTTTCCTGCCTTTCTTTTTTTTCTTCTTCTTCTTCTTCTTCTTCTTCTTCTTCTTCTTCTTCTTCTTCTTCTTCTTCTTCTTCTTCTTCTTCTTCTTCTTCTTCTTCTTCTTCTTCTTCTTCTTCTTCTTCTTCTTTTCTTCTTCTTCTTCTCTCTTCTTCTTCTTCTTCTTCTTCTTTCTTCTTCTTCTTCTTCTTCTTCTTCTTCTTCTCTTCTTCTTCTTCTTCCTCTTTCTCCTTCTCCTCCTCTCCTCCTCCTCCTCCTCCTCCTCCTCCTCTTCTTCTTCTTCTTCCTCCTCCTCCTCCTCCTCCTCCTCCTCCTCCTCCTCCTATTATTATTATTATTATTATTATTATTATTATTATTATTATTATTACCTGGAAAGTTTGGGGAACTCTGCCTTAGACAGGGGTGTCCAACCTTGGCAATTGCCAGACTTGTGGACTTCAACTCCCAGAATTCTCCAGCCAGCCAGGAATTCTGGGAGTTGAAGTCCACCCATCTTCAAGTTGCCCAGGTTCAGAAACATTGCCTTAGACCAGGGGTATCCAACCTTGGCAACTTGGAAAGACTTGTGGACTTCCAACTCCCAGAATTCCTGCCTAGCTGAGGAATTCTGGGAGTTGAAGTCCACAAGTCATCAAAGGGCCAAGTTGGAAGACCCCTGTCTTAAATCTAACACACAAAATGGAGGCTGGCTGAGGAATTCTGGGAGTTGAAGTCCACAAGTCATCAAAGGGCCAAGTTGGAAGACCCCTGTCTTAAATCTAACACACAAAATGGAGGCTGGCTGAGGAATTCTGGGAGTTGAAGTCCACAAGTCATCAAAGGGCCATGTTTGAAGACCCCTATCTTAAATCTAACAAACAAAATGGAGGCTGGCTGAGGAATTCTGGGAGTTGACGTCCCCAAGTCATCAAAGGGCCAAGTTGGAAGACCCCCTGCCTTAGACCAATGGGGGGGGGGATTAGGAAAGGAAAGCTTCAGCAGATCTCCAAGTGGGCTCCCATCGATTCCACACGAATGGTCCACGTCAACGTCTCCCCCGAGTACTAGTAACTCCACATACCAGACGGACTTTATGCCAAGGCTTTCAAGGATTTAGTAGAGGGTTCGGATTCCAGGCTAAGCCTGTCACATGAGCGGGAGTCTTAAGAGGATTAACACAACTGCTCCTTTAACTCTTCAAGTT